CATCCATCTCTCGTTACTATTATGGGGTAGAAGAAGAGGAGGCTGGAAAAGAAATGGGCAACCCTCGCTCAGAGCAACCATAACAGCTACAAATGCACTCCGTGCTCATGTGCTTTTCACAGCGTGGTCACCTTTTGCATCTGAATGCTTTCCTTCCATGCAGTGAGAAGCAGAGGGGGAAAATAAATGTTATAATCTTGGTTTCTAAAAGCCAACCCCGCCCCGTCTTTGCTTCTGTACCCTCCACCCCCACACCGCAATTCTGTAGCATCTTGTCCAACGAAGAAGTGTGGAGATCTTGAAGGGCTACAAAACCGTGATCTTTTCTTAGCCTAGGAAAGGTATCCTATTTATTGTAGATGTGGGCCTTTATTATAGATATATGTGGGTGTATTTACAATTCAATAATGCGCATATAGGTCCTTTTATATGTACAATGTATGGGGGTGTGCATTTATATATGTATGTATGTAGGTATGTATGAACTGTATAAATAGCTTTGGTGAGCTTTTCACAATGAAACTCAAAAGGAATGGAGCACCGAGAAACGACATTTAAAAGCACGAAAGAGTGGGTTGAAGAAGGCCAACAAACAAAGGCCAAATACTAGCAGCCCCCAAAACCTTCAGCCCTCAGCCAGTAATACAGAGTCTACGATCCCCGATGGAGTTTCCCACCTCCCCTGCTATTCTGCTTTCTGGGAAAGAGGAGGGGGTGACTCAGACCCCTGCCCAGGTCCTTTGATCCTTTAGTGACCTTCCATTTTCACACCCCTCTTCTGCGCATCAGCCCTTTGGGAGTTTCCCACAATCCACCAGGAAGGTGAGGAATGGGAGGGGAGAAACGAGAGAAAGGAGCTGACCCCCCCCCCCGAGGTAGGAGGGGAGCGAAAGGCGCTAACCAGACCCCCTGCTCCCCTCCCAAGCCAGTTCAGCCCACCAGCGGGCATCTCTTCAAAGCACTTTGCTCTCGGAGGGAAGAAAATAAATACCCGATTTCTAACTCTGATCTCTGAGCTCGCGATCCACTTTGGATGGATGCTTAGTTCCAGACAATATATGTAAGAAAGACAGATCACACCATCAGCTAAAACTCTTTTCTAGGCAGAAAGAGAGATGCACAAATACAGACGTGCGGTACACGCAGTTTGAGATACAGGTGCGCCACACAGGGGTACCCAGATATCGATGGGGGGGTGCGCGCGCGCGCGCGTGTGCCTTTTGGCATCCTTGGAGTTCAGGGTACCAGCTGCCTTTGTCTCTTTGTTCCTAGAGCATCGGTCCCCTCGGGGGCGCGCCTGGCGACGGGGGCGCGCCTTCCCTCTTGGCAATTCATAATCCATCGCTCCCCCACCCTAAAAAAGAGTGGCGCCCCCCTCCCCAAAGGCAGGCGGCTCTCGCACCGTTTCCCTGTGCGCGCAAGAGGCGTAGCTCTCTTCTGCGAGCGGCCCCCTCCGCCTCTATTTTGGGGGCCAGCGGGAGCGCCGCAGTCCGTCCCCTCTCCCCCCCCCCACCCCCGGTCAGGGCGATCCCTTTCGCTGGACGAGGAGGCGAGTTCCTCTGGCGTGAGGCTGCCTCTGCCAGCGACTTCGGACGCAGGTGAGTAAGCCCTGCTGCGCGCCCGGACCCGTGTGCCGGGGCGCCCAGGAAGGGACAGGCTGCGCCCCGGATCCGGCCGGGGGTCGGCGGGGAAGAGTTTGAGCGCGGGTGGATCCGCTGGCGGGACGCAACTTCGAAGCCGTCTTCGCATTCTCGATTCCACTGAAAGGACTTGAAATGATCTGGCCAGGTCGACAAAAGGTAGACGTGTGCGGGGGGGGGGTTAAGAGAGAGCCCAGAAATGGCCCTTGAAGAGTGGCTGGGAAGATTTACTGGGAGTAAATGTGTAACCTGCCTTATCCCTTGGGCTGGGGGTGAATGTCCCCAAAATTACCCTGAAAAGACCCTGGAACCTATTTCCCCAAGTCAAACCAATTAGACATGTTTGCAGGACGGGGAAGCAAAGAGAACCCAGGAACTGCCCCCGAAGGATGTATTTCTGGGACTACATCCCTTGCCAGCTTTCTCTCCTAGACTAAGGTTGAGTCTCCTAGCGTAACATTGAAATGGTTTTTTGATTATCACTCCGTTTCAGAACTGGACGCATTAGAAGGATGGAGGCATTAAAAACAGACGAATTCCAAAAGTGCCTTAAAGTCTGAGCAGGTGGATGGGCAGAAACAGATGCCGTTTCTTTGTTTATCTAACTGTTCCGCTTCGTGCCATCACCTGTCCATCCAAGCTATGGTGTCCAGGAAGGGTGGAATTTTGGGATCTGAATTCCACTTTGTTGAGGTTTTTACATAGGGTTTCTTTGTTTATTGCTATCTGGATTGCCCAATCACCAAAGCTGTTTGTGAGGTCCGTAAAAATGGTTAAGACAATAAATTGGGCCAGTCGAATAACAGATGGGATGAAGAAAGGCACACACCACTAAAATCTTTGTAAGTCTAAAGAGTTGAAGACATTCCAGAGGGCAGGAGACAGGAACGCGCTCTGGTTAGTACTGTTAGTTTTCCATCAGCGTGTCGCTGATCTGGCCACATTCACCGATCGAAAAGAAAAATCATAAAATAATGAACGGCCCCAGCGCTGGCTGGAAGTTCTCCAGCTCGAGCCCCAGGGAGAGTTCCCCCTGGATCAGGACCAAACACTGGGAACCACACATTCCAAATTGACCGCTTCATGCTGAGTGGCAGCCGGGATCCTCTGGTTCTCTTGGAACCGTGGGCTCTATCTGTGCTTTCCATCTGGGAACGAACAGCCATCCTTGGAAGAGGGGACAAAGCCACAGTGGGGAGCGTGGCTGCGAGGGGCACTCTTTCTCTCACCTGGCCTGGGAGAAATTTGGATAAAATGCTCCAATTCTGCATTGGAGAAACCTCTCCCGGCCTGGCTGGGCTGAAGCTCGGGCTGTGGGTTGCCAAACCTTAGAAAAGGCATTTCAACCTCTCAGAGGGGCGGGGGGGCTGCACGAAAGATTGTATGTACATGTCTGAAACGTTTGGGGTGGCACCCCGGAACCCGGAAAAGGCCAACAGGCCAGCTGTGGGGCCATGTCCCACGTCCAAGAGACAGCTCTGGCGACCCGTCCTTCCAGGCATGGTCCTTTTTTATATCATCCGCTGCACAGAGTATGTGTGTGCGGAGGCGGGGAGAGAGAGGGGGAGACGGAGAGTCCGCTCTTCCTGGACTGACCAGACTGCACAATTCACAGCACCTCTCTCCCTGCTGAGACAACTCAAGTAGCAATTTTCTTGTGCCTTTTGTCTTGCTTGAAAGGGTTCCGCCGGGGGTTTTTCGTGTGGGGAGGGGGAGAAGAGAGGACACCTTCCTGGCAGTAAGGACTCGTTGGGAGGCGCGTCTGTTTCAGAAGCCAGCACTGCTTCCCCCGTTCAGGGTCACCTAGAGAGAACTGTTCCTGGACATCTTTGCCAAACCCAACTTTCACGAGGATTCACCCTTGAAATGTCCGGCGTTTTCCCCCGTTTTGTCCATTTCTCTGCTCTACATCTGTGTATTAGATATGCAAAGCGACACTGCACATAAGCGCTGGATCTCACAGTAATGAAGGACCTGTGGATCGGTGCCAGACTCCCGGGTTTTTCTGCTGGATCCAGACAACCCGCAATTCGACAACACTCAACCCAGACTCAGTCCTTGGGTGCTGGCTATGTGGACCCAATTTTTGTCATGTAGGACCAGACCTAGGCCAGCATCTGTGGCTGGGGACCCTTCTGGAAATCCCCCCGCCCCCAAGGCTAGGGAAACCCAGGCCTGGGAGACACATGAGGCCCACCTGGGGGCCCAGTCCAGGCCACCTCTTTCTGGGGACCCACTCCATCATTCTGAGGAGCAGAGATGGGTCATTTGCTGGTTTCCCTTCTCTTGTGCATTTTCTGCCCATTCTAAAACGGTCAGCATGTCGTTAAGGTTGAGGCACGGGAGAGTTTTCAGTTGCAGGATGGTCGCTCTTGGGGTCCCCTGCCTTCAACCGTGCCCAGTCCTGGAGCTAGGTCCTGACCTCCTTGCGTGCCCATCCTGCGGCTGGGGGAGGCGGGGGGCAGCTGAGCCTTCATTTTGGGGGGCTGCACTTTCACTGCTTCCCTTCTCCCACAGAAGAAGGGTGTGTGGCAGAAATGTTCTAGCTTTGCCACCCTCACTGGGCTCTCATCTTTTATGTTCTGATGGGGCAAACCCACCACAAGGTGAGCCATTTGGCAAAGCCAGCTCTGAGCTGTGAATGTTCCTTTTGAACGTCAGTCTCAAGGGGCGGCATCTGAGATTTATAATTCAGGAGGGGGCTGTGGGGAAGCCTTGATGCGGGAACAGTAAAGGCTAGTTTTCATCATGCAGGGAGTCCATTAAGACGTCGCTGCCATTGTGGCAAAACCGTCGAGGGCTCAAAAGCTTTATTGCCCCATTAAGCGGAGAAAAGGGAACGCTGGGAGGAAAACCACACTTGGCTTTTGTGCCTGAAAGGCCTTGCGGGTTGTGTTCCCGCTTGGATCACAGATTCCTCCCCTGACGCACTGTTCCCGTTTTCCTACTTCTTAGCAGTTTCCTGAGTCTTGCTTTGAGCCTGGCTCTGGCGGGGGGGGGGGGGGGTCTCCAATGGATGAGTGCCCCCCCCAATTATCTGAAGCAGGGGTGCTGAACTCCTTTCAGTCCACGGGCCACGTTCCATGTGGAGAGGTTCTTGGGGGCCACATGGGCACGGTGGAAGGGCTGGGGCAGAAAAGCTGGGGGTGGAAATGCCCACAAATACAAATGCATCCCGCTAGTCCTCCAGCCTAACCAGACAGATTTCAGCCTTTCTAAATGGGGGGGGGTTCGGGGTACACAAGGGCTAAGAAATCCCCCCAACAAATGGGGATTGGAGGGAATGAGGAGAAGCCAGGAAAAGCTTTTCCCTGTGTTTTTCATTGGACGTTAATTGGAGTTGAGGTTGCAATCTAATGTAAAAATAAGTTGGTGGCCATGGGGTGCTCCTGCATGATCGGGACACTTTGCACATGCGCAGAGGCACCCCCTTCTTTGTCATGACTTTGCACAGTTTAGGGCTGAGCTGTGACTTCTGTGTGGCTTTGGGAACTGAGCTCGCTTCTGGTTAAGGTCTGCATGAACCGCTGCCCGTAAATCTTCCGGCGACGCCACCGAACGGAGACAGGTGGGGGCTGCCAACGAAGCCGCAAGAGGTCTCAACACGTGCAGACAGGCCAGGCTGAGCTGGGAAACCGGCAGGGAAATCGTGAATAGGTCAGGAGAGAAAAGAGGGCACATTGCAGCGGGGAAGGGGCCACGCCAGAAAGGGGACGGGATTGTGTGCTCTCAGCGGGCCACTTCTAAAGAGTGAGGCCAGAGTTGGCACCAAGAGGCGGCCAGGCAAAGAAGAGACCTCCTATACAAAACCAGCTGAATATGCAGGAAGTGGTCTGGGGACAATAGCTGAGCCCGGCAGGAAAAGAGGGTCTTGAAAGTGAGTCCCGTGGGGGTGGGCTTCGTTTTATGTTGCGAGGAGAACGCTCTCCTTGTGGCGCTCGCGTCCGTATGTGGCCGGCCGCTGGAAACGGGGAGGCTGCAGTGGGAACGCCCCGCGCCGAGGGCTCCAGACAGTCACCGAGGCGTCTGTCTCGCCCCCCGAGGCCCTCGCGCAAAAGTTTGCCCTTCGGGGCTGCGGAAAGCAGATGGAGGCCCGCTCAGCGGGACAGAGGGGCTTCATTGATCGGCACAAAGCCACCTTCCTGCTTCCGAGGCTCGCTGGCCGCGCGGTGGCTAAGCCTGGCGGCTCGGCCGGCCGGGGGTGCTTCTGAGAGCCTCATACATCATCCCTGCGCCCCGCCAGGAGCACTGAAGGGCCTTCTCGGCCCAGGCCGTCTGGTGCCTCGTCGCACGTCACCTCTGACACCCACGCGGAGGGGGTCGGTGGGGCCGCTCGCTCACGGGAACGAGAAAGGCCTCTTCTCAGTGTGGGACACATGAAAAGAAGAGTGAGGCGGTTGTCTCCAACACAACAATCCTTTCAGCTCGGTGCCTCCCCGCCATGCCCAGGGGATGCTTGCGGGGGCACACCTGTTCCCTCGGCTGGCACGGGCGCCCGCCCGCCCGCCCAGGGATCTCTCGGAAGCTCTGCTGGGTTGCAGACGGGCTGCATGGAAATTCCCTCCGAAGGGAATGGCTCGGCCTGCGTCTGGGGGGTCCTTCCGCAGGGCTAGGGGCAGCCGCAAGCGTTCCGCAGAATCGCAGTGCCCGCGCGACGGCGATGGCGGTTGCACGGGCCGTGCAAATGTGTGATGTGCCGCCAAGCGCAGGACCATGCTAGTGCAAACCTATCTATAGTTACGGCAGACGGGAGGAGGGGTTCCTGGCGACCCCCTTAGGTGGAGAGCAAGCCAAGAGGGTTTCTCTTCTCCGAGTCTTTTCAAGGACTGCAAGTGTTCACGTTTCCCCTGGCTTTAAGTTCACGGCCTGTTTAGTCTGGGCTCTCCGTCTCCTGCTTTTGTACCTTTTTACTCGTCGCCCGATCCTTAAACATGGTCCCAGCCCCTTCGCGAGTTCACCCCCCGCCACGCCGTTCACCCACCTGCCTGCCCCCATCTTGGAACGTGCATTTTGTGTTGAAGGAGTGGAATATGCATTCAATAACTGCACACACTTTTCTAGCCTTGGGGCTTTTGCTCCAGTTCTGCTGCGGGCTGGGGCAGAAGACAAGGATGCCTTAAGCATGTGCAAAGTATTTTCCTTCCCCGCTGCCCGTTTCTCGGCCAGTCTCAAACGTGTCCCCAGTCAGAGACAAGGGTGCTGACTCTGCGGCATCTCCAGCTTGCATTTGGGCACGTGTGTGAAAAGCCATGTCTGCCAGAAGTGCCAATTATGGGGTGGAGTGAGAGGGCTGTGGGGTGCAGTCGGCAGAATGGGGGGCAGCTTGGTGGATCCCATCACCAGGAGGGGATGGGACCTGGTAGGGTAGCCCGAGGGACAAGGGGCAGAATGTGCAGCCCAGCAGAAAACGGTCTGCATTGGACTTGGGTCCAATCGTCCGGAATGTTATTCCTTCACCCGTAAAGGAAGGAAGCGGGAGCCTCGGCATGGGCAAGGAAGTGCTCCCAGCCCGAGGACCAAGTTCTGTTCCAGGTGGCTTCATTTTAGGGATGGGTGGAGCCAAAGGTGAAGGGGCGGGGCTGGATTCGCAAGACTTGCCAGCTTTTGTAGCTCAATACTTGGGCAGAGGGAGGGGAAAGCCCTGTCGTGGATGGAGACAAATTGTTTCTTGCCTTGTTCTGTTTCCTTGGCCTTGAACAAAGATCAGCTGCCGATCTGCTTCCGGCAGGGCAGTTTCTCCTTTGGCTGCTGCATGCAGTGTTGACTGAAGAAGAAATGTGGGAATGTTTGCTTGTGTCGGGGCTGTAACTCTTCGTGCTGCAGGCTGAGCTTCGCGCGGTAGAATGCGAAGAATAACAACAACTTGGTGAAATCCCTGCACCTAGAAATCTAGCCTTTTGGGGGTGCTAGCTTTCTAGATGCAAGGAATTTTGCATGTGTTGCTCGAAGAAGCATTCTGTCATGGGGACCCCTGTTTTCAGTCCGAAGTGGTACATTCCAGGCCCAGATTTCCCAGGGGGGGAAATTGCTTCAGGGGGTGGGTGGCAATTTTGGGCAGATTCACGGCCACCTGCCAGTTGTGCAAGTCAGCCATCTGTCCCTGGCTCTTCCTGTTTCCTGAAGTCTCCATCAAAGGCAAGCCAGCTGTGAGGCGGAGGCCGGCCCAAAATGCCAAGCCAGCGTATAACGGCTTTGCACAACAGCTGGTGTGTGCAAGGGGCCCTGGCTTCTTATCACAGGCAGCCACTGTCATTGATTAATGGCCTTCATTTGCATATGAAACCTTCCTGAGCAAGCAGCTTTGCACATATTTCTTAGATGTGGGAAAACAACCCGAGCATAGAAAATGTTTGTGTGGGTGTCTGTCTCTCTGTGTTTATGTCTATTTCTCCTCCTCCTCGAGGTCTGAGATGGAACAGATTTGGATTGGGGACATTCTCAAAGTTTGGGGTAAAGCAAACTTAAAAATGAGCGGAGGAGAGAGATCAAAACAGGCAGATTGCCACTCCCTACTGGGAAGAGCATCCCTGGTTAAAATTTGTCTTGGCCCGGGCAGAGAGGCTGACGGGTCCGTCTCTGTGTAAGCCTTCCAGAGTGTGCCGCTTGAAGGGTCCCTTTGGGAAAACAGTTCTCCGATCGTGGATGTCTGTGCTTCCTTCATCGCAGGCGAGGCACCTCTGCTGGGAACATGGCCTGGCATGTGCCCGTCGCTTCCTCCCGCATCCTCCTCTTCTTCCTTCTGACCGCCGTCCCTCTGGGCTCGCTCGACCCGGGGCCCGTCATGGCTTCCGGCCTCGCCGAGATGGGCAACAGCTTTCCGAGCGGAGATCTCTGGGCGCATCAGCCACGGACCGCCACGCACCACCGGAGGCACGGCCTCAGCGAGCACACACGGATGCACCGCAGGATGCCCTCCAGGGCCCGGGGGGCCAGGGAAGGGGGTCCGGCACTGCGCCCCAGCTGGTCCCCCGCGGGGGGAGAGCCGGGGCTGACGGAGCCGCCTGCCAGCCTCCGGCAGAAGGACATCTTCCTGGGGTTCGAGTTCCCGTACCCGGAGCAAGAGAACCACGCCCCTGGCTCGGAGAGGGGGAAGAGGCCTAGCCGGGAACACCGCCGGCACAGCCGCCGGGAGAGGCTGAAGCAGCCCCGAGGTACCGGGGCAGAGCCGTGGCGGGTGGGTGCCCCAGCCCCTGGCCAGCCCCTCCGTCCAGCCCCGAGCATCTTCCCAGGCCGCAGCAGTGGCCCCAGCGAGCGCCCGGCCCGCAGGCAGCCCTGCCGTACTGTGCGGTGCTGCATTTTTGTGATGTGAACTTATAGCATGTTTTCAATCTGAGATGGTCTGGATGAGACCCTAACTGGCTCCCTTTCTCTCCTGCCAACGCGGAGCAAATCCTAGATTTCCCCCCATTTCCCTAGGGCGAGAGAACAGACGCGGATTTGGGGAGACGGGCTCAGGGCCCAGGTCTTGTGGGTGGCTTGCGCTCCCGTCCACCAGGGCTCCTCTGACGTCCTTTCCACTGCAGGAAAAGCTTCTGTCGCAGGCCCAAGCGCGCTGTATAAGAAGTCCGAAAGCTTTGCAGAGCAGTTCCACGCGCTCCAGGCCGAAAGCTCCTCCGCCGGCTCTTACCCCGCCTCCCTTCTCAGCTCCACGCCCCAGACGTCCAGCGAAGAGCCTCCGGTTCCGCAGGCCACGTCCCCTCGGCCCCGGACCCGCCACGAGGGTGACGTGATGCCCACGTTTGACATGACTCTCTTCGACTGGACAGATTATGAAGACCTCCGCCCGGACATGTGGCCATCGTCCCAGAAAAAGGGTATCTCCCGTGGGGGGGGGGGGTATTTTTGGCCCACTCCTCAGCCCAAATGCCCCCAGAGCAGGATCCACGAAATGTTAATTTTTAAAATGTGAGATACGACATACAAGAAAATAGGGATGGGGAGGGGAGAGGAAAAATAATTTTTATTTAGTATTTGTTTTTAGATTAGACTTGGTTTGCTGCTGGCTTATTGTTTTCGTGTTTTATTGGGTGTTGTTATTGGTTTAATGTGTTTATTTCCTCCTGTTCTGTGTATTTGTGGTATTTATATTGTATTTTAATCCTATTTGTTTATAGTTTTGCTTCGCTATTGTGTTTATTTTTATTTGTATTTTATATGGCATGGTGAGTTGGCTCTGGAGTGGCATACAAAGGCGATAAATTAAAAATAAATAAATAAATAATGAAGTGGTCTTATAGCACAACTGGTAGCAACATCTCTCTCCTCCTTTCACTTTCTCTTCCACCCCAGAAAAACGGCGCAGTAAAAACAGCGGCAATGAAACCACTCCGGATGAAGGAGAGCCGTGCGACCATCACCTGGATTGTCTCCCAGGTGGGCACTGATTTTCATGAGGACCAGCACCAGAGGTGCATCAAAGCACATTGGTGACAGCTGCCTTGCTGATCATTTATTACAGGTCTATACCACCCAATAGCCAAAGCTCTATTTAAACCAGGGTTGGTTCTGGGTCCTGAAAAGATCTGGGGCTGAGAAAGTCCCGCAGGATCCAAAGAAGACCCAAAAGGCACACGGCTGCACATGCTATTCAAGTTATGCCCTAAATAACCCTAAAACCGGGCTATTCATGAGCGGGCGTCCATGGCCTTTCTTCACGGTCTTCTTCCTCCGGCAGGATGCTGCTGTGACTTGCGGGAGCACCTCTGCAAACCGTACAACCGGGGCCTGAACAACAAGTGTTACGACGACTGCATGTGTGCGGAAGGTGAGAGCCGGCAGCTGGCCGGGGCGCTGGAAGGAGTGCCTCTCCACTCTGTCCCAGGCCGCCCGGCGAGGGAAGACGGCCAAGGACGTGGCCACCCGGGGCAGGGCCGGACTTTGCAGGGGACTGAGGGGCTGCACCCCCGTCTGGGGTAAGCTGACCTCTCTGATCAGCCAGCCTCAGCGGGTCTGGGTTCAGGAGAGCCGAGCCCAGCACGTAAAGGAAACGATTCTGCACCCATTTCCGCGCCTGGGAAACGGAATCGCTTTGCTCTTTTTGACCTTTCTCGGTTTCTTCCTGTGCCTTTCTTGATTTGAGTCCCACCAGGGGGATCCTCGCGGTTGCAGTCCAACGTATCTCATCCTGGGGAGGCGCCGATGGAAAGAATGAGCGAGACCTAAAGGAGATTCCATTTCCACTACAAATAGCTGATATTTTACTGGGGTGGGAGTTCGCGGGGAGCTGGGGAGGAAATCAAATTCTCCCAAAATATCTGCAGCATGTGCTCTTCTCGTCAGAATTTTCTTTGCTCTTGGAGCTTCTTGTCAGCCCTCAGAATTTCTCTCTCCTACGTCAGGCTTTCGCTGCTATGCTAAATTCCACCGCAACCGGAGAGTGAGCAGACGAAAAGGCCGCTGCATCGAGCCAGATTCCGCCGACGGAGATCAAGGGTCCTTTCTTAACGTGTAGAAGCTGCTTGCTTGCCGGCGGGGACATGTTTTTTCCTAGCTCCAGCCATGGGAGGCATTAATTTATAATAGTGGTATGGATGGGTGGGAGGAGATGGACCGAATGACGTGAGCGCTGCGGGGTGAGCTGGGATCAAGTCAACGTGGATCTTGGGCAAACATCTGGAATTTGAAACTGGAGGCACAAATTCAACATGAAGGATTGAAAGGGTTTATTTTTATAGTGTATAAAACTGGGGTGTTGGCCCACCTGGGGTCTCCAGATGGCCATTCCTGCTTCCCTCCGGCAGCCAACTGCTTTTTGGCCTTCTTTCCCTACTCTAAAAGGTGGAATTGCCCCTCTCAAGGCTTAGTGAGTGGCGATGAAAGGGTTAAGCGGAAAGAGGGGGGGGTATGTTGGCCCCACCTCTTTTGCCTGAGGCTCCTCCCACCACTGGAATGCACCTCCCTTGCCCAAAGCTTCTCTCAACTCCAATTTGGCCTTTGGACTGCCAAGGAGGTTGCCTTCTGCCTCTCTTTGTGAGTCACTGCTCCTGGTGTGCCTTCTTTTTTGCCCACTTGGGGAAGGTTTGCAAGGGGCCTAAAAGCACCAGGGACACCCAGCCGTGTGGCAGGCGTTTGGTCTCGGCTCGGAGCCCGATTCGCTTGGAGACAAACCCTGAGCGGTTAATCATCCAGAGATGCGGTGGGCAAACACAAAGCCACTTCTCCCAGATTTTGTGCCGGCTTTCCCTATTATGCACCCATTTACATATATTAATTTGCTTCTGCTTCCTACAGGAAGGGGGAAAATGCTTTGCAGAGCACTCTGCAAACCTGCCCAATCCCTTCCCTGTTAGGTTGTCATGCTTATCTCCATGAGGTCTAGAAACTTGAGTCCCAGCACAGGCGCCAAGCACACACAGGCCTACTCATCAGCATCTCTTTCCTTCATCCTTCTCCTTCAGGGAATCCTGTGTTGGGACCAAGGAATTGTTTTTCACCAGTTTGCAGCAGCTCAGCCATTTGGTTAGAACTTAAGAAGAACTGCAGTTATTTATCATTATTTAGGATTTTCTTTTCTGATGAGAAGGGGAAATTGTCCCCTCTAATAAGCAAACGGGGCAGCTCATGTGCCTCCTTAGTGACACTACTGTGATGTGCTTGCATGCTCCTATTTTGACGAAATGTAAATAAAGAGATAGTTATCCTTCGCATCGCTGCCTTCCGGCTTTCTTTCCTGAGAGCGACCAGATAAACTTGCATTTAAAATGTATTTTTAAAACCTGACAGAGGCTTGGCCCATCTGCCTCTGTGTGTAGCTAACTGCTCTGCACCACAAACCAATAGACACACACACACTGCCCTGGCACTTCTCGCCTGTGATGCGGTGACTCAGGGAACAGAATGTTTATGATGATTCCACGTTCCCCTTATGGATGCCGAGAATCCACAGACAGCCTCCAGTTTTTAACTACTTTTGCATTTATACGTCCTTGTAAATACTTTCCAGAGTTACGCCTGTTGCAGCAAAACCAGAGTTTGCTTTGGTGAAATTCACAACAGCAAAACAGAAACAAAACCACGCTTGTTTATTTTTTAAACTCTTATGAATTTCACCAAACAAACCTTAAGAAGGGAAACCAGAGGAGAAAACCAGCTGAAACAACGTACACATCCAAGTAAAAGCAATACTCCAAATGCATCCATTGTCTGTGAGTGTCAACAAAACCAGACGGATGGTAAGACGTTAATCTCCACCTAAGCGGAGCTTTTGTGACCAGTGCTGGACCTGGGAACCTGCACAGTAAGTTCGGTAAACCTTTTGGGGGTTCCCAAATCGCTACACCCGTTCCTGGCCAAAGCACCTTTCTGTTCCTCGTCGGGCGATTCCCCAGCTTCGCTGTCGTTCACCTCCCGTTCTAAACAGGTGAAATGCTTTTCCAAGGACACGGTTACTGAAAGGCAATGCTCAAGCTAAGCCAGTGAGGTATTGGATAGGAGCCGGGCTCTAGTTCCCACTCAGTCATAGAGCCGGCTGGTGGCTTTGGGCCAGCCCCAGACGCTCAGTCCAAATTTCAGGGTGGTTGTTGTGGGGATAAGACTGGGAGCAGCAGCAGCAGAATGACGGAAATGCTTTAAAAAAATAAAGAAGGTGGGACACCGCTCGGAGACAATGAATTCAGAAATAGCTGGGTATCTGGGGGTGTTTGCCACATCCCATTCTCCAGTAGCCATGCGTGCCACTGGGCTGCAGCCCCAAGAGCTTCACCGATCCCGGAAAAAGGGGTCCCCCATGCCCGATCTAACCACCAGGCCCTCTGGCTCAGTTGTGTCTGCCTGGCCGGGCTCACACACACTTCCCAAGAGTCTCGCTCCGCGCTCGCTCCTTCCCCGCCCTCTGCAGAGATGCCGGGAGCTGCTCCTGGGAATCCTGCCTCCGAAGCAGGCAGGCCGGGCGGCCCAGCCGACCTTCAGCCCCTTCCATTCCGTTCCCTTCCCAGCGGCTCCTTATCTCCATGCAGGCTTCCCGTTCCTGCCTGGTTCACACAGTCTTGTCGCACCTGCCGAAAAAACCGTGGGAAGCTGCCGTGCGGTGCCAGCGACTGCCTGCACCGAGGGAGGCGGCGGACAGATGGGGAGCTGAGCCTGTGGGGAGCTGAGCCGGGGCCGGCGCCCCCAGGAGCCGTGCTTGGCTTGGCAGGGGAGGTGGCATTTTGAGGGGGGCAGAGGGGCTCGGCCCCCGTGCCCGCCTGGGAGCTCCTGGCACAGCGGCGACAAGCAAGATCAGATCGGCCAGCAGTGAGCAAGCGGAGGTCTCCGGCTGCCCTCAGCCAGCATGCCTAGCAGTCGGGAGTGCTGGGAGCTGCAGGTGACCCCTGGCAGAGAACCTGTTGGAAAAGGTGAAGCAGCAGCTGCAGAGCAGTTCCTGCTGGCGTATTTTCGGCGTCTCCTGGCAAAGGCCCACGTCTCCGGATGAAAGCATGAAACTTTCCCCAAAGGCCTTTTCAAATACATTTCTGGCTCCGTGCCTTTGTACTCCGCGATTCCTCCAAGGAGCTTAAGGCCGCTTGCATAGATACAAAGATTTTGCTTCACGACAAACCTGTGAGGTAGGCCAGTTTAAGAGTAACATTTGGCAAGCTTTCAGGGCTGCGCAAGGTAGAGGATTTGAACCCGGGTTCCCCAGGCTTTGCCTGAGATTCTAAGCCAGCCTTCCCTAACCTGGGGCAATCCAGAGATTTGGGACTACAAGCCCCAGCAGCCCTTGGCGTTGGGCATGCTGACTGATGGGTCCTAAAGACCAAAACACCCAGGAACCAGGAACCTGTAGTCATGCCCGCTCAACAGCGCCTTAAGTGTATCGTGCATCTGTTTTAAGAAAGCTTCCTACCCTGAAGGAAAGGCACTTTGCACATGCTCAGAAGCAGCTTGACAATACCCTTTTCAAATCTACACACACATTTCTTTGCTAATTTAAATTATTTCTCTGTTTCTATAATGATTTACAATTGTTTTGTTGTTGTTTTTAAGTTATTGCCACTGGCAGAGCCCCTGCTTTCCACGCACAATGTTTGGCGCCTCCCTGGGTTATTGTGCTGTCTGAACACGGACAAGATAGCAAACCATGGCGAGCAGATCTGAGTTCACTACCCAGTGACAATCCATGGCTTCTCTTCATGGGTTATTTGTGGTTAGTTAACCCATGCTTTGCCAGCCTGGCTGCATTCGGGCAATACAGCAACCCGTGGTTCACCCTCAACCCATGAATGTGGGTTATTGAGTTGTCTGAACCCAACCAGTACAAGATAACTGAACTAACCACTTTGGGGCAATTGTGGAAAAGCAGGCGGCCTGGTCAAGTTTCTGCAGAAGGGAGTTGGGCCAGCACTGGGGCTGCTGCGAAAGAGGCCCTGCCCTGCTCCTGCTGCAGTTGGGGGGTGGGGGCGAGTCTGGTCAGCACCCCCGGCTGCCGCACCACTCCAGAGGGACAGGCCTGATTCACAGGCAAGGTTTGGCCCCAGGGTTGCGGTTGGTGGGGTGAAGGCCGTCGGTCAGCATGGGTGGAGGCACGTTCCCGCTCGTGGAAATGGGTCACTTTTACCTGTCACGTGTATAGGCGACGTTCTCCTGCAGGAAGGGAAGCCCAAGCGCCTTTCCCGGCAGGGAGATCAAAGCATGAGGAAAGCCGTGATCTTGGCGCTCGTTCTGTGGAAGATGGGATCGAGCCAGGCCTGGCCGGGGCCCCTCCAGCCTGTCTCGGGGGAGTCCTCCGTCCATGCTCAGGGGCTGGGCTGGGCTGGGCTGCGGCGGCCGAGCGCGGGGGGCCCAGGCGGAGCCACTCCGGATCGCGGCGCCTCCCCGCGGCCGCCCGCCCGCGACCCGCTTCCCGGAGGAGGAGCCTGGCGCGGGCGGCGCGGCCTCCAGCCCCAGCCCGGGAGGCAGTCACGCGTCCCGGCGGGGCGGGGCACGCTCCGCTCGTGTGAACGCTCCGCTCCGCTCGGCTCGGGCGCCCGCCCGCCCGCCCGCCCGCCAGCATGGAGGTGCCCGCGGTCAACCTGAAGGTGCGCGCCGGGGCTCGGGGAGGGGCCGCCCGCCCGCCAGCCAGGCGGGTCGGACTTCGGCGCCCATCGGCCCCGGCCCCTGGGGCTGATGGAGGCTGGAGTCCCGCGCTGGGCAAGGCTCCGGGGCTGGCCGGGGGGACGCCTGCCCGGGCAGAGCGAGGGCCGGGGCTGATGGGGGCTGGAGTGCCGCGCTGGGCAAGGCTCCGGGGCTGGCCGGGGGGACGCCTGCCCGGGCAGAGCGAGGGCCGGGGCTGATGGGGGCTGGAGTCCCGCGCTGGGCAAGGCCGGGTAGCTGCGCGGGTGCCCGAGAGAAGCGGGGCTGGCTGGCGGGTGCAGACCCGGGGCCCACGCGGGGAAGGCCGTGCAGCAAGCGGGGCGCGGCGCCCGGGAGAGCGGGGCTGCGGGTGGCTGGGACGGACGCGCCGCCCGTTTCCTCTTTCTGCCTCATCCCTCTTTCCTTGCGTGTCGTGTCTTTTTTAGATTGTAAAGCAGCGGGGCGGGGGCTGGCTTGTTTCACGGGCTGAGCAGAAGCAGCTCCTGGCGCCTTTGGGGGGGGGGCTGCCCTAAAATAAAAAGGAGAGCAAGAAGGAAGGAAACGGGGGAGGCCAGGTATGTGCGTGTTTGAGAAGGTGTTCCCGTCTGCTGTAACCCCCAAGTGGACAGGTGCACTTGGGAACATTCTCCCAGAGCCACCCCCATGCTCTTTTAGAAGAATTGTGTTTCCTCTCCTTGCACCTTGACTTTTGGGACCGTGACCCTTGCGCAATCCTGCACTTTTCACGTGCCGGTCCCCAAGTGGGGATTTCCCGCTACATATTTCCATTTCTGCCTGAGTGTAGCTTTGCCACCTGCCCCTTTCCAGCTCCTTGGGAAACACGGCTGCATCTCAGCGTCTGGGTTTCCTAACTGTCTCAGCTCTCCAGTTCCACTTCCGGGCTGAAGTGGTGAATGAAATGAAATGGAGAAGGGGAAGACGCAGGCTTCCTTTCTCCCCATCTTACCAAACGTAAGGATTCCACCGTCAGGAATGGCCCACAGATACGTTCTCACAACCGCATTATGGGCACGTAGTGTCCTCTTATCTAGATGAACAGGGTCTACGGTTTTTCAGAAAGGCGGCGACAAGGTTCAGAAAGAATTGTTGTGGGTTGTTGAAAGGTGGGTTACCTTGTTGTCTGAATACAACTGAGAGAACAAACCATGGTGAACAATTCACAGCTCACAAGCCCTTGGCTGGGTTCAGACAACAGGATAACTCAAAGCTCGAGTATGTGTCGAGTTCAGGGTGAGGCGTATTTTCTTTGGAGCTGGTGGCTCCCTGCATTGTGTATTTGCTTTCTAGATACAGGAAGGGTCCTTTGTTTTTCTGTGGAAACTCACAAACCGTATTTCCGAAGCAGGCAGGCCACCTCTGATGAAATTGCAGAAACCAGAGAAGATATTGGGGGGGGGGGGGAGAAATGAGGGACACCAAAAAATTAAGGATTTCCCCTGCCCCAAGAAGTTTTAGAACATTGAGAGGGGATTTTTCTCTGAATATTTCTGGGTTTTGCCTGCCTGGTGTTCGTCCCACTTAGCCTTCATTCTTCCAAGCCAGAAGGTGTCTGAATAAAACGTCGTATGAAGGGTAAGGAGGGGCAATTTGGTGTGGGTTCAAGACAGGAGAAAGCAGCTCACCCACCATGCCTTATAAGAAATTCTGGATGGGGTGCAGGGTTGGTGCGAAGCCCTGGGAACATCTTGGGTTAAGAGGGCTGTCGGCGTTCTGTTTGCCTGGATTATTCATTAACGTGAGCATTTCCTTTAAACCTCTGCACTCACAAAACAGAAGTATATCTAAACAGAACTGGGTTGTGTGTTTCCACTGCCCTGAGACGATGGCGGGCAACCGTGGTGCCTTGCAGTTGTGTTGACTACAGCCCCCATCATCCCTGCGTATGGTGGAGCTGTAGTCCGGTAGATCTGGAGGGCCCCATTTTGGGTGGGGAAGCCGAAGAAAAAAGCTGCAGTCATCCACAAATGAGAGGGGAACCAGCCCTTGAGCGTCACAGAAGCAAAGCCGAGCGCTTCCCGCACACCTGAAAGTATTTCACCCACCTGACATGTTGAGGAAACCCGCCTCAGTGCAGGAGCGATGTCGACGGTTTCGTCCTCTGTAGAAAGGTTAACACCCCTGGAGGAAAGAGAAAAAGATTTTTTCCTGAAATGTGCTGGTCAGCATAAAAATGTTTTTAGTCATTGGATGGCTGTTGTGCAACTTTGGAGTGTTTGTACATTGCCAAAAGAGAAAGCGAAGATCAAGAAACTGGTGGGATGGGAGGGGAGGGAAGGAACTGAGTGATCCACCAAGGGTGCAGTTTAGACAGAACATCTTCCAGGAGGGATGGGGTGGATCCCTTGGTGTGAGTGATCCAGCAAGGGTGCAGTTCAGATCTGCCAGCTTTCTGGAGCACGCTGGGAGTCGTCGGACTCTTTTCTGCTGAAGCAGAAGTCCTCCCTGCTTGGGGGCAGTCTATCTGCAGGTTGCCAGATGCTTTGGAGAAACGCTAGGAAAGGTGCGCTGCATTTGTGCAACCTAAAACACCACGGTGTCTTGTTGGGTCGCCTGAATGTAGCCGGAGTGGCTTGAACCTGCACTGGCTGGGTTCAGACGACAGAGCAAGCCACCCGACTCATCGCTGTTGTGTGAGCCCGGTCATGCGCCCATCTGTGCTGAGGAAGTGCAGCTGATCTCTCAGGAACTGGAAGCTGGACTTCCTGGCCTCTTGGCCCGAGTTCTTAAGGTGGTTGATGTTAGTTGCAAAGTCGCGTCCGACCCATCGCAACCCCACGGACAACATTCCTCCGGGCCTTCCTGTCCTTTAATGTCCGAAAAAATGATTCCCGTGGCACACGCGCCCTTCCCACGGTGCCAGAGAATGGCAAAAGGAGCTGCTGGACCTTCTCAAGGCCAGATAAGGATGAGTTCTGTGTCCTTTTTGCAGAGGGAGACGTATTCTGCATTTTTGTGTATGCACACCAAGTACCCGGTGTTAAATCATCCAGGATCTTGTGAGACTCTTTGTAACATTTTTATAAACGACTGTTCTACTCTTCTTGTGCAGACCGTCCCTGCTTCCCTGCGCCAAGGTAAAGATCTCTTTTGGCCTGTGCCAACACATACGCTAGTCATCTTGTTTGCCTTCAGTGGTCCCCACAGATAAGCATGAGGTCTAGAAACTTTGCAAGGCTGCCTTCTTTTCCTAGGATAGATTTCTGTTGCGAGCTTTTTGGGTGCGTGGGTGTGATTGTGTTCACTTCAGAACCTATGAAAAGCCATGCTGGATTAGACCAAAGGGCCTCTAGTCCAGTCCTCCGTGCACTTGGGGGCTAACCAGCTGCCTGCAGGATCCCTCAGGCAGGGTGGGGGCGAGACCTCCACCTGCCCAGCTCCCGGCAGCTGGTGCATGCAGGCACGCCACCTCTGGTAAAGGTGGTGGCCCACGACCAGCAAGGCTAGTAGCCACGGATAGCCTCCTCCTCCACTGAATTTTGCAAAATCTCCACTGGGCTGAGCAACCCAAAGGTTGGATTCTTGGCTGAATTCCTTTTACCTGACTGGGGGCTGATTCAGGCTTTCTTAGCCGGGGAAAGAAGCGAGCGATTCACTTATCTAGTGAATGGCCTTGTGTTTCACAGACCTCTTTCTGTCATGCTGTGTCATCCTTGCTTGTTCTTTTCCCCAACCCGAACATGGTTATTTTGCTTCATCCACGTTGTTTTGAAACGCAAGAGCACAACCAAGAGACAAGGCTCCCCTCCAGGGCCGGGGGACTTTTGAGAAGGCTGCGAGAAATGCAGAAACTCAGAAACTCCCTGGCTGCTCTGCTCTCGTATTCTTTCACCTTCCTTAAAAAAAGGAAAACAAATCATGGATTTTGGGGGGCAGCTGAAAAATGCACAAAAGGTTATGAAAAGCTTATTGCACGTGTCCTGCCTGATTTTAATTTTGGGCACCACAGGGGGGCAATTATGTTAGGCCAATACAGGCTGTGTTTGCATGGAGGTCTCCGTGTTAATAATGCTGGACTCTGGGGACGTGCAGAGGCGGGTGAGGGGGCAGAAGAAGGGATGTTTAATTAGCTGACGGTTTTAAATGAACAAATGTTACCCCGCCCCCTCCCTGTGTACCCACACTTTGCTGGATAATATAACCGGACTTTTTTCCCTTCTAAGCTGTTAAAACAATAAATATATTAAAATATTTTCCTTTATGCAGACGGATTTTTAAAAAGCTCAGTACGGTGGCATAGAAAACACAAGCCAAATCGCTCCGCAGGTTTGCCATTCTAGGTCGAATCTTAGTTTTTTAGATAAAATTGGCTCTTGCAATTAAATTGTAGTGGTCAAGACACTTCCAAAATGTTATAAGTCTCTGTGTTTTTTATGCACTGAAACAATACTATATGTTTTGTTAATCTTCAGGCCACTATGTTACAGGAGGTGAGCTTTTACATTTCCACTTTTATAGTATCCATCTTTTAGCTGTTGTTTAATCAAAACAAAACAAAATGGGATTTAAACAATCCCATATTTTCTTCCAGCTCAGTTAAACTGTGGAAAGGCAGGGCGCTGAACCTCAGTCTTAAACTCTAAAAAGACATGACATTAAAGGAAGATAGAACTAAAAAAGCAGTCCTTTTTCAGCAGGGCTCTGTCTCTTACTAGGTCAGTGCAAGTCAAACATGACACACTGCCCTTAAAATGCAGACATCCTGGTTCTTGTGCCACTTCCAGCTTTTCCGCGAATATAGTCATTTCTTTCTTTTTTAGAATTGCACCATATGAGGAAGGAGGGCAATAGGATGATGGATGTCCTATTGGGGCTGCCCCAAGCATTGCAAAAGCACTGAGGGAGAGCAGTTTTGTGTGGGACTTGCATTCCTGCTGCAAAGTATCTCTCTCGGTGTGTGAAAGAGAGGGAGAGGTCTTTAGAATATTTTTAGTGGCTACTTAGAGGTTAAGCATAGAATACGATTTCAGAAACTGTGCCTGACAAAGCACGGCAGGCCATAAAAACCCAGCGTGAAAGCAGAATGGGCCGGCATGAAATGCAGGCTCCTCGAGCCTTGGTTTGGTGCAAGTGTGTCGCACGTCAGTGCAAGGCCTCCCACACATCCGAGCGCCTGTGTGTGCTCTGTGCCTTTGTTGTATTTGTATGCAGTGTTTTCAGGTTTGCATCACGCTGTTAATGCAGCCCGAGTGCCGCTTTTGCTAGACAGGTGGGGTACGCGTCAAGCAAAGACATAAAACTTTCAGATTTATACGGTACGCTATGAGAGCAGATAATTCTAAGAACTTTGGAGGAGGCCTGATGGATCTGACCAAAGCTCACAGCCCCTGCCACCTTTGTTCCCCAGCAACTATATTCTGATACTAGAGAAGCATTTTGCCATGAGGACTAGTAGCCTTTGTCTGAGCCCCCTGTAAAGCCCCCCCATTACACCTTGTGGAAGGGAATCCCCTTTGCTCTGTCCCAGACCTGCCATCCACCCGCTTAGTGTGGCGGCCCTTTTCGCGTTCTAGGAATCCTGCCTGCCTCTTTGTCTCTTCCCTGTTGGGCTGCGAAAGTAGCACCCATGTTGTGAGCCGCCCCGAGGCTTCGGCGAATGGGGCGGCATAGAAATGTATTGATAAATAATAAATAAATAAATTGCCTTCTTGCTTTTCCTTGCAGGCCATCATTCTGCTGCACTGGTTGCTTACGTTATGGTGAGTGAGCTGGCCCGCTTCCTTTGGATCCCTGTGCTTTCCAGAGCCGTCGCTCATGGATCGTGGCCAAGAGCACACAGGTTCTCCTTGCCTCTGAGCCAATGCAGCCTGGCTTTTTGAAAGCCGCCGTGCCGAAAGTACCCTCTGGGGCCCCACATGGCATCGGGTGGGGGAGGATGAGAATCCACACGATGTCGATCCGGGAGTGGCTGGCAAAATGCATGCTCCGTGTGTGGCGCCAGAAGGTTGCACGTGCTGAGTTTCGGTCAGCGGCGGGCGGGGAGCCAAACTTACCCCATCTGCCAGACTGCTGACAACAGCTTTTTCTGCAGAAATCCTTTCCATATCCTCCCACGTTTTGTTCTGTCCTTCTTGGGGGGGTGGAAACATCCATCCTTTGCTTGGCATTTAAAGGGCTTCCTAACACATCCATGGGTCCCCAGTGTGTTTGGGTTTGGTGGGCACATGGTGGAATGCTGGGAGTGTATGGGGGCACTGTCACAAGATGGCTGCCACAGGGGGAGGTCTGCCAGCTCGCGAGGTGGCTGCCAGGTGGGCACGGCCAGTCGTGAAACAGCTCCCAGAGGGCGAATCGCTGGTGAGACTCAAAGAAAAGTCCGTTGTCCAAAAGCCGAAGGCCGAGATGCAGGGGATGAACGCCAAAACCCAGCGGCACCCTGGAACCCCAATAAAGATGCTGCCCGAGGGAAGCTCTTCCGTTTTAATGTGCCAGCACGAAGACATTTTTAAAATAATAAAGTGTAAGGAGTAAAAACCAGGAGGTGTGGAACCAGCTGGGCACCAAGGGGGTTGTCTTAGCCGCTCTGCAGCCAGCAATGGGGTGCCAGGTTTAATCGAATTTGAGCTGAGAAGAGCCATTTTCTTGTAGCGAAGGCTTGAAAGCAGCTTGTGCCAGGTGTGCGCTGAAACGATGCCAGTTTTGTTTCTTTCTCCCTCTCTCTACCAGGGGCTGCATGGTGAATTGGTTACCCAGTTCCTACGCCTGGGGAAACTTCACTTCACTCGCACTGGGCGTCTGGGCGGTTGCCCAGAGAGACTCCATCGATGCTATTCTCATGGTTGGTTTCTCAAGCTTTTTGTCCTCCTGGTCGCTGCGTGTGTCTCTGCGCTTCTGTTGGAGGCCAAGAACGGAGCCAGTAGAGAAATGCGGCTACCGAGCGTTGGCTAGCCGGCTTCAATCCCTAGAATTCTCCACCATCCTCTTTATCGCTCTGATTATTAACTTTACGGATGGTTATTTAATAATATTTAATGTTTTAATACTTTGAGCTTTTCATTGTTATCTTTGTTATTTTGGTTGTTGTTTTATTTCAGTTTGAGGGAATTATCAGCTGGGAAAGGAGGAGTGGCCAGGGAGACAGGAGCGGGCAGAGGGAAATGCCAACTTCCCACCAGCTCGGTGGACAGGCGACTTCATTTTAACTCTTCCCTCCCCATTCCTGTCTCCTTGTATGCCGTTATTACTGTGCAACATGTGCTGACATGTCTCATTTACTGTCCATGAGCCACTCGGAGATAAAAACGTTTCAGTTAAACTGCAAGACTTGCAGCGGGGAGATGGCACCTCATAATAGGATACGGTGACGTGCAGGAAATTGCAAACCCAGGAAGCCCCCAAGGCCAACAGCTTCTGCGCTTCTCGTGTGCTTTTCCTTCGCAGTTCCTCACCAGCCTGTTGCTGACGATCCTCATGGACATCATTAACATCAGCCTGTGCTACCTTACCCTGCCCACGCACCTGTCGGACACGATGCGCTTCAGCACTGGCATGGCCATTTTCAACCTCCTCCTCAAGCCCTTGTCCTGCTACTTCGCCTACCAGATGTACCGGGAGAGGGGAGGCGAGTACGCCTTCAACATAGGTAGGCACCGGTGGCGCCGCTTCCACCCTCGACAGGCGTGTCACGTCTGGTGTTGGGCCCCCTTAAGCATAAGCGACGTCCTTCGTGTTCCGTCACACGGCCTGGGAGAGACTGCTTCAGCCTTTTCAGCTACATTTCCTGGCGTTTTGTATTTCCTTCCTTCCTTCCTCCATCCGTCCTCCCTTTAATCTGTTCTTCCTTCCTTCCTTCCCTCCGTCAGTTTCCTCCTCTGCCCGTGTCCTCCTTTCCGCCCGCCATGCTTTTCTGCCCATGCGGCACTTCCACCCTGCCAGTTTCTTGCATCTGTCCCTCATTTCCATCTGGCTTCCCTTCATGCATCCGTCCTTCTTTTCAGTCCACGCCTCCTTCGCAGGTTCCCACGTCCTTCTGTTTGTAACGATGCTCTTCCTTTCCAGACCTGGAGCCTTTGCCAGAGAGCCACTTTACCTACGACAGCGTTCATTCCGTCGCCGTGCCCCTCGCTTGCCGCTTCTGAGCCCACCTCCCCTCTCCTGCTTCCGCTTTCTGTCCAGCTTGTGTGTTGGCCTTTCGGAAACCTCCAGCCCTCTTGCGGCCTCCTTTCCTTGCCGCTTGGTGTGCCACTTGCTAGAGAAGGGCACGTCTCCCAGGACGAGGTGGCCCCGGGACGAAATGCAGGCCATTTTGGCAAGAGAGTTGTAAGGCCCTTTGCCCTCATGGTGTTTCCAAGACCCCATGAGAATTGTAGCCCTTTAATTAAGAAAATAAACATCCCCCTGTTAAGCAAACACTACGCACATTACTATGCTACACTTGCAAGCAGGAAACCTTGCAGTGTCTCTCTTAAAGTTTGCTTTTAAGCTTGAAATGATTTGCATCTTCCGGCCTCCTAGAAAGTCTGGCCTCCAACTCCCATCGCCCCTCGGTGCCCTAGCCAGTAGTGTGGGATCATAGGAGCTGTAGGCCAAAACCTCGGGGGTGAGCACACGTTAAATCTAAGGCTTTGGGCCTTCCAGGAGCCCACCTGAGTGAATGCTGTGAGAAGATGATGTTGGTGAGAAGGCGATACGTCCCTGTCTCTTGTTTGCACGCCTACTAGAGTGTCCAGCCCAGGATGGGAAAAAGAGTGAAACGGGGTTGGGGCTGTTGTGAACTGGTCACCTTTCTTAGCCACCTTGCACACTCATTTTTGTAAGAGTTTTCCCAGTTGTTCTGCAGTGCCAACTGCTCAAACTCCGCCTTGCGTGCAGGCCGGTCAGCACCAAGGGTCGCCACGTTTGGGCCTCCACCGAGGACTCACACCCCGACTGCGGCCCGCCAGCAAGACCCACTGCCCAGAATGAGGATGGGCACACAAGGGGGAAGTCGTCAGATAAGCCGTGGGTGGGAGAGAGTTAAGGGAAGGTAGGAGAGCATGTGGGGAGCCGGCACTTCAGTGCCCTTTCCCCGAGTCATTATGAAAGAGAGCGTGGGTGGCGGCGGGGACTTGATTGCTCAAGAGGAGGTGGGGTGGCAAGCTGAGCCCTGCGGATCCGGGCCACAGGTGCCTCATGCTCTTTGAACCAGGTTCCGAAAATAGACACACCCCGAGCATTTTCAGTCTCTCTGTCCCGAGGGAGAGTTGTGCTCGTCCTCCTCTCTGCTTGCAGGCAGTTTTGCAAAATGGAGAGGACAGGAGACACCATCTCCCTGCACGGGGGTGCATTTCGTTTAGGGGTGGGCAGCTTCTCCACCGCTGAATTCCAGCTGCAGTCATGGCCGAATGGTCAGCAGAGTGTTTCCAAATTCTGGTAGCAAGCCACCACAGTGGCCTAAACAAGACCACCTTTCAGGCTGAAACCAAAGCCGAACTGGCTGGGGAACGCCGGAAGGTGCGGGGCATTTTTTCTGGCTAAACATATATAGGATTACACCTTAAAACGCCAACACTGGTCTCTCTGGGACTTGCGAGTGGCTTTTAATTTTCTTTCTAAATTAAATAAAAACCAAAAGGTGATACAGAAAGAGCAGTTGGCTTGGTTTCATTCACCCCGAGAGGAACACAGATGGATCCGATGAACGGGCAGACAACTGTTGCATCGTGTTTCCGAATCAGCCAGCCAAATGCTTCCGGAAAGCTGGCATGCCCTAAATTTTCCCCTGCTGCACGAGGCGACTTTGTTTCTGCACTGCAACTGGACAGCACAAGTCCGTGGGGTTTGGGTTGGGTTGCTCACAAATGCCCCCTGCCAGTTTGAACACAATCACACCTAAAAGCGGTGCTAACACAAAGATGGCTTTAGCCGAAGTTTAGGCAAGGCTGGGAAGCTCCACTCCTGCAGGTGGTTGGGCAAGGGACCCCTGAACACAGACAAGGGGAGGGGACTGGATTTGGTCACTGGGGGAAAAGCAGCACCGTTTGTCCATTGTGGAAGATCAGCACAATGGACAAATAGAGGGAGGCTTTGGCTAAAGATGCGGAATAATCTAATGCCATCGGGTTATGGCACAAACCAGGAGGCAGGGTGGCCTAGGGGTTAGAGTGCTGGGCTGGGACTCGGGAGCCTTCTGCTCGGTCATGACGTTCACCAAGTGCCTTAGGCCCGTCCCTGACTCTCAGCATAACCTACCTCGCAGAGCTGTTGTGAGGATAAAATAGTACTATAAAAGTTGGGTTCCTTGCAGGAAGAAAGGCAGAATAAGCCGGCTTACATTTGCTTCCTGTTTTTGCCTTCACCATTCCTTGCATTGACCACTGACCTTGAGTTACCTAGGACGTTCCTTGCATTATCTAGAACAGAGATGGGCTTTGGTCTGATCTAGCAGGCATCTCGCCATTCTTACCATTTGGACCTCACGTCCTGCAAGTGCCAGTGAGTGCAGCCAAGGGTTGGAGCTGAGAACATCTGGGGACCTTCCACCCTCCCTTTAAGAATGGGAGGGAAGAAGCCACTGGATGGGTATACAGGTGGTCACGGCTGGCCTGAGAATGGTTTGAACCTGGCTTGCTGCCTCTCTGATGCTAAAAGTGTCGGGGTTGCCCCTCTTCTCTTGCAGGCATCCTCCAAGTCGGCCATGACCGCAGCTCCTACCAGCCCATCGACACGCCCGAGCCCCCACGGCCGTACCCAGATGTGGCAAGCAAGGCTGGGCCTCCCCGCCCTTACTGAGGGTCCCTCTCACTGCCGAGACAGCAAGACCACCAGTCTCTCTCCTTTTGGAGTCCAGGGCTTGGGATTCAAAGCCCCGTGCCCTCCATTTGGTCACGGAAGCACAGCTTTGAAGCGTCTCTGAGAGAATCCGGAAGTTCAGGTGCCCTCTTCTCAGGAACGCCTCGGGGGGCTGAGACCTTCCCACTGTTCCCCCACCGCAAATCTGGAGCCTTCTCAAATCTTCTGGGAGAATGCGCCACTGTTGAGCTTTCCCCTCCAAGACGGTTACCTGTGCCGCTCCAGTCACTTTCTTTTACTTTCTGCTTTTCCCAAGCTGAACCTCTGGTCATTTCAAACACCCTGCGCCTCTTGAATGATCAAACCTGCAAATTTATCAGCTCCCTAAAAAAGAGGTTCTGGGGGATACTTCAGACGTGGACCGCAAAGGTGCCCCGCACACCAAGCCTCGCTCCTGGAGACTTTATGCCACTGCTGGAATCGTTTGAGGAAGAGCTGGCTGCTGGCAGGAGCTGCCTAAGATCAACACACCCTTCTCCCCTACCGTTGCCAAAACCTGAGCCATTCTCTGCCAATGCTTTGCTCTTGCACACTTTCAGGGGTCGGCCGGGGTGCCAAATCTTTCAGCTCATACATGTACGTCGTGCCTTCAAATATACAGCCTTTGCAGCCGAGTTTCTTTAGCAGAAGAAGATGTTTAATAAAATGTTTCACACAGTGCTGAGCATCGTTTGGGCCTTCCACCAGGCACCTGGGTGGTGTAGCGGAATTGGGGCTTGGAGGGATGCTTCACTGGGGCCGTTTTAGTAGCAGGGCTGTGATGGCATCTGCTGCCACACTCCGATTTCCCCGTCTGCAACCTTTACGGGGATGGGGACAGGGAGAAGTTTTCCCAGCACCTTGCAATCAACGCTGGTCCAATTTTTCCCCTGATCTTTTCCAGCCCTTCTTCCTTCAGTTATTTGAAAGTAACGACACTCTGGTTGAAGAGAGATTCGGCAGTGACAAAAACGAGAGGGATTCTCATGGGTTCTTGTGCTCAATCTTGCTTGGGGGGCGTCCAAGGGGTGTGCCCCAAGGTCCTGCAGCCTCCTCGGATCCCCACACATGCATGGGAAGGCATCAGGAAGCCCTTCTTCCCACGAGGCTGTTTCAGCACCGGAGCGCAGGCAGCCTGGGTGGATATGGGGCGGGGGCAGACAGGCCCGGGCCCCAGCACTCCACATGGGGGGGGAATGCAAGCGGGGGCCCTTGGGCAAAGCACCTTCGGGGGCGGCTGGGGGCTTGTCTCTGGAAAGCCGGCCGGCGGCAGTGTGGATCCTGCGGGGGGGGGGGGGGGGGGGGGGGGGGGGGGGGCGCGTGCCCGGGGCTGGTCGTTGCTCGCAGCTTCCCTGGCGGGGCCCCGGGCTTCAGCGCCGCGCGGCCGTGCGAGCCCCCCCTGGCCTCGCCCCGTTGCATTTCCGTCGGTTTGAAGGCAGGCGCGGGATGGCTGGAGGGGGCGATGCAACGGAAGGCAGGCCCCCGAGGCCCTCCCCGCCCCAGCCCAGCAGCCCGCCGCGCCCTCCTCCCTGAGGACTAGCGCGCCCGTGTTCTCCCAGCCGCGCCGGAGCAGCGGTAAGAGGGACCCCCGGCCCGCGTGCACGTTGCGCCCCCTCCCCGGGCGGGAACTGCATGGCGGCGCGATCCTGAAGCCGGGAGGATCTGCCCCGCCTTTCTGCTCTCCAGCTTTTCTTCACAACAGCCCTGGGAGGTAGGTCGGGCTGAGAGGCCCAGGACTGGCCCGGCGGGGAGCAGGATCCGGGTCGCGCGAGCCCCAGGCCGAGGCTCTAACCGCAGCACCACACTGCCTCCCTCCTCCTCGGCCTGGCCACTCCTTCCTCCGCGCCCTCTCTTCCCAAAGTGTGTATACATTTATCGACACGTGCGTTGCAACGTAGGCGAGAGAACGCGGGTCGCGGACAGAGCACGGAAAACGCCCTTGCTTACCCCGCTTTACTGACACCGATACGTTAAGCAGGGGTTGAAGAAACACTATTGAAAACAGCGCATGGTTCGTGAAATCCTTATAATGAAGCCCACTGTAATGATGAAACGCCACTGTCAAAACGGAGGGGGGCGTGCGAGCCAAGCGAGCGAAGCAAACGCCAAACGGAGCCGCGAAGAGCGTGCGTAAAACCAGACGCGCCTTACTCAACCCACGTGCCTGTTTACCTCCCTGACGCATTGACCAAACAACCCTCCATGTTGCAAAGCCACCTTAATGGGCGTTGCGACATCTCACTCCTTGTTGTTTCATCCTGCCAGCCAGAGGTTGTGCGGTTTGGCCTTCGGAGCGACAAAATAAGCATCGGGGTTATAAAGCGGCGTCCGGCGTGGTTGCAAACACGGCCTCCCCCTGGTTGGACCTAGGCGAAATTCAAGGGGGTTGTTTGGACACCACAAGGTGTCCCTCAGCAAAGACTCCTGAGCTAACATAGCAGTGAGGGAATAAAAGGGGAAGGGTCCTCTTATGGATGAATACAGCAGAGAGTGGGAATCAATGGGGATTTCTCCCAGTGGACTGAGGTAAACAGCGGGGTCTGGAGGGTTCTGTATTCGGGTCCAACTGTTCATGCATGAACTGGAGTTGGGAGTGAGCAGCGTTTTTCCTTATCCCATTGCATTGTATCACAGCCTGCAAGGAACACAAAGCAGCTTACAAAGTCCTCCTCCTCTCCGTTTTAGTCCTGTTAACAGCAGCCCTGTGAGGTAGGCTGGGCTGAGAGTCTGTGACTGGCCCAAAGTCACCCAGTGGGCTCCATGGCTAAATTCGGACTAGAACCCAGATCACCCGGTCCCAAGTCCACCAGTTTTGGCCACTATATCACTCTGGCTCTTGGACACCGCTTAATATCATTAAATGCTTAAGTAGTCCACATCTAGTAAAAATCGAGGTAGCAACAGAACAGCGAGAGAGAGAGAGAGAACAGCCAAATGCCAAATGTTCGGGTTTGAAGGCTTATAAGCTTTGGCCAGGGAAATCTTCAGCGCTTGCAGGCCATGTGTGAGCTCCATGGCAGGGCAGTTTGCTGTTCTGAACTGTACCGTCTGCATGCTTTCTTAGCCCTGAGGAGTAGTTCCATGTTGTACCCATTTCACAGGTAGTTAACCTGAGGCTGAGCTGCCACCCACCTCCTTATGCATTACTGCTTTTCCGGGCCATTCAGTGGCAAAGCGGGAATGCAACAGGCGGCAGTGGAAACCTTGGCCTCAGTTTTACTCCCTGCATAACGAGTACATCTCTGAGTCTTCTGCACTGAAAGCCTCCGACTGTTGTTGTTAGTCGCAAAGTCGTGTCCGACCCATCGCGACCCCGTGGAAAGCCACCGATACTGGCTTTCAAACTCTTGGCTACCTAGCTTGAGCCTTACTTCTGTTTCTTTGTTTATCTCCATCAATTTGCCCTTCCAGGCAGTGGCTTTGTGTCCCAGGCTTGCTTTTATGGGATTACTGTTTTTCTAATCCTGTTTGGAAGGGCTGAGTTACCCTTACACAAACATGGAGAGCTCAAACAAGCTCCCGAGAGGATGGAGGAAAGAAAACATCCCACCTGCATTAGAGAGCTACCTGATACCAGGTAAGTGTTGTGTCTCATATACCACCCGCCCTTGTGAGAACAAAGATCCCACTCAGTGCAGAGTGCTGATTCTCACAGCGGCTGGGCCTTTTGGTATCCGCGGCAGTGCTTTTGATTCTCCCACGCATTTTAATTCTCTGCTTTGAAAAAGGAATAGAAAAATGGCAATACAAATTGTATTTTGCACGTTCGGGTCTTTGCCTTGCAGCTAGCATTTGCTTTAGTTTGCTTTTTTGCTGTTAAGCTTTCTTTTTTAAAAAATACGCTTTCTTCCACTGTTGTGTTGATTTACGGTGTGACATTTTGTGAGCCATTTGGATAACTTGGCTGAAGGGGTGTTATAGCAATTTAATCTGTAAAGACATGGCAAGAACAGGGGCTTGTCTTTCTAGCTGTAAGAAGGGGTTAAAACACCAGGAAACCATCACCTGGGGGTGGGGGGGTGTTGTATTTTTGCTCACTAGGTGCATGGATCGGTCTGTTTCTAAGCTAATTTATTCGGACCATGTTAAGGACGGTGTACCAATTAGCGGCAGATCAAAACCTTCTCCCCTCCTCAACCCCTGGACATCTGGAGCCGCAACGAGTCACTGGCATCTTTAACCATTAAGTCGCTGGCATCTTTAACCGAGTCGCTGGCATCTTTAACAGCGGGGGACTGGCGTTAAGCTGCTTAGGGTGACTCAGGCCGCTGTTGCTTTGGAGTTTAAGCATCAGGTGCAGGTCGGTCGGCTTCCGAGGGTGGGGGAGTCTCATCTAGCAATCTAGCAAGGTCAGAGGCGCGAGCACAAAGAGGCGTCTGTTCTCGCCCCCGGGGCTCACGGATGGAGCAAGCGGCATGTCCCACAGTGAGTACGGTGTCCCAGGGATGCGAGAGCCGGCCACGGGCTGGGGGGTGAGGTGCAGAGGACACTCTTGGAGTGTGCTGGAAATGCAGCCCTGGGCATAGGTCCCGGTTTGGCCAGCTGCAGCTCCTTGGCTTTGTGGGATGGGTCGTTTTCTGGCAAACAAAACCCCACTGGTGAGACCTGCAATAGACTGTTGCAGTGCACACTTTGCACTTTGGGGCTGGGCTTTAGGGTTCCCGCCAGACGGCCCAAAGGCTCCAATAAGCATAACGGGGCAAACGATTTAACCCCGCACTCAACACATGCATAGTTTCCCCTTTTTCTCCAACCAGAACTCAGTATTCCACAGTTGCTGCGTGTGCTTCATTTTCCATCAGCAGTTTTAGAAATGCCCCCTCAGTCTTGTCTGCCTGTTGTACTTCTGCAAGCTTGGATAGCCCCAGACACTCTCCTATTCCCCTTTTCTCTCTCAGTGGCTGCAGTTTGGCTCAGCGTCTCACAATCACCCTACCCTGCCTGCCATTTTTGGATGGGGAAGTCTGGTGGCAGCCGGTCCATCCCTTAAAGCCAGGCCATAGGCCCTGTGTGATCTGTAGGCTGGGTGTGGCCCACCCGTGGTTTGAATGCCGTGGAAAACATGTCCGAGGAATCTGCGTGACTTGGGAAAAGATGGCCCACTGCAGAATCCGTAGGCTGTACTCACTGAAATCTGAACTCATCTGAACCTTTGTTCCCTCATGTTCAGTCATGTAGATAAATTCTTGTACCTTGTAAGCTGCAGTCTCCCTTCTGCTGCTCTTTTATAACTGAGACGGTGTGCACAGGTAATTTTCTCACCGAGTTTGCTCTTGTGACATCATGGAACATTCATACGACTTTCCAACTATTGAAAGACAAGGTTCTCTTGTAGGACCGGTGTGAAATACCAGTTACTGGAGGATAGGAAATTTATTTGAGATGTGCTTAATGCTACGACTGCTCTGTTTTTCTTCCCTCACTCCTCTGCAGAGCAAGGGAATGTCCAGAAAAACATCAATGTCAAACTGTATTTGTCCCCTGGAAATCCAGTTGCAGGATCCCGCCATCAAGCTGGTTCTGCCATTCCTGGGTTCCACCACACTGGAGAGACAACGCACGGGAGGCCACGAGCTGCTTCTATGAGAAACAGGCCTGCCGGACCTCAGCCGCAGAATCGAGTCCAAACCAATCTCGCTTGCCCGTATTGGCCACTTCGGGACACCACGGCCGACCCCGCATCCTGGCGGCAAAGCAACCTTGAATCTAAGAGGCACAGGATGGAACCCCTCGGCGACCCCGGCTCTCTTCCAGCTGCACGCAGCTCATGCCCAGGTGGCTCAAGAAAGAAACCCCCCAGTGAGCGCCCCGGCAGAAGCAGTGCTTTCCCCCGGGCCGAAAGGAGCACCTCCAAGGAGAGAAGAGGGCATGAGGGCCGGCAGGTGCGCACACAGCCAATAGGTTCGGTCTCTGGGCCAGGAAGACCAAATCTTGAGGCCGATGGAAGGTCCTTCTCTCCAGTGGACTTGCTGGGGGTGTCTTATCTAGGCTGCCTCCACCCAGAGGGTCAACCTTCTTTTACAAGCCCCAGCAGGAGTCTCGAATCCATACCTCCAGGGCCACCCCTCACCATAGACCATCTGAAGTCTTCGCCCTTGGCTGAGAGAGGCGTGTCTTCCACACTGCTCCGGACCCTCCTAGAGTCTTCCCAGACCTCTGCTGACCTGTACAGCTCCATCCAGCGGCTGAGGCAAGAAATCGCTGTGATGGGAGCCTTGGGTTCCTTCCCGTGGGAGTCCAAGTCATTGTCTCTCGCTTACCGGCCACCTGCCGATCCCCCGGCCTCGACCTCGACTGTGCTGAGTCTCATGGAGCAGCTCACCCCCAAGCAAGCCAGCGTGAATTGGGGCACCCCCCTGAGTCAGGCCTGGGATTCCAGCTTTACGAGGGGCACTGGGAGAGACAGGGAGCCCCTTCCCATTGCCTACGATAAAGTGGGAGTATACGGACCCCCAGGGGAGGAGGCCTCCGACCGAGGTTGGCCCCCGGGTGTCTGCAGCAGCGTTGGCCCAACCACACCGGCCTTTCAAGGAGAAGAACGAGAAGAAAGGTACTGCGGCACTTCCTTTCGCTACCTCCGAAGCTGCTCAGGTGCACAGCGGGCTCTGGAAGAAGAGAGTCTCTGCAGGTGTCCCAAACCCAGCGGCCACCAAAGAGCCCTGGCTGCACAGGAACCTACTGCTGGAGTGCTCCACCGCTCCGACTTGGGTCTCGGGGACCTTCCCTTGGGCCTCCTCTCCACGGATGGCTTGCAGGTCTCCCTGAAGACATGCACCAAGGCTCCGCTGAGCATGGGGGTGTGTGTGTATGATGCTCAGCAGGCAGTGCACCTGACTGTTCATTCTCCGGGAGGACCGGCGGTCACTCCGGCGCACGAGCTGGGTAAGGGCTCTGAAGAGCTTCACGCCCGTGAGGCAGGAGAAGCCTGCAGGGCCTCATTCATCGCAAGCAACGTGGACGAGCAAACCCGATGTTCACCCTTCGGGGCAGCAGCCAAAAACGGGCCCAGAGAATATTCCCAGGGTGCCAAACCCCTTGCTAGAGAATGCGTCCAGGACCTCTTGAGTCCTGCATGTTGTGACCACAGCCCTGGTGTGGAGAGAGGTCAGAGAGAGCCGCCGTGCCATTGGGAGAAAGACGGAGGGAGAGAGATCCTGCGAGGCGAGGTAAGCCCAGTCCTCCTTCATGTTGCCAGAGTTTGAATTTGTGGGCAAGTCTGGCAGAGGGAATGCCTTGCAGGGGTGGCAAGGATACAATTGAGAAAAGGGGAGCCAGGTGTGCTACCTGGTGTTCTGCGTTAAGAGGAAAAATGCAGCATAACAGTAAATATTTGTTTTAAAATCTTGTTGCATTTCTTTTGCCTAATGGATCTGGGCTTTTTCTCAAGCTGTGAACTCACTCCGGGTTACCGTGGCACAAAACGTGGAACCCTTTCAGGCAGAACCCTCAAGGTTCTAGGATGGCCCAGAGATTCCAAGCAGGAGGGTGTGTTCAGCTAAGATCTGAGCAGAACAGACCTGACATTCTCTTTTCCTGCAGAGCCTGGAAGCAGATGATGGATCAATGGAGAAGAAAAAAGACAGGTAATTGGAGGATTTACGAGGAGCTGCAGGGGATGGACTCGCCTTGGAGGCAAAGTCCACCCTTGGAGAGGCATGCCTTTTCTGAAGAGGTTTCCTGCTGCGACAGGCCAGCTCATCCTCTGACCGTGCCTCTTCTTGTAGGATGCGCTTTTATTCTCCCCTGCAGGAGAGGGGTGGAAGGAACGGAGGCTTGCGTGGTGTGCCGAGCTGCAGCAGGGCTGCCCTGCTCCTGCAAGCATTTCCCCCGTGGCAGCTCCCCCAAAAAGGAACGAAAGGTCTCCCAGGGCAGCAGGCCCCTTGCAGCTCTGGCTTCTCCGACCTGGCGGCTGCTGCGAGGAATCAGTTCGGGGAGCACGAACTGAATCCGTCCTTGCATTTGCTGACTGATCCGCAGGCCTCTGCCTGAGAGGAGGGACCCGTTGCTGGTGAAGAGCTTTGCGGCCTGGCGTGAGCACGTCTTCGGGAAGCTGGCCGTGGCCCGGGCCCAGCACGAACGCCAGCTCCTGCGCAAGGGGCTCTCCGCCCTCCAGTGGGCAGTGCAGCTGAGGAACGCCCAGGTGGCTGTCACCCAGAGAAGCCATGCCACGACGGTGCTGGCCAACGTCTTCCGCAGGGTGAGGGAGCCCCGGGAGGCGGGCCCGGGCAGGGGGCATCCCAGCTGCAGGTGTAGCCAGTGCCCAGGGATGGAGCACACGGCCTCGTGGGGGCTGGGCTCAGCTCTGGGCACCTCCAGTTGTCGAGCAAAGCCCACCAGAGCGGGCTGCCCACCAGAGCGGTCAGTATGGGGCTAGCCAGGCCAGAGGCGCGACCCGTCACTTCAGCAGGTTGTGCTGGAGGGGCCAGAGGGCAGGACGGAAAAGCAGCCCTTGACTTCAGTGCAGGTGAGTCGCTTCTTTGCATTTCTCTATTTGAGGCGTGTTGATTTCGCTCGCTTTACCATCTCAAAAGGCACAAGGGAAACAAGCTGGGGAAGGAAGGTGGAGAATCCCTTTTCAAGGGTTCTCGCGTGGAATTAAATCGGAGTTTGGGGAGGAGGAGTTGGAAGGTAAGGTGAACCCTGGTTCTCTGGCAGTGGCAGGATGCTGCAGCTAAGCGGCGGGAGGCCCGAGCTTTGCGCCAGCGGGAGACGATGACCGGCGCCAGAGAGTTGCTGCCACCCCCAGAGAGGATCACGAAACTCCCTGCCTGGTGTCAGCTTTCGGCGGAGCAGGTGGAGGATGCTGCTCGGTACCGCAGGTGCGCAGAGACAAGGCAGGGATTTGGTCCCTCGCGGCAGGTAGAGTAATTTGTCTGGCAGGTTCAGTGGCTGGATTTTGCAGCTCTTTGCAACCCTTGTGTGCAAATGAGGTATTTGAGATTGTATCAGTAGGTAGGAACCAAGCAAGCAAGCAAGCTTCTAGTCCTTATGGAGGCAAAGACAGGCCCTAAGTGTGTGGGCTTGGTGAACATCTTGGGAAGCCTTCTTGGGTCTTATATGGGGGTTCTGTCCATCACCATCATCATCATTATAATACATTTTATACTGCCCGTAGCTGAAGCTCTCTGGGCAGTTCACAACATTTAAGTCACCCATCCAGATTTCAACCACGCCTGGCCCTGCTTAGCTGCCAAGATTATGAAGGATCAGGCACTTCAGGCTATATGGAAGCTTTAGTCCTTGGCCTACCCATGAGTAGCAGCAGAATGGGATACGTAGAACTTCCCCACAAAATTTGCACAATTTAACCTACCTTTGTGACAACTCTGTGAGGTAGGTTAAGCTACAAGATAGGAACCTGCCCACATTTGCATAACTTATGCAGGTTGCAGAGTACGTAACGTGTGTGTATGTCAGACGGTCTAAATGAAGGAATTCACCAATCCGATCTCCGTGAGAGGAACAAATCCATCTAGTACAATTAGTGCTAAGCAAGAGAAGCGAAAAAGGCCGCTGCAGGTGTTTCTATCGCTGGCTTCCTCCACCTGGTGCCTTGTGCTGGACTGTACCCTCCTATCATTCCCGGGCAACATGGCTAATTACTCCATGCAGACAGAAAACAGTAATTTTTCTCAGCTCTGGAGGCAACTTTCTTTGGTGACTGGGTGGGGCCTAGGGAAGGAGGTGTGGCCACAGACAGGGGTGGGACTTATGGGCCAGAAAGGGAATCCCCATGAGCCAAAAGTTCCCCACACCTGCTCGACCCACTGCACTGCGCTGTCCAAGACAAACGAGATCGTCTCCTTGGCTTGCTTTCGTTCAGGGCGGAGGGACTTTTATGGATGCAGCTCCGTCACACGCAGGGAGCAGAAGAGCTGAACCGAAAGATGGAGGCAGTCCGAGAGATGAGGCGGCTGGCCGGTAGGAACTGTTCTTCATGGGCGCATTGCTGCAGCAAAGCGTTGCAGCACGGAGGGGCTTCCTGCCCAGGCTTCGAGGCAGCCAAGCTCGCCCTTGCCCCGGACACGCGAATTGCTCCTGTACGAAACAAGCTTTGTGCTCGTTTTGCTTTCCGCCTGCCTCTCCTCCGAGGGGCTCCTGCCCTCTCCCACTCCGCACCCCCTTTGGCCTTGCAATGGAGCTGCGCGGCAGGGCTGACTGAAGAGGCGAGCGCTGCCCAGGCGGCACCTCGCTGGCCCAGTCCAAAATTCCTGCCTGCACCTGTCCGGGGAGGCAGCCTGCAGCTCCCGGGACACGTGGCCACTGGCTCATGAGGGCTGTAGTCCTGAGCAGCCCCGTGGAACTGCACTGGGGAAGAGGGCCTTGGACCGCTTCCCTGTGCAGCCATGAAGGGCCTTTGGGGTGTAGGGACGGCCAGTCCTGCAAGCTCCTGATTGCCCCCAAACCTACTGATCCATGGGAGCTGCTCTTTTGCCTCTGCAAGGGTCCACAGCCAGAGAATGCTAGTCGGCTGAGAGGGCCTGCTTTCCCCAGGCTGGCTCAGCTTCTGCCCTGTCGTCCGTCGTGTTGGGGGGGCCCGGTTTGGCAAAGGCTGATCCTGGGTCTACAGAGAAGGTGTAACCCAGCAAAGGCTCTGTCTGCTCGGCGAGGCTGGAAGAAGCCTTCCCTTTCCAAGTCCGGCATCTCTTCTCCTGCCACGTAGCAGCTTTCAGACTGTGGCGCCTGCGCACTGAACGCCTGGACCAAGAGGAGGCCCGCGCGCAAGATGCTCGCGCCGCCCTGGAGAAGGCCCGCCTGGCGGCTGCTTTCGCAACGTGGCGTGCCCGCTGCCAGGCCAGCAGGCGGATCGTGCCACTAGCGGCTCGAATCCAGAGAGGGCTGATCAGCCGGTGAGCAAAGCGGTTTGTGACGCCTTCCTCTCGGGCAAAACCATGCCAGCGCTAACTTGGACACGGGTTGCTGGGGAGCATGGGTGTGAGTGCTCCTGTCCTGCTTCGCTGTGGGCATTTCCTCAGCTGCTGCGTGAGCCTCTGATCCCACATGGCTCTTTATGCGGCCTTCCTCTTAAGAAAGGAACGTTGCCGTTCCCTGCCCCTTGGAACAACTCCGTGGTCCTGCATTCAGTTCCGGTCACTGCTCCTTAAAAGGGGGATATTGGCAAGCTGGAAAAGTTGTGGAAGGAAATGATCAAGGGGCTGGTACGGCTCCCTAAGTTGCAACACCCAGGATGGTTTAGCTTAGGAGAAGGACTGCTAAGGGGAGACATGATCGAAGGGAAGGAAATCATGCCAAGTGTGCAGAAAGTGGAGAGGGAGGTGTATTTCGCAGCCTCCCGTGCAACCAAGGGCTCATCCCACGAAGCCGACTGTGGAGGGATTCACATCGGGTTGAAGATGGTCCTTCTCACACAGTGCAGAGCTCAATGAGGCGCTCGCTTCCACAAGAGGAAGGGGGGCTGCCGATCTGGAGGGCTTTAAAAGGGACTGGACAAATTCATATGCGGAAAGTTACGTGTGGCTGCCCATGGCTGGGGAACATGGGCAGGAGGGTGCCTGTTGCACTCCTTTCCAGCCTGTGGGTCTCCTCGAGGCAGGCGGGTCGCTGCAGTGCAAGCAGAAAGCCAGGCTAGGTGGGTGTGGGGCAGATCCAGCCCGCCTCTCCTTGTGTGAAGCACAGAAAGCGGGAAGTCAGATGCCAGCACAAGATTGTAAAGGGAAGAGTGACGCCAGTCCCCCGCTGGTGCGTCCTGATCGCTCCTGTCACTTCATAGGTGCTTTGCTGCGTGGAGGAGCTTCGCCGAGAGGCAGGTGCGGAGCTGGCACAGCCAGGAATGCCGGCGGGCCCGGGCGCTGAGGCTGTGCTTCCGGCAGTGGGCCCTGATGGTGCGGAGCCGGGAGCAGACCCGGTGGACGCTGCTGCAGCTGCTGGCCCTGAGGCAGAGGAAGGCCGATGGTGAGGAGGGGAATGGCGGGCGCGAGGTGCGGGCGGGCGGCTGCGACGCAAAGGCAGCACGTGAAGAACGGATGGCTTTCCTTCTGGCCTGAGCTCAGGCGGACGCGCCCTGCTTCGTCCAGTGCATGAAATGGGGCTCTCGGAAGGGCAGATGTGCAGAAGCGTGCTGGGTGGGGTGTGCGTGCGTGCGTGGAGTCCTAAGCTGTGTTGAGTGGTGGTGTCAGAACCGGAACCTGGAGTAACGTACACGCCATCACGAAAAAGACAGCTGCTGTTGTCCACGATCTTACAAATGGTTAAAAAAAGATGTGCAAAGGAGAAGGTTCAGGGAGGGGAAAGTAAAAAAAAAATGTTTCAGCAGAGCAGGCAGAATGTCCCACTTCCCCCTTGCTCTTCTTCCCTACATTCTGCTGGAATGAATGGTGTTACTGGTGACCCTTGAGATTCTTTCTTTAAAAATTCAGTATATGGGGATTGGACTGGGAACCAGATTGTTCTAACTGGTCTGTCTGTCTGTCTGTCTTTCTCTTTCCCACGGATGACCTGTAAAAGCAGCAAGGTTTGGCCCAGCTGCACATGCTGGAGAGGCACGGCCAGGCTGGAGTGTAGCGAGCTGGTCCCAGAGGAACGGAGCCGAGAGCCTGGAAGCCCTCTTTGGTGCCCTGACGCTGCAGGAGGCATTCCAGGCCTGGAAGGCGAGGTGGCGGGAATCCCTGGCGGCTACGTAAGTGGTTGTCCACTGCCATGACTCGACATGAGAGCTGCCGAAAAGCTCATGCTGCCATGGATAACATGCCCCGCTGACACAGGAGCTGGCGAAGAATTCTCTGTTTGGAGACACCCCAGCGGATAATTTTTCAGATCATTCCCTGCTGGAAATAGAATTCCAATTCACCTGAGTGCTCATACTTTCTTTTCAGCGCTTTCCAACGAGTGCAGGCACGACGGCGGCTGGAGGAAGCCTTGGCACGCTGGCACTGGAAGTCCCTTTGCCTCCATCCTCCCGGGCCGGGCTCCAGGGACCTCGCTGAGGACCGTCTCCTTGTCTCCCTTGAGTCTTCCCTCTCCTCTGGCTTCCACAGCAATCCGGCTGCACCGCCCGTCTCCACGGACTCATCGGCAAAGGTGAGGAATTCGTATCAATAAGCCCTTGGTGTCCCCAGGAGCTACAAGGGAGATTCCCAGCCCTGGACACCGCCGAGGCTCCATCTGGGGAGCGGCCTGGTCCCGGGGCTGTTGCTGAAGGCGGCAGTGAACAAACGTGCCCTTCAGTGCCCCTTACTCTTGTTCGGCTACATGGGATGCATTTCGAAAGAGGCTCCCTTGGCACTGCCCCGTCCAGAGGCAAGGACACACCTGGATGGGATGCGATGCACGCAGGGTGGCAGGTGCTTCCTTCGGGAGGAATCAAGCAGGAAAATAGCCTCTTGGGGAGAAGGATCCTGGCCCTGCCCTTCTCCCTCTGGGGCTGTTTGTCCACTTTCAGGAAGGTGCATTTCATTTTGCTTTCTCTAGACATGAGCAGAAACCCAGCAGAGCAGGTTGGGAAGGAGGTGGGAGACTTTCTCTGTGAATTACTTTTCTTCTTGCGGAAGGGTTTCCCTGGAGTGATCCAGGCCAACTCCACCTGCTTCCCTCCCGTTGCATGGATAGCCGTGGGCGAGGGTGTCTCCGTGTGTGCAGTAACGAAGGCTGTGCTTCAGGCACGGTCCCCAACGCTCCCTTCTTTGGCTGCAGGATGAGAGGCAGCTCCTTGCGAGATGCTTTGCGCTGTGGTCTTCTGGGACTCGGCAAGCCCTGCAGGCTCAGCAGCATCTCCGGCATTCCCTCCTGGCCCGGTAAGAGTCCCACAAACCAATTCCTCCACAGCCGTGCTCTCCCAACCTTCGCCTGCCATATGGCACTTCAGCATAGCGGTCGTTGTGTAGGCGGCCCGACATGCTACCTTTCTACTTGTGGGCGGGGGGGTTGGGTTTGGGCACCACTGTGAAGCATTAACTTTCTGGCATGCTTCAAAAGAGAACTAAATTTTAACGCACCCTTTAAAAAAAACCCAGTTCCTTCAACAAGTAGGCACTAGCCAATCTGCGAAATGCAGAGGGCGTGGATTCCAGACAATCCCTGTGCAGGTTGTCTGGGATGCGAGCCAAGCCAATTTGAAGGGATCAAGGGGGCTCGAAGGGATATTTCTCCACGTGGGAATTCCCAGACAGTCCCTCTTTGTTCCACATCGCAGGGCGTTCCTTTCCTGGGCTGAGATCGCAGCTCGGAACTCTGCGCGGCTCGAGGCCCTGGTGGAGTTCGAGCGGGCCGGGCGGCAGCGGCTTCTGGCATCCTGCTTCAGAAGGTGGAAAACAGCGTTCTCGAAAGCCGTCCAGGAAGAGGAGGAGAGGTCCCGAAGGAGGCCTGCCGGGTGCAGAGCCGTGTGGCGCTGGAGGAAAGCCACCCGGGCCTATCTGGCCCTGCGCTCGATTTCTGTCCACCAGGTGAGTAGATGTCTGAAAAGACATTTCTAAGCGCCGGCAAGACGACGAGTTGGGCAGCAGGCCAAATGCTTTGGGGAGGGCATTCCGCAAATGAGGGCCCACCCCCCATCTCTCTTGGCGTCGTTGCCTAGCTTTCTTCAGCAGGGGGCACTCAGAGGAGAGTCCCTGAATAATTCAAGGCTCTAACCCGCTCCAAATGGGAGATGCTCTTCTAGGCATCATGGTATCTGGATTTCAGAGCTTGGATGTCATACCTGTTTAAGTTCTCAGGTGGGGAAGAATGCACCTTCGGCCCTGGGAATTTGGCAGGACGTACGGTCACATGGTGCCCAGTCTGGGTTTAGGTACCACCTTGATGCTCCCAGTTCAGTCCCAACAGACAGAGCCAGTTTCTGTCCTTTCCTAACCTTTTGGAACATGATTTTTCTGCTGCTGTTTTTGAATGTTGTTCTTATTTTTGTGGTGGTTCTTCAATAAATCACAGCACATTTTGTTTTCCGTTTCTCGTGGTTTTATCTCAATACGTCTTTTCTGCTTTGCTTTGCTTTATCTTAATAAAGCTGCCTTCTCTCACACGAGGCTTGCCCAGGTTTTAGGGCCGTTGTCTTGTTCCAGGCATGACGTGGTCACGGCAGAAAGAGCATTTTTGGGGGCTGCTCCCAGGCCCTGGAAGTCCCACCAGCCTCCTTCCTTGTTGTCCTTCTGCCAGCTGGCAAAGATGTTTTTATCCAGACAGGTCTTTGGTGGGTTTAATTGATTAGGGGTGTTAATTCTGTTATGTTTGAGCTTGCATTTTATTGTTATGCTTTAAGGTTTTGTTTTTAATCGGGACTTGGTGGCTAGCTACATTGAGCACTGTGGCTTGGGTGGGAAAGCTCCGAGTCAAATCAATAAACGTATTTGCTTTTTAAAGAAAGGAAAAAACCCAGGATAGAAAGCGAACAAAGGAAAGACGAGCAGAAACGTGATGTACCCAGGACAGAAATTGGGGCCCTTTAGAGCAGCGGTGGCCCTCCAGGGGACGTGGCCTACGAGTCTCTTCAGCTCCCGCCCACATAGCCACTGGTGAAGGCGGATGGGACATACGATGCCCACCCCTGATTGAGAGCATTTATTTTGCAGCAGAGCAAAGTACGGCAGATCTGTCTTGGTAAGTAAAAGAACCACCTGGTCCGCTTAACTTTCAGGCTTGCAATTTCTGGACCAAAGCAGCCAACTTTCGGCAGTGCATCCGGAAGCAGAGCAGCCTTGCTGGAGCACGGAAGCACCGGAAAATGCCGCTCTTGTGGCCAAGCAGTAAGAGACCATGCTCTCGCCTTGTTTTCTCTGGGGGTGGCCTGGCGTGTTGATGATATGATTGCTTCTGGTTTATCGTGAAGGGAACAAGACGTGCATGCTCTCCCTTCGCTTCTGATTTCGGTCAGCCCCAGTCTGGAGTTGCACCCCAGTTCAAACTGCAGTTACCCACAAACTGTGGTGTGAAATAGGCCAGCTTCATAGACCACGGTTTGAAGTTGGCTTTTCTGAAACAAACCATGGCTTAACTAAGGCTCAGGCACCACAAGTTGCAGTTGATCACACATGGAAGAAGATGCTTTGGGGCGCCTCCTCAAAGCCCCCTGGGGGAAATGGACAGAGTGTGGAGTTGAGAGTGGTGGGGAGCAGTGATGCTTGTTCCGATGTGAATAAGTTGTGATCTGTTGAGAAGCCCAAACACAGATCTTTCAAAATGGTAATCCTAATTTTACATTAGGAATGATTAATCCTTTTTTCAGCCCAAAAGCTGTGTCCAGTTTTTGAGAATGTCTTGGAGAGGGGCTTCAAGTGGTGGTGGGGCTGAATGCAAAGGAGGCAGGACCAAGAATGCCAGACCGTATAGCTTCTGCATTAATCTGGACTCTCGTCTTCAAGGGCAGAGACAGAACAGAGAAGAGACACTCGGCCGGGGCTTGTCAGCCCCCTCCCGCCTGATCAGCAGCTCGTTTCGCGTCTGGCTGATGGCCTACAGAAGCCAGAACGGGGCTCGGAGGCCTCCGGGAAGCCTGGATGCAGCAGGGCGGATAGCAGGATACAGCCAGGCCCAGAAGAGCGGCACTGAACTGGCTGCAGCCAGGGGCGACCAGCTTGGGTAAGGCCCATACCCAGCCAAGCCTGCTGTGTGCAAGTTGCATGAATGTGGGCCCAGGCACTCGGAGGGGGGAGAGTGCCAGTTCTGCCCTCCCAAGCCCCTGAAGCTGGAGGGGATCAGCAGGCAGGGCCAGAGGCAGAACCCCACATGCTGGAGTTCTGCTATCACGCATTAACGGATCCGTCCTGCTCCAAAGAAGGCGCAACTTCCAGCCTGACTCTTCCTCCTCTCTGTCCTGGCTGCAGCAGGAAGTATCTGAGTTTGTGGAGAGGCCACGTCCTGGTGCGTCATTCCCAGGCGGCCAGGGACGCGCGATGCCTGGGCAGGGCATGGCAGGCCTGGAAGGCGGCTTGCAGGACACGGACTCTGCCGCAAGCCCTGGTAAGCAGGACCTGGGCATGCTGCCCTGTTCTTCAGAAGTCCCTCGCGGGGATTTGGAAGCTTTCCTTTTGGAAACCAGCATTAGGTGTCTAATCCACGTGGGCTGCGGCAAGCTCAAATCACAGAAGATCTCCTCCCCACAGGCAAAGCACAGGCTGGTGGAGTGGTGCTGGAAGACATGGAGGCGACGGTGTCTGCAAAGCTGGGCGGCTGAGCGTTTCCAGGAGGCTGAAGAGAAGCGCCTGCTCAGAAAGGTCAGCAGCCGCGTTTCCCCCAAAGTGCCCTCTGGCTCTGCGCATTCTTCCAGCTTATTTAAAACATTTCCTCAGTTACCCTGAGATTCTGCCTTTGCTCCATGTGCCTTGAGGCAGCACACGATTCTCCCTCCTCACTGTTTTACCCTCACAACAAGGCTGCAGGGTAGGCTGGGCTGAGAGTCAATGACTGGCCCCAAAAGCCACAGGGTGAGCTTCGTGGCCAAGCGGGGACTAGGGTCCGGGCCTCTAAAGGAGGCTGCCCTCTGCCGGGCTCATCTCTGGCCTCCTTCCAAAGCGCCTCCCTGCTTGGGGCATGGCAAACTCGATCCCAGGCTTGGCGCTCGATGGCTCCCAAAGCCTTTGCTCCCGCAGGCCGCTCGTCGCCCTCCTGAAGGAAGTCACGCACTAGGCCGGCTCCTCATGGTCAGTGGCTTGTGCAGAAGTCCTCTCAAGAGGGGCTTTTGCAGGGGCAGAGGGTGCTTGAGGAGGCACAGACCCGTTCTAAAAGCTCGCTCGAGAAAAGAAGAATGGAGGGGTCTTCCCCCATGGCAGAATAGCTTCCCTCTAATCCAGGGATGCTGGACTTCCCTGGCAGCCGGTACCTCACAGAGAAGTCTTTTCTGCTGCTTGCTACCAGACCCTGGCCCAAGGGTCGGAGTTGTTTGGAGAAAATCGAAAGTGGGGTTTGCCATCTAGGGCGGAAGGCAAAGGAGCAGGGCCACACTCCCAAAACTGCCAGTGTTGCCAGGCTGAGCACTTGACTGCCTGCAACTAAGTGTCGGGAGAGACATTTTGACCCTTCAGAACTGGAAAAATTCACCTGCCCTCTGACTTGTTTTGTCTTTTCTCCGCAGGCTTTTGCAAGGTGGCAACAGGTGGCTACGGTGTCTCACGCCAGTAGAGGAAGCATCTGCGAAAAATCTCTCAAGGATTCTGAACTCTTTTTTGAGGAGCAGGGTGACCCCTGCTCTCAAGAGAAGTGACTTCCCACTGGAAACTCCCGGAACTGCTGTTTGTCCAGCTTCTCGGAAGCGCTTCGCGATGGCCATTCAGAAGCAGGAAATGGCATCCCCGCCCCAAGGTGCCTCACGCATCTGTAGGGGGCACCCAGACACAAGGGGAGGCAGTTCGCTTTTTCCAGTGGGGTCACAGCCGGGTCCACGTTTTAGCGGGCATTCAGACACTCGCAGCTTCATGCAGTACCGACTGTGCCAGGCCAGACCGGTGTGCCTGCGCTTGGCGAGGTGGGGCTGAGAACCCAGGTACACGGCTCTGCTTGACGCAGCCCCCCCCCCCCCGGTCGCGTGGCCCCAGAACATGCATGCATACAGGAAACCGCCTGGTTCTCTTCTCTGTTCCCTCCTTTGTTCCTTTGTTGAAGCCCTTCCAATTTTCCTCCAGCATGTGGGGCAGGGGGTTAGAGGGGGTTGCCTCACAGCTGGAAAATCTCACCCACGGACCCCCTGCCTGTGCTGAAGTCCATCAGCTCTTCATTTGATGCTCAGCAAAGCGGGGAAACCTCCCTCTCCCCCTCCAGGTTTCTTTTTTCTGCAGATTAGGTCGATGATGAATTAGCCTGCTGGGAACAGCTGAGTCTCCCCCCCCCCCCCCCCCCCAAACAACAGCTCTGCTTTGCACAAAGCTTCCCCCTCCCCACCCCCCAGGGCTGGCTTACCCCATGTCCTCACGTCCTTGTTAGCTCCCTGCTATAATCGATCAGCTGGGATTAACCTCTCCCCAACCATTTCCTCCTTTACTTTGCATGGTAAGATTGAACAGAAGGTAAACAACAAAAGCCCTTGGAAAGGTTGCAGGCGCCTGTGAGTTCAGGCAAGATTGTCAGCCCTGCCTAGAAAGAGAGAGAGAGCTCATCTTGAGTAAAAGGTTTCGGTGTATGTTGGGATTCTGCCAACATACGGAGTTCAGGAGGGAAAGAACAAGGACTGTACAGCATCAATTTTCAGTTTGTTAAGAACCTCTATTTTTGTTACAAAGTGCAGAAGAAAGTTTCTCTAACATTATTTTATGATGAGGTGTGAGTCTCATCTCTGCTGAAACCTCAAGGCACTGAACAGCACGGGATACCTGGTGCTAAAAGATAAAACCGTGGATAAAATCTGAAGCAGAGGCAGCCAAGCCACTGACGGGAGTGGGGAGGAAATAACCGGGGGGAAACGCACGCATTCAGGCGGAATACCTACAAGCCAGAGAGGGTGGAATAAAGCTGCCAAGGAGCACGGCTTCAGCTGCGAGGCTCTCTGTGTTCAAGGGGCTTGTTTTTCACCAGAATCGCTTGGAGCTCCTGCCACGTCGCGAGGAAGCGAAGGGGAGGCAGCACCGCAGCGCAAAATAGAGGACAACGCTGCTAGGTCAACGTTCCCGTCCCTGCTGCTTTCAGATGCTTTGGCTGTGAGCTCCCATCAGCCTGAGGCGGTGTCAGGATCCGGGGTTGTGAGAATTAGAAACTCAAGGTGCCATGTTGAGGGCGGCAGTGGTTAGGTGCAACAGGACGCTGCAAGATTGGTGGCGCTTCAAAGCTCCGAAGTGCCGCACGCGCAGCGTGTCTGTTGGGCAACTCCAACTTGCTTCCAAGTTTTCTCTCAAGAGTGTCGGATGAGCCGTGCTGGATCAGACCCAGGGACCCTCTAGTCCAGCATCCTGTTCATGCCGTGGCTCATGGGAAATTCACAAGCAGGGCAGGAGGGCCACAGCACCCTCCTGCCTATGTTCCCCAGCAGCCAGTTGGCCTGTGCTGATTGGTTCTAAGCCACGCAGAGTGGTGGCCGCCACAATGCCTCGAATTCCTTAATTCTTGCAATGCACTGTGTGAAGATGGCTTTTTCCCCTCTGTCCTGAATCTTCCCCTGCTCCTTGTTCCTGTAAAAGGGGTACACACAGGTGCCCCCTCCACAGGCCATTTTTATCAAGTGCAGGCAGTTTTATTTCATTAGTTCTCTCCTTCATTCTTTCCACGTGTTTGTGCATCCAAACTCTTCCCCTCATCCTCAGCCAAGAAAAAAAAAATGAAAGGCACAGATTGTGCATTTCTGAAGAAAATACAAAATAAATAGCCAGCTAAGCACCTGCAAGAAGATTACTGTCAAAGTTCAGTGTAGTGATTCGGCAAGGTGGACGGTCTGCGATTTAGAATGTCGTGGCACTGTGGCCGTTCCGAGTCGGAGGACGTGACGTCATCAGTCGTGTTAGTAGCGGAGCAGAGGGCATTGCACTGAAATAGCAGCGGAATGAGGATTTAGAGTGCAACGCGGCAGGAGGCGAAGGAATCCAGAGGCGGCCACTGTTGGGCGACCTTTGCGGCGACAGCTCCAACCTTTCCTTGCCACTTGTGCTGAGCAGGGCTGAGCTGCAGGCCAGGTCACCCAGAGGGTGACAGGTTGTGGACCCTCCGGCCTAAGTGAAGGGGAAGGGTGTGTAATGTCCCCAACGAGGGCTCGGCATCATTTCCAGAGTCTTTTGGCTCAGGAGGAAAGCTGTCCTGTGATTGGCAAGAGGCCGCTAGACCAGAAGCGGGGATGGGAACGTGCAGGCAGAGGGACCCTCCAAGGAGTGTCGGGGACACGCCGGCTTTGCCTCGCGCCCAAGGCCGAATGTGCTTCCACAAGGCCAGATGTCCCCTCACTGCCCAGCTCCGCCGCTCAGTAGCTCATGCATGTCTTCCAGAACCTGCCAGAGGCAGCTGTCCAGGGGGAACTCGTTGTCCACCAGGTTGACCAAGTAGTAGCTGTCGTGGATGTCCTGGATGATCTTGCGGGAGTGGGACTCTTCTTGGTAGAGTTTGGCCCACTGTTGGATCCACAGGGCAAAGGCCTCATCCTGACCGAGGGGAGAGAGTGGGTTGGAGAGTTTATTTCAGGCATGCCAGTATTCATTTAGGGTGGGACCCTATGCACGTTCAGGGAGGAAAAAACCTGCAACGGAGTTGTGGGACTTTTCTCACTCTAAACAAGTGAAGAATTGCTCTCTGAAAGGTTATTTTTTTACCTTTCTTTTTAACTCAGAAGGCTCGGGTGCAAGCAATAAAATGAGACCGCTGCTGCCCGCAGGGGTACAGTCTTAGAAAGCTTCCGACGTAAAGATGGACTCTGCCTTCCAGAGACTTTAAAGGAGGCTTAGAAACGCCTGATCCTGAGTGGGCCACCAAATTGCTAGGCTACTAGCAAGATCCCCACCAACACGAGGGGAACTTTTCAAGCGGCCATCGTGATGTTTCTAATACGCCGTTCCAGCGGGAGAGGGCCGCGCCGCTTTGTCACAGGGCCCCCGTCGCTGTGCACCAAGGCAGCATTTCCCTAGCCACTGTTCTGAGTTTGTGAGGATGCTACTCGGTCTCTCAAAGCAGTCCGCGAGGTGGCAACGCACGCATTCCGAAACGCGGAAGGGGAACGTCTCCGGCTCCAGTTTGCCAGGTTCCAAGTGTGGAAAACGCGAAGGCCCCAGTCCTGCAATGTGCATCTCCCACGACTCTTACCTTCCAGTACATGAAGCTGACTGGATCCACAACCGTGGGCTGAATGATCTCTCTGCTGGGGAAGATGCCCCAGGTCACGGCGTTCGGCTGCATCTCGTGGGCGTTGGTGATGTTGTCACCCTGCCGCGGGGAATGGGGAGGGGGCACGGAGAGAGAGCGGCCCACTTGGCTTACACTCGCCTGGTCGGTATCCCCCTTAGTTCTAGCTGGGTGGGGTCGGGGCAGAGGCCAGGCTGCTCTCCTCCTGGCACCCAGAGAGGAACTTGACCCACACGCACCCTCCCCGCCAACAGTCCACTAGTGTCCAGGACGCGTGCCACTTTCTTCCCCATTCTAAAGGAGGAAGCGCCCCTCTGGTCTTGGCTACTGGGAGGTCCCTCGCACCAGAGGAACGCAGCCGCTGGCAACTCCTCTGGAATGGAATTTGGCCCTCGGTTTGTGGGAACACTTTCATAGCAATGGGTCAGGGGAGGCGTGTACCTTGACGTTCACAATGTGGTAATTCACACGCTGACCATATCTCTTCAGAACAGTCTGGAGGGCTTTGACATTCTCACTGGAGGTGAAGAACTCCAGGTACGCCTGTAAGAAGGCAGAGAGACCTTCAGCCAGATTGCCTGGCAGACTGCGAGGGCGATCCGTTCTTTGGCTCCCAAGCTGATCGCACCTGATACACCGGGAACCTATTTGCATATGCCCGTACGGAACAGTCCACGGTGGACCAGCCGGACACAGTTCATAAACCAACAACGAACCATGGGCTCGCTACAGTTTCTTCAGCTGGCAAGTACGGTTTCTTAGCACAGCTGGGTTCAGACATGGTAATCCACGTTTCAATAACAAGCCATGGTTTAATGACAACCCATACCCAGCCCTCAGCGTGGGTTATTGTGCTGTCTGGACACATTCAGAGGCTAATTCTCTCTCCCCCCCCCCCCGCCACACCCATGCACAGGACTAGTACTAGGTGCTGCAGAGCATTACATACAAGTCTGGGCTGACCTTAATCTCATTCGGTTAAGAGAAGACAAGACAGCAGGATAATCTGGTTATCCCAAACTGTCTCTTGCTGGCTGCACATGGGAGGGGTGGGGCTGGGGAGGGTTAGGGCAATGCAGGTTCACATATGGCACCTTCTCGCAGGCAGCTTGCACGTCCGCATTTGAGAAGAGAAGGTGGCCGAGTCAGAGGCCGCTGTGAAGAGAGGGGCTAATGTGGGGCTTCTGTTCGGGGCTGCCTTCTCTCTGAGGGTTGCAGGCAAGGGAGAGGGTTCACCGTGGGGGGTACAGCTTAATGGGGCGCCCAGCAGCAGTGATGGGCTCATAATGAGGGCTTTGAAATTCACAGCCTGGCTCCTTTCTTCTCAGACACACACAGACCTGCTGGGGACGCTTAATCTCCCCGCTGCTTGCTTTTGTAACTGGCTGATTTCAAAGATCACGGTCCCATTAGTCCCCCGGCCCCATCTTGGCTCATTGCAGTAGGTCTGGGTTCTCCCTCTATCCCCAACCCCATCACACACAGACACAAATCTATTTCCAGGGGGGGATTTCAATTTCTCTTCCCTGCTCCCAACCCCTGCTGGCATCGAGTGATCGGAGCACTTTGATCAGGCCCTGTCATGCCCCTGACAGCCGTCCGGCCAACCTGGGCCTGCAGCGGAGTGCGTGGGACCCCCTCCAACAAAAGGAAAGGGGAGGTGCTCCGGGTGTTCAGCCTGCTGGCAGGGGAGGCCCCTCCTGACCCCCTTCACAAGCATCCTCCATGGCTGCAGACGAAGAAGCTGCTCCAGAGCTCGGCCCACAACGCTGCTGCTGAGCCAAGGGCAGGAGGACCAAAGCAGCCCTTCTGCCTCTATGCCAGCACCCTACCCACCCATGGGCACCAAAGCACCCACAGGTGCCCCCAACACCCCCCTGGAGCTCTCTCTTCCATACATTTTTTTTAGTAAATCCTTGGAAAATGTTCGGATCATCTGCTCTCCCCCCTTTCTAGCCGTGCTCCTTGCACCTTCGTCTTGCTTTCCTCCGTTCCTTCCAGTCTCCAGAGTCACTCCTTCCCTGCATTTGCTGAGAAGCACCTCTAACTCTGCCCAATGATGTGTCTAAAGTGCTCTCCAGAAGCAAAAGCCCACAACACAGAGCGCCCTCAAGACTCACGACTTATCAAAACCAATGCACAACTGGTGCCATATTTGTGTATCTGCACTTGCAACAGCAGATATGTAGCTCTACCGTTTCCCCAGGAAATGACTGGGTTCAGGGATATTTGAGAAAAAGGGAAAACAAAGATTCAGGCAGGATAGGAGGGAGTGGAGAGTCATGCGCAAGGCTGCCCCACCTTCTGGAAGACGTAGCCTCCGTCCGGCCCCCAGCCCACGATGCGGTCCGTGGACGGCTTGCCATTGATGTTGGGCTGGGAATTGATGGTCAGGATGCCTCGCTGGTTCACCTTGGCCAGCTCCTCCTGCATGAGGTTGGTCTCGGCAGCCAGGGGCTCATCGTTCCAAGGCAGGCAGGTCACCTGTGAGAGGCCCAGTGAACCAGTCAAGGTCATGGAACAGTCGTGGGGCGGGGCAGGGTCAGGCCGACTGCACTCCTGGGCATGTGCGTGCGCACACACCTTTCTCCCAGGTATCCCCGTTTCATCCACAGAGCATACTAACGCAAGAAGAGCCAAGGTGCCCATCCAGCCCAGCCTCCAGCCCACCAGCTGCCCATGGGCGCCCATAAGCAGGGCCACAACCCTCTCTGGTCCATGCTCCCCAGCAGCTGCTGTGCTGGGGTGGCCAGAGCCGGTGTGGCCCTGGGGTGCTGGACTGGGACTCGGGGGGCCCAGGTTTGAGCCTTCACTCAGTCCCGAGGTCTTTGGGGTGCACAGGGTGACTTTGGGCCACTCACTGACTTTCAGCCTCGCCTACCTCACAGGGTTGTTGCAAGGGTGAAACGGAGCAGAGGAAGAGGATCGTGAGGCTGAAAGGAGTACAAGGCAAGGAAAAACCCTCACCTTGTGGCCATTTCTGTTGGGCTCTCCGGTGATGTAACACCTGAACACCTCGAAGACGCTTTCCTCGCTGGTCAGCTCTTCGCCCCACATCTTGAGGAGCTCATCTCGGGGACATTTGCTCGTCAGGTAAAACAGGTAATAGTCTTTAAGCTCACCGAAGGCTGGAGAGGATGAGTTACCCCTGATGGTTTGGGGCAGAGAGAGAGAGAGAGGGAGGGAGGGAGGGAGGGAGAGAGAGACCACATTAACAGAATATGCAACAGGAAATCCACACACAGGAACGTGGGGGCCGACCAAAACCGAAAATCTGGGGCATGGCTGTTTTAACGTGTCCCTCGTTTCTCCACAGATGTTGCTTCCTGGCAGCACAGAGTAGCAGTATGTTTTTTTCCCAAACAAAAACACTGTTTAGAATGTTTTTACATTCAGGGTACACAATCTTGTTCTTTTCATAGATGTACCCCTTGCTCTTGGGTTTAACCATATTCCTGCACAGCAGCGGCACAGAACCTCAGGCCCAGCGGCCAAATCCAGTCCTCTTGAGGTTTACCAGATGGTATGCCCCTTCTCTGTCCACTCCACTGATCAATTAGCAGCTTCCCAGCTTTTGTGCTGTCTTCCTCCTTATTCAAAAATGGCACCTCTTAAGACACCCCCTCTGGCTGCAAAAGCTTGAAATTATAATATCCTGAAATGTTTGTCTTTGGTCCTGCCTGCCACTGGAATGACGCTCCCAAGAGCTTCTGTGAAGTAGAATGCAGCCCTCAGATTGGAAGAGGTTTTGCTCCCTGATACAAAGAGGGCAAGGCAAGATGACCCCCACCTGCCACACTCACCAGCGCCCATTTGGAAATTCATCCCATTCCTGGGTCCGATAGATGTAACTCTTTGGCCGGGAGGCCCAGAAAATGGGCCGAACATCTTCGACTCGCCGCTTGGGGTGAGCACTGACTGCCCAGGGCAAGGGACGCCTGGCCGGGAGGAGGAGGAGAAGGGAAAGATGAAAACCATTGCACAGTTATCTGCTTTTGGTGTCTTGCACACTTCCCCAAAGCCTGCGTTCAGACAGCAAACTAAATCAGGCACGGGCAGCCTCTGGGACCCACCTCTGCTTCTCCGGAAAACTACACAACTGCGGCCAGCCAAGTGTGGCTTCCCTGCCGAGTTTTGTGGCAAACCGCAAGGGAAGCCTGAAGCAAGCCAATCAGGCTGGAGCCTGCAGCGGTGCACCTCCAGATTGCTGTGGCTTCCACAGCCCATTAATTAAGTTTAATCAGTCACTGCAGCAACACTTCTGGCCACTAGGAGGAGACTTCTCTAACGAGAGCATAGCTTTGCGCTCCGTAACAGGCCAAGCCCAAGGGGACACGTTGAGCAGAGGAACAGTTGGTCCACGTTTGCCCACAAAATGCCCTCTAAACTCCAGAGGTGGCCAACATCCATCAATCCAAAAGGTTAAGGACGCCCTGAACTAGGGATAAAGAAATAGAGAAACAGGGCCAAATCTCCGGGCTGGAAAGCTGAAATGCTGTAGGAACATGTCCCGCATGTGGGTTTCCCGCTGGGGCAGCTGGTGGGCCACTGAGCAACCAGAATGCTGGACCTGGCCCGGCCCGGCAGGGCTCTTCCAACACTCGTGACGGGGGATGCCTGACCGGGCTCACCTTGGGTCCTCTTTCCACAGGCCCAAGCGTTTGAGCACCTCTGTGGTAGCCACTTCCCGGTTCAGGGTGTAGAAATGCAGCCCGTGGACCTGGCCACTGTCCAGCAGTTTCCGGCACATGCAGACCGCCAGCTCAATGCCGTAGTTCCGGATGGCCTCGTCGTCATCCTTGATGGGCTCGATGACATCTCTGATCTCCTGAGGCACCTCCAGTTTAGAGAGCTTCACCAGCTGCCGCAGAGAGTGGTAGCCCTAAAGAGGAGCAGGGGTGAGTGGTGCTCCTCTGCTTCGGGATCCCACCCCGCAGCCAGCCAGCCAGCCAGCCAGCCAAGAGGGCTCTGTCAGGCTAGAACACAGGTGAGACGGCTGACATCTCTGAAGTGACTGAAGACACACACACACACAGCTGCCCATCATTTAAAATATCTCAAGGATCTTAACGGTGCCTCTTCTACAGGGGGCAGCCAGCGCTTCAGCTGAACTATGCTTCTGCTTACATGTCCCTGTTGCTTTCGCCCCCCCCCCCCCCACTTCCTCTTTCCTTTGGTTCTACCAGCCCCTGAAATGACTCACCTGGATGGGGAAAATCCCCGGAATGATGGGGCAGGTGATTCCAATCGCTTGGCAGTCCTTCAAGAAGCTGAGGAAGGTCTCTGATCTGAAGAAGAGCTGTGTGATGACGAAGCCAGCTCCCGCCGACACTTTATTCTTCAGGTGCTTCAGGTCGTCCGCATAGCTTGCTGCATCGGGGTGGCCCTTGGGGTAGCCTTCGGGGAGGAAGGGAGACATACGTGGAGCTCAGAATTTCTCCCCTTTTACCAAAGACTGCAGTGCAGCTTATCACTCGCACAAAATGCAGACTCCTTTAATCTTAGCAAGGTTAAAGATTAACCATGTGCAAAAATGCACTTTAAAATATCGAGCAGGGAACTCCACTGGGAGAGTGCAAGAAGAGACCATAGGTTCTCCTTGTGCATTGCTTGCAAGTAACAACCCATGGTTTGTTAGCATGACTGTGCTGTGCAGTTTGTTACACAGCGCAGCATCCTGATTTCGCAACTCCTCACACTCAATCCTACGCTGATCTTTCTGGTTGTGTGAACCCAGCCACAAAAAAGTTTCCATCTGCCTCTTGTCCACTTACAATTCCAATTTAAACTGAAACTGTAGCGAAGTTCATACATGAAGTATATCTTTTCTGAACCCTTCAAGCAGCCTTCTGCAACATTGTGTTTTCCGGACTGAAACTCTCACCATCCCCAGCTGGAAGGGCAATTGTGGGAACTTTAATCCAAAGAATACCAAAGGACTCAAGTTTGGGGATAAGGCCACACATTGATCATAACTGTACTCTTCTTCTTCTAAGCGATTCCTGGGGGACTGACGCTTGCATGCAGCCTGGCTCGCTCACCCGCCACACAGACATCAAAGTAATCGCCGAACTCGTTCCGGATGTGCTTCACCAAGTCCACAGCATAGTTGAAGCCCCCGACTTCCTCTTGCCATTCCTCACCAATGGGATCTGAGCAAGGAGAACAAGAATGCCCCCCTTAGTCCAACTCGCTTCCCCGCGATGGAGCAGTCAGGCTGGGACATTCACAGCTCCACCCGGCAAGGCAGCGCAGGACGCAGGACACCTTTTCCTCGACATTCCGCAGTGGCAGCCCTGGCACCACGACGGCGTCTTTTTAACGCGCTGTTGCCCACGAGAGAGGGCAGGCACGGAGGTTTTCACATATGGAAAACCGCAGCACCCCTTTGCCCAGCTTCAAGCGCCTTACAAAGCTGGCTTGAGTGTCTGCCAGGCATCCCTGGCATTTATTTTATTTCTTTATTAAAAGCTTTTCTATCCCGTCCCCTATGGGACCACTGTGGCATCTCAGTTGTGGGATGCACCTCGCATAAAGAACCACTGGGGACAAAGAGCCTTTCAGGGCCAGAAAAGGCCCTTCTTGCCTGCCCAGGCCCCGGAGTCTCAGCTTCCCGTGGCTTTAAATAACAGCTTGTATCAACTTCGATCCTCCAGATGTTTTAGATGCCAGCATTTCAGATGTTTTGCCTCACATTTCCTGACGTTCCCGACAACTGGTCGTGCTGGCTAGGGCTGATCCGCGGTGAAATCCAAAATATCTGAAGGGCCCCAGGGGGGAGGAGGAGGAGGAGGAGGAGGCTGCATCAGGCCCTCCCCCTTCCTAGAGCCCTCCTGCTGCCGGCATCAAAGCTGCCAAATCCACACCCGGCGGCGCACAACCTGGCCCAGCCCTGCCACGACCTGGCTGCACCTGCCCTCGTTTCCGCGCAAGCAGGCTGAGGAGACGCACCCCCCCCGCAGCGCCATGATGTTCCTCAGCCCCAGCCGCTTGGCCTTCTGCAGGTGCGCCGTGATCATCTCCCGCGTCTGCTGGCAGCAGGTCATGTGCAGGACGGTCTCCAGGCCACAGTAGTTGAGGGCGGTGCTTGCCATCATCATGGAGGAGGTCTCCTTGTCGGAGCCCGGATCTCCGGCCGGGTGCCACGTGATGTCGATGAAGAGCGGCCCACCTGCCCCCATGTGGTCAAGCCTGCGGAAGGAGAGCGAGCGACGTCATGGGACGCTCCGGATCCCAGTTCGGAAGCCGGGCCGTGCTGTCCGGAGCCCCCAGACCGAGCGCCCTCCCCTCCCGCCTCACCTGGAGATGAGGTTCACAGCCCCGTCAGCTGTCCGGGGAGGAAAGAACTCCAAGGAGAACCACTTGTCTCCCGCGTCCTGCCGCTGACGCATCTTCTCCCACAGGTGGGCCTGTCGCTCGGCGTCCGGGACCGGCGTGGAGCAGCGGGAGCTCTCTTTGGAGCTTTCGCTGCCGCTGCTGCTCCCCCCGCCCTCGAACCGGGCAACCCCATCTCCTGCGACGGCAACCCCACAGCTGCTGCTGTGGGACTCGTTGACCATGGCGAGGGAGCTGAGGGAAAAGAAAAGGAAGGGAGTGACGCAAATGGGCGAAGCGCGCATATCAGTTTGCCCCAAACCACCGATCGTCGCTGTGCTTTCACCTCCCGACTTTCTCAGCGTGAGGCCTCTCTGCCAGGCCTGCTTGATTGGACTGCTATGCCACACTTCTAATTTCACAGCTGCTAACGAGATCACTTTTGTGCAGTAGTCCTGACAAACCGCTACAAATGCAAATGCGTCGGAAAGTATTGCAGTGGCTGCTTGTTTAAACACCGCATTTGAACATCCTCTTTTCCATGTGTGTAGCTGCCCAGTTATTTCTCTCTTAAAAGCTGGATTCTTGCAGCTGCTTTTAAAACGAGCAATGCTCTTAATGTGTTTTGTTATGCAGCGTCACCTTTGGTTTCATGTTCACTTGTTGTTATGTACATTGCACAGAGCTTTTTGCCCTCGGCTGACCTTTAGAATGGATAGATAAGATGAAAAATGATTGCAGACTGTAGGAGATCCTCTGCATGGCACTTCACCTCTGTAACCCACCGTAACTTCTGTATTTGCCTTTCCCAGCCAGATGAGTCTGCCAAAGTATTTGGACTACAATGCCCAGGATTCCTAACTATCAACCATGCCGGGAATTGGATGTTTGAAGCCTCTGGACGGCACTAAATTGGAGAAGGCTCCTCTGTATTGCTCAACCTCACCAACAGCCCCACGGAGCTACGCGTCTGATGCTCCCATTTTCCAGATGAGGGAAGTGAAACTTTGCCCTAAATGATACAGCAAGGGCTGGTTTTCTAGCCGAGACGAGACGCCACCTCCAAGACAAAGCTCACGTTCCTCATTAACAGGATTCATTGCATTAGCTGATCTTTTGTGCAAAAAAAAGGGGGGTGGAAAAGACCCAAGACCAGTGAGGTGCAAGCATTAGTCCATCCTCTAGACAGGATTTGGGGACACTGCTTAGCTCAATACCAGTTATACTCCCAACTAATCAAAAGCACACGGCAGGAGGCTTTCCCATGCCACACCTGGCCGGACAAGGAAATCCTCGGCCCCTACAGATCTGTACCAGTCGCATGCATGCAGACTGCCCTAAACCATCCCAGCCTCTGTGTGTCTGTTGCAAAAGCAGGGAAGCTGGGCTTTCCCAAACACACTTGCCGTTTCCAAGGATGCTCATCCACGCTCCCCAGTGAAGACTGGGAGGGGAGATATATCTTTGAAAGGGCTACTTCCGAAGAGGAGATGTGGAGGGGGAGAAGAAGAGAGACGACAGCTCCAGCATGCATTCACTTGCCTGGTGTTGAGATCTCTTCTCTCAGTCACCCACTGCGGCCTGGAATTCCTCTCCCGCATGGTGGATTTTCTAGGGCCCCCCTGGTCTGTTAAGACCAGCTGCTGTCCACAGGTACTTCCAGCATGGCTCTGATCCAGTGTGCCGCCTTTGCCCAGCCTCTCTCCAAAATGGTCCCTGGCCAGCTGTCCTCCACCCAGGCAAAGAGCAATCGCCTGCCTACCCAGCTGGGTTCACATCTTGCCCAAGCCTAGGTGTGGACCAGGGCAGGGCCCTCTCCAGGCACAGCCCTGCAGGTGCCTGCTGACTGGAAGCTTGCCCAGGTCACTCCTCCAATCCAAGCAGGGCTCTTCACCTGCTTCCCCAATGGGCATCCTGCAATCCACCCAGCGGATGGGCTCTGTTTGATCAGCTGGCCTGACTCTCCTATTGACTCTGCCACGATTACATTCTTTTTTTCCAGGCTGATTATCAGTCAGCTGAGATAATCAGGAGATCTCCCTTGCTTTGCAAGCAAGCTGATAAAGAAAAGACAAAAGAAAAGACAAGGGACACATAACAAGAAACCTGAACACCCAGAATCTCTTCAGAGCACGCCTTCGCTCCCTACCCTACAACATCTGCTTTGTGTTTTTCCCAAACTGAGAATAGCGGTACTCTGGACCCTTGCAACAAAAAGCTCACCTATGGTGGGTTGGATCCAGGCTCAGTCAGAGTAGGCCCATTTACTCAGTGAGACCTACATTAGCCAGGAGGATCTCACTGACATGGCTAAGGTTGGATCCAGGCCCGCATGCATCAACAGTTACAAGCCCTCAGGGAGTGCAACACTACAGCTTTCTGACTGGAAGGAGGCAGGCAATTCTGGAAGTGTCCGAATGCTCCTTCCCTGCTCCAGCCCCGTATCTTGAGGACAATAACATGGGCTGCCCTTCGGCTTTTCAGTAATATATTCATTTTAACTAGGGCTGTTCTTCCCAGCAAGGATCATTGCAAATTAGCCCATTTTTCCAAGTCACTCTTAATATCCTTAAATAGTTTATCGTAATTGTCTTCTTTCAGAGTGGTGCACTTCGCTGTAAGATAAATTCCCAAATATTTAACCTTTTTAACCATCTGCAGATCTACTTGTTCCAGCAGAGTTTTTCTCTGCTCCTGTGTGAGATTTTTTACTAACAATTTCGTCTTTCCTCTATATATTTTCATCCCAGTAACCTTGCCATGTTCTTCAATTCTTTGTAGGAGTTTAGGCATTGTTACTAAGGGTTCCTCTGTTATGAAAACTAGATCATCTGCAAACGCTTGCAGTTTATAGCTTTCATCTCTGATTCTAGTACCTTTAATGTCCATATCATGCCTGAGATTTCTGTTCAACACTTCTAAGATCAATATAAACAACAGAGGTGACAGCGGGCATCCTTCTCTTGTACCCTTTTGTATATCTATAATATTTGTAAATTCTCCATTGATTATAATCCTAGCAGACTGCTTTTGATAGATGTGCCCTTTGGCTTTTCATCATCGAACGCTGATGAAATAAACAACCCTCCGATTTAGGTGGCTGGAGGATTATGCCAAATCTGGAGAGCTTCCAGGCTGGAAGCAGGCCATCCAAAGCCAACAGGGCAAGTCGCTCGGTGAGTGTTCTGCTGTCTTGCCCGTGCATGTACAGCATACCAGTGGGAGAGCCCGGAGCCTGTCACTTTCAGAAACACCCAAGAAGAACCCTGGTGGGGCATATCCAGGGCCTGTCTGCTCCAGGAGACTGCTCAGCCGTGCATGGGAAGCCCACAAGCAAGAACCGAGTGCAGCAGCACCTGCCCGACCATGTTCCCCAGCAAGTGGGGCAGGTGGAACCACGGCCTCGGATACCGAGGGGAGCGCACGGCCATCAGAACTTCTGGCCATGGACTGCCTCTCCTCCATGAACTCACTCGGTCTTCTTTTACAGACACCCAAACTGGGGCCAGCGCTGCATTTTGAGGAGCTGAATTCCACAAGAAGTCCTTCCTTTGATCCGTCTTGGATTTCTCGCCGTTCCTGGAATGACCCTGCTTGGGTTCTAGTATTATAAGAAAAGTTGCTCACGGTCTCCCTTTCCACTCTCTTCACACAAAACGTCACTTTGTACCCTCTGTCTCATTGCCTCTCTTTTTTCCCCTAAGCTGAACAACCTCAGGTGTCATAACCTTTTCTCGCCCAACGTTGTGTGGTTTCTGGCACCTCCTTCCATGATCTGTTACTTCTGAGACCACCTTACTGATATTCTGCTTCAAATCCCGCATGTTCTTCCTTGTCTTGTCGTTGCATTTTAAATTGCGCTACGCCACCTCGATGGCTTCTGAGCAGATAAAGCAGTCCAGAAATGTTAATAATTACATTTCTAAGCAGCCCAGCGGCCAGATTTCTCTGGGAGGCTTGCCACAGTTCCCAGTGGTATCAAACCAGTCTGCCAATGGATGCCAGTGGCTGGGGAACACGTCTGCTTGGCGCTGCAGCAATCGAACGCTGGACTAGAAATAGCCTTGGCCTGACCCCGTATGACTCTTTTGAGTGCCAGCCTTAAGGAGAAGGCTGTAGGAATACCGAGGCCAAAGAGCTGTGTATTCTGGGCTCCCGAACGTGCTTCCGGGCACTCGGACACCCTCCTCACCGTGCGTGAGGGTTATGTTGCAAAGGGGACCTCTTTGACGGGGACCTTTTCCAGCTGGCAGGCGCTGTGGGAAAGTAGCACTTTTTGGTGCCAAATCAGCAGGGTGTCCTAAGCGGACCTGGTAACGGAGACAGGAATTAGCTGAGCACTGGCATTGCAACGTAACTTGCAGCTCCAGAGGGTCCGCAGAGGCACCGAGCAGCCGATTCCAGTCTCCATGTCTGCCCTACCCATGCGCTGCAACACAAGAATCCGACCAGGTATTTGCTGCTTTTGCTCAGAGATTCCTTCCTGCTCGCCCTGGGCTCAGAAAGGCCCCTTTCCTACAAACATGGCCCAAGCTCGCTCAGATTCTGGAGCTTTTGTCTGAATCCCAGCCAGAGGCAGATCTTGGCTGAAGCAGCTGGAAGGTGGCGAGAGCAAAACCTTATTATTTTTATTTGCCTTGAGCCTTTAGGAGAGGGGGGGCTATAACAAAAAGCCATTTCTCCGTCCTCCCCAGCATAGTGCAGGCTCTGGAAGGACTGGAGACGCTGGTTCACACGACTCTGCAGCCGCCAATGGCCGAGCACGATTGTGGGTGAATCGCCACCCCGTGTTGCCGAAATCCAGGCCACAATCAGAGATGCACTAGCCACAAAAAATACACAACGCGAACACGCCGTTTGCCGTTGGGCTGTGGACTGTGGTTGCTCGTGGTTAACAAGCCGTCGTCCGTGAGCGGGGTTCACACAACACAACAACCCACGATTCAAAAGCCGTGGTTCCATGACAAACTGCCTACTTTTTTAAAAAGTAGGCCGTTTGGGGCGTTTTTCACCCCTTTTTGAAAGGCCAATTGGCATTTTTGAGGGAGTCTGTTGAGGGGTGACTGTTTTGGAGGGTCGCCATAGGTCTGAGATGACACGACCACAACAAGCCCCTTGTGGCTTAAACCCACAACATGAACTGCACAAATATGGTGCATTAATTAAATACAATTAAATTAAAACGCAAAATCAAATAATACAATTAAACCAAATAATAAAATAGGGTAGAGCAAGGGTGTGAATGGGCAGAGGGAGACCCCTCATGGCAAAGAGAAAATGGTTTCATTTAGCCAAAACAGCGGCGAAAGTGAAAGAGAGGAGTAGGAAAAGCGTCTGTGTGGAGAAATGAGCTTTTTCTATCGGCCTCTGAGGGGAAAAAAGTTATTTTGATCGGATTTTAACTTGCTGAGGGGGAATTCCAGAACGGAGGGTGCGGGCTCATGTGCGGAGAGATTTTGTTCGTTTATTTTTATGACGTGTGAGGAATCGCGATCGTCAGTTTATTTGTACATGTCGCGAAAAAAGGAATTTTCTGAGGGGGAAGCCGTTACTTCACACATACATATTTCTCCTGCCAGAGAAAGCGCGTTATGCCTTGTCCGGATTCATAATAAAGGGAAAAGAGAAATAAGGTGCTTTTCCCCGCTTTCTCCCCCTCCCGGTGTCCCGAAATGGTTCCTTCCTTCCTTCATTTAAAGGGTCCCTTGGCAAGCGGGGGTTTCCTTTGCCGCTCCTGCTCCCCCTCCCCGGGCGACACTTGGGCCCTTCCACGCGCACGCGCTCACCTGCGCGTCCCCGCTCGGGTGCCTGGCGGGTCGGGATTCTTTTCCGCGGCGGCGCGAGCCCCAGGCGGCCGCGAGGCAGGACAAAATGGCAAGGAAGGGCGCACTGCGGTTAGCGCGCGTTGCCCACCGCTCAATCCCTCCGCCCACTTTTGTTTTTGAACTCCACGTTGGAAGAATCTGACGCGGTTGCCTGGCTACGCCCCCTTTAAAAGGAAAGGCTGTCGCGGCAGCGTAGCTCCGCCCTTTTTAAATACCCATCCGAACAAACCGCGCCCGGCGACCGCGCTTCTCTGCGCCCACTTCAAAGATGGCGGCGGCGAGGCCTTTTAGCTTCCCTCCAAGACGGAAGTTCGCTCACGTCCTTCCTGTTTGGACGTCGTTTCCCCGCCCTTTGCGGCTTTTTCTCGTCCCCCCCGTTCCTCGGAGTGACGTAAGTGCCAACAACCTTATTATATGACAGGAATTTAGTAACAACTTATGTAATATCCTTTATTGACTATATACAATATTGTATGTTTTTCACCCCGTCTGCTCTCATAATCCTATCAAGATCTGCCAGGGATTCAGTACTAATACCAACAAAAGCAATAAATGTAACGGGGCGATGCAATATTCTAAAGCAAAAATGGCCAGCACTCCAGTTTATATATTTTATAGATTTAAATTTTACTTTTCAAGTCACATCAGATTTAAGTATTTTAATTTTTTTAAAAATTATGGAGTATTCAAACGTGAAATGTATTGGTAAGAAATACTTGTTTCAGTCACGCTGTAAGAATAATACTAAATTTTATTATGTACTCCCTCCCCATGTCTCCTCTCAATTGCATATATTAATATATGCCAAGCATTCGTGCTTTTATCTTCCCATTTGAGTCAACCACCAGGTATATTTACATGTTTACCTTGATCTTTCAGAGGCTGGACTACGACTGCCCAATGAACCTGCCCTACTTGGAATTCCTGCAAGGTCAGGACAAAAGAGAGGACTTGTCACTGACCTGGGTTCAGCCAGTGAGGGAAGGCCAAGGCAACAAATCCCTTCCAAATGGATTTTGTCCGAGTGGCCAGGATATCAAACAATTCAGACGCATACTTTGACTGGACGTTCAGCCAGTGCTAACAGAAAGGCCATGGGGTGAGTGTATGACTATTTAACTATTTATTTATTAGGATATTTTTATCCCGTCCGAGTCGCCTCTGGACAGCTTACGATATAATAAATACCTAATAAATACATCAAACCATGATAGGATAAAATGCCACTGAGGTTCTATCAATAAAAACATAATTAAAATATTTAAACTTTAAAATAATGGGTAAACACGTTGGGGTGTTTTCTATGCAGAACAGCAGTGTATAAGTCCTCTGTTTTTACGGTATTCTAACATGTTTCTTGTTTTGATCAATTTTAAGTTGTTTTGTAAGCCACTCTGAGTGCCATTTTTAGGGGAGAGTGGGCAAATCAACCCAAATCAAGCAATCGATAAGTAAATCAGTTGAGCAGAAATAATAATCATAGAGATGTTGCGGTTCTGGAGCAATACTAGCAGCATACAAGGAGGTGACAATTTTGGCCCGCAGTTCATAGGAAGTGTTGCGTGTTCACGGGTGAGCTCTCCAAATAGGCTAAAAATAACGCCTCTCTCACTCCGTCTGGCTAAACACAGCCAGTTCTGATTCGATCCACATCGGTCACTTATTAACATTGATCCGAGCTGCCAAACTTCCATACAGGACTTGCATCATCCCTGTACCGCACATGTCTTCCTTCAGTTTAAATTCAGACTCTGGGGCCAAGCCCCTTGGAATGGGGGATCTTGGGAGGAGTGGGCTCAATCGCTGCAGTTTCTTAAGAACAATTGAATCTGAGGGGAAGGTGTCTTGACTAGACCCTTGGGGCAGTGTTTCGCCACTGCTCTCCGAAACAAGAGGCAAGCCCTGTGCTGGCCCGATTGTCCTTTTAAGGTCCGTGGAACTGCCCGACATCCCATTCAACTGAGGCTTGTGGTCTCCCTGACACCCCATTTAGATCTTCCTTGAAATTCCTGCTTGGTGGGTGTTTCAGAACGCTCCTTCAAAGCCATCATTCTGCCTGCAGAGGAGACTCGTCCTGTCCTAAGCCCTTCTAGGTCAAAACCAACCCACCGAATCAGATTCGGAAATGGGCAGCTGGGCCAGAATTGGTGCTGTACATGGGACTGGGCCACAAGGCCACGATTCCAGGCCACCCACCCAAATCTCCTCCGGCGAGAGCAAGGCTCGGTGCTCTGGCCGGACCAGCTGCACAAGACCCTCCCAGTGGCTTTTCGGAGCAATCACAGGGTAAAAGGAGGAAGGGAATTTTCACTGCAGGAAATGGTACCTCCAGAAGGGGGACTCTCCCTTCCAAGCAAACCCCCCATGACACATTTGTTCTGGTAGGTTCTCTGATAGGCACCCAAGTTTTCAGATGATCCACTAAAATAGCGGTGGGCTGAGTGCGTGTGTGGCATGCGAGGGGGGAATTCATCTGGTCTGTGGGATTTTACAAACTTTTAGGGAGGAAAGCAAAGATTTAAAGGGGGGGGGGTCCTCCATGCTGTGCTCCTCCTGGACTACACCCTTCTCTAACCCTCTGGGATGGAGCCCCCTGCCTTCCCTGGTCCAAAGTCTCCCAGTGAACTTCATGGCCAAGGGAAACTAGAATTAGTCTCCCGAGGGCCAGTCCAACACCGTGACCACTGTGCCACACTCTCCTGGGGTCTGCCAGCTGCACTACTTATGCTGTGGCTGCCTGGGGAGGGGGGGCAAGGGGAGGTAACGGACAGAAAGTACGTCCCACCCATGTGGCAAAGGAGGAGCGGGGCTGCCATCCATGTCCTTCTAACCCTTCGCAGACATAAACCTCGGGGCCGGCACCGAAGGATGTCCGCAGGCCAGGTTTGCAATGGGCACGTGCCCCAGCCCATCTCTCTTGCAGAGAGAGCTAGGCATTTGGGAGTGCCAGAGGGGTAACGGGGTGCCGACAGGCCAGAAAGTCTGGATACAGGAGGTCAGTTCTGGAACGCATGTCGGCTTTCCCCGGGTTCATTTTCAACTCCGCTGCCCTTTTGGGTTCTGGGTCGGTAGCCCGCTGCCATTTTGCTTCGTGCGGAGCCCGTCCCTCTTGTGCAGGCCTGGTTTTTCCCAAAATGTTCCCCGGTGCCTCTCAAGTCTGAACCTGTCCTCCCTAGTCCTCTGTCCTTTCCAGGCATTCCGATGTTCTGGCTGACGCTGCACATGGAACAGAGAAAGCCACCTTTAAAAAAAAATATATTGCTAGACATAAAGCACCTTTGTTTTGGTAAACTTCCATGGATTTGCTCAGCTCTCAAACACTTACTCTGCCTTGCTCCTTAATTCCCTCACAATATGGGGAGGCCACCCAGCCAAGGCACTGTCCAGTGACCTTCAGTCAGGCACTCAAGATACAAGCAATTTATTATAGACTTTTTTACGTTTATTTATTATAGTCTTTATTTACATTATTGATACAAACAGAAATGTTCTCTGATAGCACCCATTCTAACTTACAACAACCCAGGCAAACATTTTATGATTGCCACAAAATACAGGCCAGCCAGCATCCCGAAAGCATTGAGCAGAAAGTCATTCACATGCCCTGCAAGGAAGGCTCCCATCAGACGGAACGGACAGTGTCAGTGGCGCCTCTTCAAACCATCCAAACAAGAGCACAAGGAAAAGGGGTCAACTTAACTGGAAGGCATATTTACAGCAGCACTATATACAGCAAAATGTACTGGAGAGTTTTGTGTGCAGGGAGGCATGAGGTAGTGGATGGTTTGCACGGGGGCCAGGGAACAATGAGAAGCCTCCCTCCCCGGCAGGTCAAGTTCCCTGGGGGGGGGGGGGCCCCGCTTTTGTGGGGGCCCCCGCCCGGGGAGGCCCCCCCCCCCCCCAGCAGTGGCAGCTCAGCAGCGGCACCCTGCACCCAGCGTGGGGGCACTGGCAGGCTTGGTCCAGGGGAGTGAGCACAGGGCGGGCGTCATCCTTTGGCTCATCTTACGGGGCCAAGAGGGCGTCCCCCACTGTGAAAGCGCTTCGGTGGGACAGGAGATAACGGAGGCACGCTTTAGAAGCCAGAGACCCCGGCCTTAACATGGGTCCGGACTTGCTGCAGCTAATTGTTTGCCAAAGGACAGCAATCCAAGGAGAGTTGAAAAATTCAGGTTTTTTACAATCCATAAAACAAGACAAGTTTATACTGGTTTTGGCGCCAAACCAAAACCTTTTTATTTAAACAGTATTTTAAACTCTAATAGTTTTTTAGTCTAGTTGCTCTGTTTGGTTTATGGTTTTGTTCTGTTTTATTATAGAAATTGTTTGAATTGTCCTTTTAAAAATCGTAAGCCGTCCTGAGATCTTATATAATAGGACAGCATACAAAATCCTTTAATTAATAAATAAATACCTCCTTATCAAATTCTTCCCTGGCAGCTTTCTCCTTCTCCTTCAAATTGCATCCACAACCATCTGCCATCTCCGATTTTCTTGCCAATTTTTAAAATGAGGCATTAGCTTTCTTTTCACCATCCTTCACGGCCACTGGCCAGCTCACCTCTCTGCACACATTTATAAGATAAGTCTGCTGCTAGTTGCAAAGTTGTGTCCGGCCCTTCGTGACCCCATGAGAGAGGACAGGTCACCCCTAATTCTGCAAGAGTGCAAAATATTGCAAAAGCTGGAGTAATAGAGGCGGGAAAGAGGAAAGTCTTCTGCCCAAGTTTGACAGATTCCACTTCCACAAGACAGGTCAGAGGGTTTCTCAATGGGCGTTGACAGGTTTGCGGCAAATCCACAATCGGCTGAACGAACACACCGAGGCGTCAACCCGGTCCTCGTTGAGAAAGGCACAGTTGCCCTCCTTTTCATTGAGAGACCTGGAACAAAATCCAACCAGGTCAGGAAGTCACGGTTTCATTCTAACACGAGCCAAAGTAAATGGGTTTTGAAGGATGAAGTTAAGAAATGGTCTCCCCTTTCTCTTCCTTCATACATACTCAAGGTTTGCTTTCCATGCTTGCCACTCGCCCTTCCCACTGAAATTCTAATGCTGCTAGATTCCTTCTGGGGGCAGTCTTTCCCACCCCCTAACAAAAGCCTTCCTTCGCCTTCTTTTTCTAGCCTTGTCTTGCTCAACTAACCATTCCCTACCTCAACACAAATTTCTAGCCTTATTTTTTGGCATCTATGCCATCGTGGGTAGAGAGACGGCTTGGAAGAGAAGCTCAGGTGATGGGGGGCATTCAAGGTCCCCAGGGCAAGCTGCAACTGTTTATAGCAGAGATGCAGAGCAGTGATGGGGGGGGGAGTGAAGAGGAGCCAATGATCGTGATGGGGGAACCTTCAGAAGATTTATTCTGACCCTCTCCCACTCCAAAAGGTGTAACAAGTCTGGAAGGAAGAGAAGAAGGCTTGAGGTGTGACAGAGACCACTTAGTGTCGCAGTTTAGGTTTAGATTTGGTTTTTAATCTAGCTTTCAAATTTGGCAATGTGATTTTTATAATGTTTGTACTGTGTGCTGCATATTCTAATTCTCAGCCCAGGAGCTCATTTCAAGAACCCGAACTCAACAGGGTTTACAGCCCCTCCTGTACAAAAATGCCAGTCTTGGTCAACTAAAGCTCAGGACAGAAATTGTGTCAACTAATTCAGTGTTATAAGGAATTATTCGGCTTCCTGGCAGAGAATTACAGCTGAACTAAAGCAGAGGCACTTGCCTTTTCTAACTTCAGAGTATCTGTGCCTTCTCCCCCTCACGTACCTGCCACAGTGGGAGTATATAGTAGATCCTGGGGTAATAGGCGGCCATCAGAAATTGTGGTTATTGGTAGCCACCTTCTCCCCCCCACACCCCCCAAACTTCTAACTGCCTTTCCAAGCCATTCAAATTGGCAGTTGTCCCCACAGGTTGAACTGGATGACGTGACATGACAGCCAGTGGAAGGTTACCTTACTCAGGAGGCACTGTGGAATGCACAACCCCCCTTTTTAAAAGAGCAGACCTGACCTGAAGGTTTTCATGGCTCATCCCATCTGGCCAGAAAGGACCACTGGAGGGTTAAATAGCTCTTGCAGAGCCCACAGGCTGTTCTGGGGATATGCAGGGACTGCTGAACCCCCAAATAACCTTCCCCAGCCCAGGTCACACAACAAGGTGCCGCAACCCCGAGCTGCAGGCTGAATTGCACCCTGGTGCCTGGAGAACTCACGTCATCCAAACCGGGCCCAACATCTTCTGGATTCCACAATTTAACTGGGTGCTGCATGGTTTTATTTTATTTTTATGGTATCACTCCTCTGTCCTTGACCATTCGGCTTCGTGCACAAGAGGGGGGAAACTTTCATTTACCACTCCCTGGTCCCCCAAAATCTTTTCCCCTTGTTCAAGAGAAGGGGGACAATGTGACTTACAGGTTGTGGAAGATAGAGGCATTGGGAAAATGCCAGGGTTCTTCATCTTTTCGCCGAATGCCAAGCCAGTACAGATCTTTCTTCATATTGTTCATAATAAAATCCTTAATAATTAAAAAAAAACCCTTCAGGATCTATTTTAAGACACTTCTAATGTTTCTTATTGATTTACTTCTAACACTTGGGAACCACTTAATACTGTGACATTTCCAACAGCACAACAGTTTAGCCATACCAGTGTTACGATTCCTAGCTTCTAGGAATTCCAGGCCTTTTCCCGCCTAAACGGGCACAGGGTTGCTTTCTAACTGACCTACGTCCAAAGCGTCTCCAACGATGAAGCATTAGGGTTGGGGCCTCACGGTGGAATCCTGACACAGAACATGGGAAAGGAGCAGGTAACGCCTCGCCACAAACCCCAGAGCCACCGCCGCCGCCATGCGTGTTGACAATCCTGGGTGAGGCGAGCCCAGGCCTGACCCAGTGCAAGGCGGCTAGCCCAATTCTGAGCCTGGTTTGCCCAAACCCCGGCCCCCGTGTCAGCCAGCAGGACCACCTGACACTGCCGTACCTTTTGTGTCGTTACTTAAAATATTCCTTTGCCACCTTCCAGGCCGAATCCTTAAGGCAGCATGAAGGAGTAAGAATAAAAACCGTTACAACTTTACAAGGCAACAAAAATGGCAGGGAAAAAACCCCTATCTAGGGAAGGCCATACTAGGTTTTAAGAGCCGCATGTGTCATTTTAATCATCATTCCTGTCTGATGGACAAAAAAATGGCGTGTGCGCTCAGCCGCTGAAGCGCGCCAGGCGGACCAGCTTTTTATTTCAATATTTGTATGCTGCAGATTTCAGAGCGGGGAGGATTCGGCACCAAGCCTCTATGCAAAGTCGTGTCAGCATCCGGATCATCTCCATCAGCCCCCCTGCACCTCTGTTCCCATCATCCCCACCCACTAGCCGTGCTGGCTGGAGAGGAAAGGGCTCACGGTCCAGCTCCTTTGGAGAAACCTGATCTGGAAAGGCCGCAAGGCTCTCAACCTTTTCCATTTCTGTCTCCAGCTTCACCAGGGAGCCACCGAGGGAAGAGCAGTTATTTTGGCTGTCGGGCCAGTTTGATTCACGATCAGAGAAAAGGTAGTCCCAACTTCCGTTGCGGTGCCAGCCTTGGGGGCAAAGGCTGCTTGGGGCAACCAGAGTCTGTGGTGACTTTCGTACTGAAAAAAAAAAAAAAAACAGAGCAGTTAAAGTTGGGGTCTCCAGCACCCCATTCTGCCCACCTGCACCCCTCCTGCTGTTGGCCAGGCTCCCCACCCTTCCGGAATTTTAGTTTATTTCTTAAGAGGCATTTTACTGACATTTGTTTAACCAGGAGGCTGCCCCCACACCAACCTTTACCCAGGTCACAGAAAGCGCCTTGGTGCTTGTCTCGGGCTAAGGTTCTCGGCCAGGGGAGCCCCAAGTTTGCCTCCTCAGAAATGTGCCTTTTTGGCTGGATGTGCCCACCAGGGCTGCCCTGCCTTACAAGGGCAAGCTCCCCATGGCAGCCTTTTTGTGAGAGGGCCCACAGCCGTCTCTCAAAATTCCAGAAGTGCCCAATGGCCCCAAAAGCCAGGAAGCAGCACCCAACTGGGGGGGGGGGGCGGAAGGGGCAGGCCCATCTGAGGAAGCCCAACAGGTGATGCTGGGGTAATGGGTAGGCTGGATGAGGCCCTGGGGCTGCACTTCCCCACCCGCTGCCACAGGGAGATACATTTAGCTGTATTTAGACAAAGAAATGACAGAGTAGGAAAAAAAGAAGGAAGTGGAACTCACCAGCCTGCCAAACATTGACGATCCCTGAAGCTACTAACGGCACCGAGAGTAGTACTATAATGACCATTATCTTTTTACCACGACCTAACGAGGAGAGACCTAAAAAGATAATACAAGGTAGGTTGGAGCCAGGAGAAATTATTTCCTGACCAGCCAAAACCAGAGACAGATAGGAAATCAGGAAACCCAGCAAAGTGTACATGGGAAATCAATTACATTATGAAACGGGTGCTGGCAACAAGCCACCCGTAAAAGCGCCTCTGCTAAGCCCCCGCCTGCGAACTGGGAGGTTTCAGCGATTCCACCACAGACGTTCAGCTTGGGGTCTCCTGGCGGCAGACGCGCCGTTTCTGCCGCAAGTCTCTCTGACCGTGGGAGAGCCAATGAATTGGACGTGAAGAGCTCAGGGAAGGCACTGCCCTCTGGAGGAGAGGGACGGGGAGGGCGATGAACGGCCACTTGCCGCAGCCCTGGCTCGCTGGGGCGAACGGGAACAGGAATGCAGCGAACGGGAACAGGAATGCAGCGACGCAGGGCTTGCCGCTGCTGGCTCCCCCCGCCCCCCGCCTTTTCTTTGCCAGCCAAAAGGCTTGCCCAGAGACTGTGAACTCTGAGGCCTGGAGCGACTTTTACTCGCACCGAAGGGCTTCCGGCTAGCGCAGCCTCGGCAGCCTTGAATCTGGTTCCAGCAGGCAGAGAGACTCACCACAGCAGCGTCCGGGCCTCCTGCGACGGCCAGGGGGACTCTGGAGAGCTCCATTAGCTGCCCTTTCTCGCCCGTTTGCTGCTGGACAGAACAGCAGATGCAAATGGTTACGAAAGCCTGGGCCGGCTGGCCAAACACAGGGATGCACCTTGACCGTCGCCACGCACGTGGGCACGGGAGGAAAAGCACTAGGCAAGGCCAGGGTGCCCAGCCGCTCTCAGCCTGGGGGCGGCTTGCAGCGGGGGGGGGGGGCTGGTGACCGCCCTGTCCGTGGGGCTCCTCACCCGTCGCAGCTCTTATTCTGAGCTACCTGTGATGCTCAGAGCTGATGTCAAGGGTGCTGGTTCAGCACAGGGTGAGCGCCAGTGGAGCTCAGTGCAATGGGTGAGGGCCCCTCACACGTCGGGGTCCCCTGGGGGCCGATGGGGAAAAAGGGCACCGTGGGCCTGGCCAGCCCACCAGTGGAAGAAACAGAGCAGTGAGCGCTGCTACAACACCCCTCGCGTGGCCCCCACCAGGCCCTGTTGCCTCGTGATATTTAGCTTATTTCCGAAGATAGTTTTCAGTATTTTTTTCAACCAGGGGCTCTCCTCCGTCTTCACCCCTGGCTAGGCCCAGAAGTGCCTCGTGCTCCAAAACTCAGACCTCCTTCTGCACAGAACCTTGCGCTCTCACTGGTTTGCCTTCTCAGGAGTGAGCAATTTTGGGATCAGATGTGCCCACCCTGGCGGTCCTTTCAGATGAGGGCAAACCCACCACCCAAAATGGCAGAGGGCCTCTGAGCAGTCCCCACCACCATCCGCGGCGCCCGGAAACCGCAGCGATTTAGTACCAGACTGCTGAGGTGCTTCTTCATCGAGACTTCCGGACAAAGCAGCGTCTTCTCTGGCTATGTGGACCATTTCGAGCGACATTTGAGCTGTGTTGACCATTTCGAGCGACAAGGTGGTATTTGTAGCTGACCTGCATGGGAAATGGAGAAGAGACCCCCTCTGAGCTGGTTCCTGGGCGTGTGCAAAGGCCTGCTTTGGAGGCCCCACCCCAACAGGCAAAGGGCAGGGCTGAAAATGCCAGCACCCTTCAGCTGCAGGATGCTCTGAACCAAGCCCCTCTCCCGGCTTGCTTTCCTTGTCTGATCCCGCAGGACTCCCGAACTGGGCAGCGCTCTTGCCGGCTCTGAGGGTCCCTCTGGGCATTGCGAGGTTCGGCCTCATCTCCCTCACAGGGATGCTGCAAGGGGGAAATCTATCTATCTATGAAAAGCTTTTGTATGCCGTCCTATTATACAAGATCTCAGGACGACTTGCAATTTTTAAAAGGACAATTAAACAACAATATCAATAAAACAGAACAAGCCCCTAAACCAAACAGAGCGACTAAACTAAAAAAAAACTATTCGAGTTTAAAATACTGTTTAAATAAAAAGGTTTTGGCTTGGCAAAGAGTATAAACTTGGCGCCAGGCGTGCCTCTCTGGGGATTCATTCCAGAGTCTGGGCGCCACAGCGGAGAAGGCCCTGCTCCGAGTTGATCACCTTTGTACCTCTCTTGGAGAGGGTCCCCGGAGCAGGGCTTCTCCCACAGATCTTAAGGGGCTGAGGGCACATAAGGAAGGCAGCCCTGGTCCCAAGCCATTTAGGGCTTTGTAGGTCCAAACCAGCACCTCGGATTGGGCCTGCACTTCAACCGGAAGCCAGTGCAGCTGGCAGAGGGCCGGCGTTGCGCGAGAGTTGCGGCCGGTCCCCGTCGGCAGCCCGGCAGCTCTATTCTGCGCCAGATGCAGCATCCGGACCGCCGGCAAGGGCAGCGCACGCAGAGCGCACTGCGGCCACCCAAGCAGGGAGTTCCCCGAGCGTGGATCGCCGTGGCGGGCGAGGGCGCAGCTGCGGGATCGAAGCGGCAGCAACGCGCTCCCGCCGCCGCCCCGGTGGGTCGAGGAGTGCCGCCACGCCGCGGGCCGCTCACCGAGGTGGGAGAGCCCCGAGGCGCGCGGGAAGGGGCCGGCGCCCTCGCCGCCTTGGCAGGCGCTCCCTGCTGCTGCGCCGGCCTCCCCGCCGAGGCACGCCGCGGCCTCCCCGCTCTCCTCCCGGGCGGCGGCGGCGGCGGCGGCGGCGGCTCCTTCGCCCATGCGGACGGACACGCGGCCGTGGGATGAATGGCCGGCGGCGGAGCATCCGGCCAGCGGCTGACCGGGGCTCCGCCCCCTCACGCCCAACCGCGCGCTCGTCCAATCAGGGGGCGCCGCCGCGCCTTCCGGGGCGCATGCGCGAGCGCGGCGGCGGCGGCGGCGGCGCGGAAGATGGCGGCGGGCTGCTGCGGCTGCTGCGGCGAGCGGGGCAGCCGCACCCCGGAGGAGCTGGTGAGGGAGGGAGGGAGGGAGGGAGGGAGGGAGGGGTGGGGGCGCGCGTGGGTCGGCTCCGCCCTTCGCGGCCACGGGGCTCGCGGGGGGGGGAGCTGCTGGTCGGCTGGGGTGCCTCTGAGCATGTGCAGAGCTGCCTTCCCCGCGAGCCTCTTCGCGCCCGCCACCCCAGCTGGCGATCTGAGGATAGCGGCTTCGAGGTATCCGTGGAGGCGGCAGGTGGCTGCACGGCGCTGGCCGGCAGCCCCGTGTGCGCATCCCCTTTCCCGGGGGCAGGCATGCGGGAGTGTGTTCAGTGACTCATGGAAAATAGCAAAACACTTCGCACCTTCTCAGAGGCACCTCTCTGTTGTCCCTCATCTGCCTGTCATACTTGCCTTGGGATATCCTCTCCCCATAGCAGTCCGATATGCGTTGCCTTATGAGTCAAATACCGAAGATTTACAGTAATAACAGGGATGCCTGCGGCTTTCAATTCACTTGCAAATATGGCTATTTCCCTCTTTTGTTTATTTTGTGAATCTCACCAGAAGAAAAGCAAATGAATGAGCCAAACCAGAAACTCCCCCTTGATGAGAGCCATCCCCTCCTCGAATGCAACCAACCATTGAAAATGTTTGTAGCCCAGGAAAAAAAAATGGGTGTCCCCCCACTGGGGAAGCCCAGGCCTCCTGCGCGAGTTTGACATTCCCTCTTTTAAGCCTTACCAGTGTGCGCCCCCTTTGACCCCGTTGCTGGTCTCTGCACAGGCACACCTGCTTTTAAAAAACCGGGATTTGCATTCCTTGTGCGTAACAGCTTTTCGTTGCTTGCGTGCAACAGCTTTTTGTCTTGTTTTTATTGCTAGCCTGTACAGGTTGCAATTCCCCAGGGTCGGTCGGTCTGTAACAGAAATGCAGTAGCAGGGTTGATATGAGGGTGGAAGGTTACGTTGCGGTTGTGGTCGGGGATTCATTTTGTGCCTGAGGTCTGGCAGTAGTTCCTTGAAAGCGAACAGCTGCGTGATGTGTTGCTGACACTGAAAAAACAAGACACAAAACTTTCCTACAAAGTTGTGGGTGGGCACAGCCTAAGGGAGGGCTTGTGGTGTTCTTACACTGATGCAGCTCGAGCGCGGGACCTGAGAGCTGCTCTCTGGCCAGGAAAGCGCCTTTCGAAGGGCATCTTTCTCCTGTCTGCTCCTCTGTGGTGTATATTTTTATAAATTGGAAGTAAATTGGACCAAAAATAATGTCTTTTGTGCTGCATTTTGTAGTTCTGAATTTTAGAAACTGCCCATGGAATTCAGCCCATGAATGCATGCATTCTAGCTAAACCTTTCTGTTGCTTGTTCCAGACCATTCTGGGTGAAATTGAGGAGGAGGAGGAGGAGATTCTTCCACGCAAGGACTATGAGGTGAGAGGCAAGCCTAAGAAAGGATTGGGATAAGACTCAGTGTGTTTGGTCAGAGAATGTGCACCCAGTGGAACTGGGCTTGGCGGGGTGGGGATGTGGGGGGAGGAATCATCTGTTGGAGTCCCCCCAAACCAACTGGCCCCCTTCAACTCCCTTGAAAGGGGAGGTGTGTTTTGAACAACGTTGTGTTGCGATATTGAACAAACTACTGGTAAGTCCTACCAGTGCAGAAAAGGACAACCCAAACGATCGGGGGGCACGAGCAGCCCCCGGCAAGGAAAAGTCGCAGGTCCTGGGACTTCTTTACTTCGAAAAAAGACGAGGAAGGGGGGACACGATAGAGGGGTGTGTGGAAGAAGTGGGTGGAGGGCTTTTGTCGTCTCCTGGCCTGTTACTCGAACGCAGTGGGATCGCCCCGTAACGCTGGGCGGTGGCGGACTCGGGATGGAGAGAGGAAGGGGCTTTTGCACGCAGCGCGGAGCAAAGCGATAAGATGCACCGTTGTGTGTCGTGGGGGCGGCCACTGGTTTGGGTGGCTTTCAAAGGGGACTGGGCAAGGCGATCTCGGCGGCTCGGCCTGATGGTCCAGCGTCCGAGGCCGTGCAGGACTCGTCCCAGCCAGGAGCCCTGCCTCCCTCATGGGAGAGCAGAGCCCCTTAGCCACTGACAGATGTGAGGGGCTATTTCGGTGAAAGTGCTGCTGTGGATGTGAATGCCGGGCCGGCCCGCTTGCCGGGCTCTCCTCCCAGAAACATTCTCCTGTGCCTGTGCTTTTCCCCAGAGTTTGGACTACGACCGCTGCATCAACGAGCCCTACTTGGAAGTCCTGGAAGGTCTTGACAACAAGGTACGCCTGGGGAGAAGAGGGGGCTCGTGGCCAGCCACCCGGCCTTCTCGGCCACGTTGTGGAGCCTCCTGGGCCAGGGCTTGGCGTCCCTGCGATGGAGGGACACCTCTGGAAGTGACCGTTTTGTCACCCATGGCCTGGTCCAGCCAAGGCCGTGTCTGTTTAGATGTGCGGAGGATCAGGAAGGGACCGAGCCAGCTGTGTGGACAATGACACAATTGTCAGAGACTCAGCTGTGAGGGAAAGGTGCCTTGTGTGTGTCCGGAAGAAGTTTTGTTAGTTCACGTGCTCCTGGAGTAAGACTTACTGCAGAAACTGGTTTCAGAGGCAAAGTCCCCCTTGGGGCAGAAGTGGATACCTGGAACACAGAGGCCCTGGGTAGAAAGCAGGGGGATGTAGAAGTGTTTTCTAAGGAGCCATGAGGTCTAGAAACCTGACCCCCAAATCCTGCAAGTAGGAATGCACCTTAAAACCTGAGGCGTCACCTCTTTGGACTGTGCAGGGTGTATTTATGTCTGACCAGAGCATCAGTTGAGGCCATGTGGACAGGAGCTTCCTGCTCTGTCGGTACACTAACCTGCTCACCTGTGCACCTCTCTTTCCCGCCTTGCAGAAAAGCCAGCGGTACGAAGCGGTGAAGTGGGTGATGGTTTTCGCCATCGGCGTGTGCACGGGGTTGGTAAGCAGCTTGCTCACATCCTCCCTGAAGGATGGGCTTGTGCATGCCTTTCGTTTTTGCCAGCAAATGGTGATTTCTGGCTATAATGATTGCCTGGCTGGGAGTCGTGGGCCTTGTAGTCGGTTAGGGAAAGCTGATAGGATTGCCCTGAGCCTTCCTCTCTCCATAGGTGGGCCTCTTTGTGGATTTCTTCGTGCGGCTCTTTTCCAGGCTCAAGTTCCACATCGTGCAGAGCTGTATCCTTGCTTTCACATCGATGTTTCACATCGGTTCACATGGAATTTACATCGTGCAAAGCTTGCTTTCTAGCTCTAGGCGTGCCCTCTAGGGGCGGGAGCTACAGAGTCTCCGACTCTTGCTCGGAGAAGTGTTTCTGGCTTCCCTTGAAAATTCATTTCTTCCATGTGTGCTCCTTAGTGACTCATGAAGCCATTTATGTCCCACCTTTGCCTGCCTGAAAGGAACCTGAGGCAGCTTGGCTAGGCTCCCTGCTCTTCCTTTCCTCCTCACAACAACCCTGCGAGGTAGGGCTAGGCCAAGTGTCGGGGAGAGCGCACACAGTTCCTTGACTCGGTCCCTGCAGCCGTGGAGGAGTGCAGCGAGAAGGGCTGCCTGGCAGTGTCCCTGCTGGAGCTGCTGGGCTTCAACCTAGTCTTCATCTTCTTTGCCAGCCTGCTTGTCTTGATCCAGGTAACGGCAGAGGCCAAGGAAGTTCTCCCCGCGGTCTCCGCCTTGTCCTCCCACATTCCTGATGTTACGAGTCACGGATGGGATGCTGATAAGCTGGGAGATGAGAAAGAGGCAGGCCCTCTTTATTTTTTCTAGAAGATCGTTTCCCCAGTTTAATAACTCATTGAATTAATCCTGTGTCACCCCAGAGGGGAAGTCTTCTAGGCAGCTCGCAACCACTATAATGGCACGAAACAGCAAGAGAAAAATACTGGGTTTAAAGCCACGGCATGAAAATTAACAGGATGCTAACAACTGCCTCACAGTGCGTTGCCTGGTCACCTGCTGCTGAGGTTTGTTCACCCCAGGTGACTAGCCCATCTTGCATCCTGCATGGGAAGTGCCTCATCTGGCCCACACTGCCTTCCGAGCCCCCCAGTTTGGTCTCCCACTCCTTGCGATTCCTTCCCAAACTCCCGCTGTTCTCTCCTCGCAGCCTGTGGCCGCTGGCTCCGGGATTCCGGAGATCAAATGCTACCTGAACGGGGTCAAGGTCCCGGGGATCGTTCGGCTCCGGACCCTGGTGTGCAAGGCAGTGGGCGTGCTTTTCAGTGTTGCAGGAGGTAAGGGACCCCCTGCGTTCCCCGTCGGCGAGCCGTTTCTCGCATCCGATCCCCGCAGCTCTGGGGGATCTTTTCCAGGCGACTGACAACGTGTTCTTCTCCAGGTCTCTTTGTCGGGAAGGAGGGACCCATGATCCACAGCGGGGCTGTTGTCGGTGCCGGCTTACCCCAGGTGAGTGAGAGCGGGCCGCTGGACCCTCCTGGAGTTTTGTCGTCCTTGCCTGACCTGGGTAGTTTCTGGGCCCTGAAAAGAAATTCCTGATTCTGTTTATCCATTTTTGGTGTCCAGGGACCACAATTATAAGAGGCACTCTTAATGCCAAAAGACACTCAGTTCTCCAACCTGCGTAATTTCTCTTGTTTTGCACAATTTGTTCCATTTGTCCTAGTCCTGGGGCAGGGCTGTGATATCTGCCAGCGACTGAGTTGGCATCCTCTGATTTTTTAGAAACTGTTTGGCTTCTCATATATCGTGGGCCTTGCCCTTGCACCTTTGTGTATCCTGAAATCATGAGGACGAGAAGCTTGGCTTTTTTAACAACAAAAGCTTCCACTTTTGGGAACCGGCATGTAGTACCACTTTCTGTGTGTTCCTGCAGAACTGGGAGATACCCAGGCAGTCCTGCCTCTCGAGTGGGAAAAGGGGCCCTTTAGCCATCTGTTTGATTTAGATTCTTGTCTGTCTTTTCCTCACCAGTTCCAGAGCATCTCTTTAAAGAAGATCAGATTTAACTTTCCTTATTTCCGAAGTGACAGGTACGTTCTGGGTGGGCGAGGCTCACCATGAGATGCTCTGCATTAGGGGCCCACCTGGTCTACCCAGAGATGGGCTCTGCCAGCTCCCGCCTCCTGCCCTTCGCTAGACTTACAACTGTCGGAGGCGAATTTCAGTCGATTGAACAACTCACACAGAAGCTGTTGAATGGATCGTGCACGTGCCCCGACACTCTCGCCCTCCCCCCTCCCCCCCCCGCACCCTGAAAGCCATTGTCTTCGAAATGGGTATGCTTCATAACCCCTCCTCCTCTTGTCTTCCTCCCAGGGACAAGCGGGACTTCGTTTCTGCAGGAGCCGCTGCAGGGGTGGCCGCAGCCTTTGGGGCCCCCATCGGGGGGACCCTGTTCAGCCTGGAGGAGGGCTCCTCCTTCTGGAACCAGGGCCTGACGTGGAAAGTGGTGAGGGCCGACGGGAGGTTTCGCTTTGCTCATCACTTCGCTGTTCACAGATGTTTTTCTGCCACTCCGGGGCAGATCCAGGAGCGTGGTGTCCCTGCCTGCAGGCTCACCACCTGAAAAGTCACAGCATACAAGGAAAAAGGGGTGGGTGGGGAAGAGGAAGTGAGAGGCCCTGCTTCTCTCAAGTGATGGGTCCCCCAATGCCCTTGAGACACACATGACTACAATTCCTATCCTATCGGGGTGATGGGAGTTGTCACCAGAAACATCTGGAGGGCAGCGAGCAGCATCCGAGTTGCCCAGTGGGGACCCCGGACACCCTGTGAGAAACACACGAGAAACTTCCCTTTTGCTTCACTCTTCCTTTCCCCTTCCAGCTCTTCTGTTCAATGGCCGCCACCTTCACGCTGAATTTCTTCCGCTCCGGAATTCAGTTTGGAAGCTGGGGGTCTTTCCAGCTCCCGGGACTGCTCAACTTCGGAGAGTTCAAGGTGCGTGGCCCTCTGCATGTCGCTTTCCGGGCTTCCTCTCCGTGTCTTTTTGATAACATGCTGAAATGGGTGGGGGGCCCCCGGGGGTCCAGCTGAGCCACCTTGGTGGGAAAGCACCGCGTGAGATATACGGGGCCCCGGCTGCCTTCCAACGGGATGGAGCGCAGGCTCTCCAGGAACACGGTGCGGGTTAAGGACGCGCTCCGGCCGTGCTTGAAACTTGTGCCCCCAGCAGAGAAGGCGTTTCCGGGAATTTGGGGCCCTGTGCCGCTTCTCTGTCTCGAGTGAGCATCTCCTTAATAGCTGGGTCACGTTCTGCTCGTTGTTCTGAGCTGCGTGGAGAGCCACGTTTCTGGGTGGAAATGTGGCATGCAAACCGCAGGGGTGAGCAAGCTCTGGTGGGCTGCTTGCCTGGGGGGAACGGCCGATGCCTGCCTTTTGCTCTTGTTGGTCTGATCTTGATAGAGAAAATGAGGTAAAGGGACCTAGAGCCTTTTGTGAGGAGGGGACTGCCGTCTCCCTCCTTCAGCCCTCCGAACACAGCGCTGCTTTGGGCTCTGAAGCAGCCCCCGAGCCAAACCCACCTTGGCTGATCTGTGGTGTTGTTCTTTTGCCTCCGGCTGGGGCCATCAACGCTGCCCCCTCCAGTGCCCCGAATCCGATAAGAAGTGCCACCTGTGGACGGTTGTGGACCTGGGCTTCTTCATCCTCATGGGAGTCGTCGGCGGCCTTCTGGGGGCCACCTTCAACTGCACCAACAAGAGGCTGGCGAAGTATCGCATGCGGAACGTGCACCCCAAGCCCAAACTGGTCAGGTACCCACACCCTCTTTCCCACCTGGCGCTCGCAGCCTATTTCCTGGCGGCATGTAGAGCAGCGGGCGCCGGGCTTCCTGCACCCTGAGAGCTGGATTCCATTTCGGAAAAGCCCTCCTGGTGGAGCAGGCCAGGCCCAAAGTGCCGCAAACCCCTGGCTCAGAGCTCTTCAGTGTCAGCAATGGAGCTGTGGGGAAAGGAATTCTGCTTTTACAGTGCAAGGGAGGCCGCAGGAAGACAATTCCGAATGATGGGGGGAAAGGAGGCGGGGTGGAAGGAGGGCTGCCCGGGGCTCTGTCTGCCGCCCCCCACCCCTCCTTGAACGACAAGCCCTGTGCAGGGAGGTTAAAGAGAGGAGAGGCAAAATACTAGCGGTGCTGCATAAGAAAGCACTCTCTGGTGCATTTTGCCGGCCATCGCTCCAGCTGAGCAGGCAAACACCAGCGCACGCCCTGACCTGTTTCTCCTCTCCACGTCTTTCCCCGTGACTGCCCCCCTCTCCCCAGTGGGCTCATGATTTCTGCCATTCCTGCGGGAAGAATGGCCTGAGAGAGCAATTTCAGGTTGACTTGGTGGGGAGGGGGCACGTTGGCGGTGCCAGCGAGAGGAGGCCCTCAGTCGCAGCACAGCCTGTCGCGGGGGGGCGGGGGTCCCCACCTTTGCGCCTGAGGGATGCTTAGCAGAAGGCCCCAGCCGTGCGCTCCTGCAAGCCACAGCTGTTCCTCGCGTGCTTCCTGTCGCCTCTCGCGTGCAGGATCTTGGAGAGCTTGCTGGTGTGCCTCACCACCACGCTCGTGGTCTTCGTGGCCTCCATGGTCCTCGGGGAGTGCCGGCCGCTGTCGTCCTCTAGCCACGGAGACAACAGTTCTCTGGACCTGCAGGTAAGAGAGAAATCTGGTGCCGGAAGAGAAGGAAGCCGGAAATAGCTTCGCGTAGCGGCTGCGGCTGGGTGCGCGCTCTGCCGTCCTCCCCGTTTCTTGTGTTCAAGGCCGTAAGCGCTGGTGCTTGTTCTGTGAAATCGGTGCCATTCGCACAAGCGGGCGAAGTGGCTGTATAGCAGAGAGAATTTCAGAGACTTGTAGGAGGACCAAAAAGAAAAACCTTTAGGGGAAGAACCGGGGGGGGGGGGTGCGCTCTGCGGGAGAAGGAAACTGCAGCCCCAAACATCTGGGCAGATCCGGGTCGGAACAGAAAGCACCCGATGGCTGGGCGCTCGCTAAAAGGCGACGCTTTGCAATTGTTGAATTAGGGCTCTTCCTCCGACGAAGTGAATTCGAGCATCCAGACGTTCTTCTGTCCCAACAGCACGTACAACGACATGGCCACGCTCTTCTTTAACCCGCAAGAGGCGGCCATCCTGCAGCTCTTTCACCAGGAGGGTGAGTGCCAAGGCGAGCAGAGAGCGGGCGGAGGGAGGCCTTGGCGGGTTCGGGGGACGCTGCCCTTGGCAGAGCCGCAGAAATACCTCGGAAGAGGCCCCCGCCCTCGGAAAGGACATGGAGCCCAACCCAAGTTTGCTTCGTGCGTGGCACGGGCGTCAAATGAGATAGTGCAGCGGGGACGGGATGAAGCGTCACGGAAAAGCACGATGCAAACGCCGGCTCTGCAGCACGGCGTAGGCCTTCCCTTGGACGATCTCCACGCCGGGGAGCCCGGCCGGACTCCCAGCTGCACCTCTCGCAGGGTCCTTCCGCATCCAGGGGAATCCCAGTTGGGGTAGCTGGACCCCCCTCTCTGCGGAGACTCAGGGCAGCTGAGGCGGATACAGCCAAGGGGCAAAGTGGGGTGGAAAAGACGCAAAGAATTCGAGGGGGGGTTTCCAAGACAGCTCCTTAACCAGGGGGGTGCGGGCCCTCCACTGCGGCCCACCCGGGACCCCCCCCCCCCCGCCGCCAGCCTTCTCCGGAGGATCTCGTCCCATTTCCCTCTGGCCGCCGCCTTCTGGCAGTTTCCCAGCATGTGCGTGGGCTTCTCTCGCTTTCTGACCTGCCAAAATGCCTTTCTTAAGGGTGAGCTAAATTACGCCAGGGTGGCTGTCGCTTTGACTCTGGCGCTTTGGCCACCGAAAGGCTCTGAAATGGACATTCGGCCCGTGAGCCAAATGCCGGTGCCCCCTGGAGCCTTGCTAGGGGGTGGCTCTCTCGCCGGGGGCGTGGCCTTCTCCTTGGAGGCGGAGCTTCTGCCCCCCATTGTTCAACCCTCTGTCTCTCCCCTGTCTTTCCAGGTACCTTCAGCCCTGTCACGCTCTCCCTGTTTTTCCTTCTCTATTTCTTGCTCTCCTGCTGGACATACGGGATTTCCGTGCCCAGTGGCCTCTTTGTCCCGTCGCTGCTTTGCGGGGCCGCCTTCGGGCGCCTGGTGGCCAACCTCCTCAAAAGGTACTCCCCTCGCTCTGGCCTCGCCCATGGGAGCGGCACCGCTTCCCCGGCCTCCCTCGCCCCGCCGGATCCTGACCCCCCTCCCCTCTCCTCTCGGCCCACAGCTACATCGGCCTGGACCACATCTACTCGGGCACCTTCGCGCTGATCGGCGCCGCCGCTTTCCTCGGCGGCGTGGTCCGCATGACGATCAGCCTCACCGTGATCCTGATCGAGTCCACGAACGAGATCACCTACGGGCTCCCCATCATGATCACGCTCATGGTGAGCTTCCCGGGGGCCGCAGGGTTCCTCCTCCCCACGCCCAGCGCCCTGCCACGCAGGGTTAAAGCGCCCTCGGCCTTCGCCCAGCAGCTGCTCTTCCCCGATTTAAAATGGAGCCCTTGGGGAGTGTGGGAGACGCTGCTTGTGCGGCTCAGATCGAAACACCGCCACACTCCAGGAATGAAGTGGAGTTGGCCTTGGGCGCCCCTCCACCGGCCGCTCCCTGGGTGCTGATTTGGGGCCCCTCTCGGCCGGGGCCCCCATCCTCCCGCTGCCGCGTCACCGCTGGCTCAGGCAGCGGGACCGTCGTCTTTTCCAGGTGGCCAAGTGGACCGGAGACTTCTTCAACCAGGGGATCTATGACATCTACGTGAACCTGCGGGGAGTGCCGCTCCTGGAATGGGAGACCAAGGCGGAGATGGACAAGTGAGCTTGCTCAGCTGGCAGAGTTCAGAGTCTGAAACCCGCTGGGCTCGTCCTGCTGGTACTAAAACGAGCCCCTTCAACAGGCATGAGGAACCTTGGGCCCTTCGGCCCAGCGCGGCCCCCCCGAGGTTCCCCAGCAGGCGGCACCTCTTCCCCCAACAACCAGCCATCCAGTTTCCCGGCTTTCACACCATCTCCCCACGTTCTGGAAGATCAAGATGGCTCCTGTTTATGGCTGGCTGGAAGAGCTTCAGGCTCAAACATGCCTGCTTGTTTATGCATCCTTTGGCCCCGCCCCTTTGCCTTTGGCTCCACCCATGACTGGAATGTGGCCGTCAGACTGGAAGAGGGTCGCCTTCCTCACCCACATCTTTGAATCTGTTCCTTCCCATGTCTCAGGCTGAGAGCCAGCGATATCATGGAGCCCAACCTGATGTACGTCTATCCCCACACCCGGATCCAGTCCCTGGTGAGCATTCTGCGCACGACGGCGCATCACGCCTTCCCGGTGGTGACCGAGAACCGGGCCTACGAGAAGGAGTTCATGAAGTGGGACCAGCTGATCAGCAACAACATCAAGTTCAAGGTGAGGCCAGGCGCCCGTGGACTCAGCCAGGACCCTCGTTCTGATGAATTTCGGTCTCGTCCATCCCATGTTATGTCAGGGTCGCTTTTACAGTGCAAAGCAGCACATAAACCGAATGATTTATGCATATGGAAGCAGTAGTGAAAACGAGAGAGAAAGCAGTAAAAAAGCAGGGACAGACGCCACAAATTAGAACTGCAGCACTGGGTTCAAATAGGCCGTAAAGTCAGACCCGCTCTGCCAGAATTTGCTGATAGCAGCCGCCGCTACTTGTCCTTGTAATTTGCCGTACTCGCAGCTGACAGCAGCAGTAATAGAAGCTTTCTGGTGGCAGAGAGGCGTAGAATGTGCGGACAAGCCGCGGAGATACTTCCCGCGGTTCTCCGACACTCGGGGAGACGCGGGAGGTAAGACTGCGGCTCCCCTCCCCTCCCCCAGAAGTCCAGCATCCTCACCCGAGCCGGCGAGCAGCGCAAGCGCAGCCAGTCCATGAAGTCGTACCCCTCCAGCGAGCTGCGCAACGTGTGTGACGAGCACATCGTGACAGAGGAGCCGCCGGAGACGGAGGACATGCTGCAGCAGATGCTGGAGCGGAGGTGGGCTCCGAGCGCGCGGGCCCCTGTCCCGGGGGCACACGGGGCGCTGTGCGGGGAGCCCGCGGGCACCCTTGTGGAATGGCCGCCGGGGAGGGGGCACGCCTCACACTGCAGCGGCTCCAAGAGAAGGCAGGAAGCGAAGCCCGCGGTGGGAGCGGCTTGAAGAGCGCGAAGCCCCTTGTTGCAGAGTTGGTGACGGAGGCAGTTCCTGGTGGTTTCATTTACAGCCCCGTTTTTTCCCTGCAAGGGGCCAGAGGCAGCTCACCTAGTTCTCCCCTCCGTGCGATCCTCACAGCAGCCCTGTGAGGTGGGCCTGGGCTGAGAGTCAGGGACTGGCCCAAAGGCCCCCTGGGAGATGCTGTTCTGCAGACGAGAACCTGGAACTCCCAAGTGCCAGTCTTGCTGTGCCACAGTGGCTCCAGACGTCCTCGTTTTTATCTGTACACACCTCAAAAGATAAAGTAAAAGCCGGGGAGGCCGGGGCACCTGGCGGCTATGGAGAGGTGGCTGGGCCTGGGGGTGGCCCCAGATCCTGGGTGGGAGGGGCCGCTGGTTGAGCTGGGAGGCTCCGGGGGGCGCCCTTCAGAGGCGGGCCTCCCCTTTGCAAATCGGCTCCCCAAACTCACACGGGGAAGGTGCTCTTTTCCAGGTACACCCCCTACCCAAACCTTTACCCAGACCAGTCGCCCAGCGAAGAATGGACCATGGAGGAACGCTTCCGCCCCCTCACCTTTCACGGCCTGATCCTGCGGTCGCAGTTGGTCAACTTGCTGGTGCGAGGCGTCTGCTACTCGGAGAACCAGTCGGTGAGTTCCGACAGGCTCCACAAATGGCACTCGCTTCCCCTCTCTCTCTCTCTCTCCCTGTGTTTTCAAGTCTGGTCTGGAGGGGTGCCCTGTTAATTAAATTTATTCCCAAGGCATTTGCATAAATACATTCCTACGGGATTTGCAGAGGGCAAGATGACCTTCTTGGGAATGTCAGCGAGGACAGCTCTGTGCTTGCTCCATGCTAAAAGCAGAGAAAGGTTGGCACTTAACCTTAAGAGGGTGGCGGAAGTCCCGGAAGGTCACTGCCGAGGCACCGACCCCCCCAGTTTGAGCCACGGCAGACCACGTCCCCCCAGGTGCTCGCTGCAGTGCCTGGGTCCCGGACTCGGTATTCCTTCTCCGTGCTGGGAATATCCCAGTGGCTGAGAAATACTCCTCTTCCACTCGGGATGATTCCTGGAAGGGCTGCGATTAGAAACTGCCTTTCCAGTCCCCAGAGGGGACCCTCTTCCTCTGTAAGATCTCCCTCCTGCCCTGAAACCCACAGATTTTGGGTGTTCTCTTCTCACGCTGTTGCGAGTCGTAGGTGACGCGTCGACCCACCGAGGCCGCTTTTCTGTTTCGCAGAGCGCCAACCAGCCGCGCCTCTCCTACGCCGAGATGGCCGAAGATTATCCTCGCTACCCCGACATCCATGACTTGGACCTCACTCTACTGAACCCCAGGATGATAGTCGTAAGGGTCCCTCCTGCATCCCCACGTGCATGTTGCCCCTGCGCCGTGGGGCGAGCGGCCTCTGCCCATCCCTTGAGTGCCATGTCATGTTGATGTCGCTTCCATAGGTCAGAGGCGGCTCTTCCTGTGTAACCAAACATTTCTCCTGGGTGGTTACAGCCAGAAATACTTCAAAAAAAATTTTTGTTTTCATGTGGCTCATTTGTTCGGGAGCTTTTCCTGCTGAGTTTTGGCCTTGACTCTCTCGTGCCAGTCCTAGTCTAAGCTACTGCACACGGTTTTTCTTGAGACCGCAAGACTGGCTGCCCTTTTAAGTGCCCCTTCCGGCAGCTTCTGGCTGAGGCACAGCTCTTTTTTTAAAACTATAATGCATGTTTTTAATACGGGGGCCCTCGGTTTCATTCATTTCCTTTGCATGTGTTAATTGGGGGAAAGCGGGCAACGCCCCGAGAAGATTTTGCGCCCAGCCAGGAGTCCCGGTTTGAGACAACGTGAGTATCGGCTGTAAATTGCACTGAAACGCTTTGTGTGCCTTTCTGCTCCTGCCAGGATGTGACTCCCTACATGAACCCGTCTCCTTTCACCGTCTCGCCCAACACCCACGTCTCCCAAGTCTTCAACCTCTTCCGGACGATGGGGCTCCGGCATTTGCCCGTCGTGAATGCCGTTGGAGAGGTAAGTGGGCGGCACTCTCCGGAGAGCATTTTATTCTGAATTTGCGGGCCTGGCTGTGCTTTGCTTTTGGCTCGTCTCCGCTTGCTCATCTGCCCCACAATCCTGAAGGCTGGCAGGTGAGAGAGAAAGGGGTTTCTCGGGGGCAGGCCTTGCCCGATAGAAATTCTTCCCAAGAGATGTAGTCTGCTCTTACGAGGGTCAGAAACACCCGCCTGTCCTCCTTGCCTGTTAAGTTAACCTTTTTAGGTGTTGGATGGTGGTGGATAATTTGATGTGAGGGTTTGTTTATTTATTGTTCTGAATGTATCGTTTATGCTGCTCAAGAAGTCTGCAGTCTTAAACGGTAACTAAGAGATGGATCGGTCCATTCCATCAAGAGGACAGCGTCGGTACCAATAATTCCACGAATTTGGACCTCAACTTCCCACTGCACCCTCAAGAAAATTTGGGGTTTAGCAGGCCTGCTATTGACCTAAGCTAAATCTTCCTTCCGAACCGCCACCAGGTGTCGCTGGAGGCCAGCGGGAAGGTTTTAAGGGAAGGACTGATGGACATATAACAATTGTGTTGATGAATTAAAGATTATGCCAACATGTCCCATTTCTAACCCAGACTGGGGACGAACACGTTCTCTTGCTTGCAGATGCCTAACCTGGCATTCATGCTCTGAAAGGGTGTTTTTTTTTTAAATGTGCATTTCTTGCTTTATTAGATGTGCGAATTTTTGTTGCACTTCTAAAAAAAAAGTACGTTTTTCCCATTTGAGCAAAACAAAGAAAGAGTGCAGACAGACACTTTCAGCTGCTGATCAGAGAAGCTGGCTGCTGGGGAGCATGGTTTGTGAGACGGAGGGAGGGAGGGAGGTTTGTGCCTGTGTGTGTCTGCCTGCTTTTGGTTTATCTCTGTTTGCACTGTTTTTATGTTATGCACAAAGCGCCTTTTATTTATTTATTATTTATTTATTAAAATATTTTCTGTCCCATCCCCTTCGAACGTCTTGGGAGGTCTTACAGTGAGGGTTTTAATCTCTGGAAACTGCCCAGGTATCTGGCTACTGGGCAGTACAGAAATGGAAATCCGAAATGAAGCAAAGTGAGGATCCCTGGGAAGAATGGGGCGGAGCAATGTCTCCCCACGTCGCAGGATTGTTGTGAGGGTTGGCATGGGGAGGAGGCGGCCCATGGGGGCCACCTGGGGTTTCTTTGCAAGAGGCAGATACCGTGGGAAGTACCGTCTCTGAAATCCAGTTGCCTGAGAGGAGGAGCGGGGTGTGGGCCCCCCGACACCCCGTTGCCCTTCCTCCTCTGACGCATCCCCCCCTCCGCCTCTTCCAGATTGTCGGCATCATCACTCGGCACAACCTGACCCACGAGTTCCTGCAGGCCCGGCTGCGGCAGCACTACCAGACCCTCTGACCGCCCCGCCGCCTCTCCCCGCCTCAAGCCACCCCTTCCCATCCCGCTTCGGCCCCGGGGCCAGCTCTGTGCACTTTACGACACCCACAGAACCCGGACCGGCAGCGTCCTCGCGGGGGCCCCTGCAGCCCTCTTGTGCGGCCGGCGGAGGAGGAGTGGCGCCCTCCACGCTCGCTGGCCCGCCACCGGCTTCCACGGTCACGGTTTGATCCTCTCCCCGCAGGCTCCGGATTACCGTCTCCACATTCGCTGCCCTCCTCCGCCGGCACATTCGTGAGGAATCATGCCTCTGGCGTATTCCAGAAGGCGGGGCGCTGCCTCGCTCTTCTTCCTCCTTCCCACATCTCTTGCCTTAGCAGAAACCAGTCTCAGGGGCTGGGAAACCCGAAGCGCCATTTCCCCTCATTCCGATCTTGGCGGGGCATCCCTGCCGTTTGCATTTCCTGTGGCCGCTCAGGCCGAGAACGAAGTGCCCCGTTTTCATTCCATGGGAACTTGAGGAAAATCCCTTTACTTTGCAGGTCCACTTTTTTCCCTCCCACATTCCATAACGGAACACTTTTGTATAAGGGGTTGGGAAGGCCGGAATCCTGGCTGGCGACAGTTCTCTGCAGGAGAGAATTTCCAGTCCCCCGCGACCTTCCTTGGTTGTCAAGGGCAAAACGACGAGTTGCATGTGAAGAAACATGAACAATCACTGAAAAATTGTGGGTGCGTGTGTGTGTGAGAGAGAGAGAGAGAAAGGGAGGTGCCGCAAGAAAACTTAGTTTTCGTCAGCATAGGATGAATAGCTTTCGAGAAAGCTGCCTCGTGTGGAATTGGGGGTAGTTCTCATCTGCATTGGTGTACAGCTATGTTGAATCAAGCCGCTCTGGGGTTCTGAAGGACTCCCAGAGGCGGGTGGGAATCTGGTGATGGTCAGGCGTGTTGCGAAAAGCTTGATGTTGCTCTGGGGGTTCGGCCTTGGGGACACATCGCTCGTCCGGAGGTTCCCCGATTCGGTGCCTGTCCAGGCCAGCCCGGCGCTTGCGGCTGGCCGGTGATCGATCCGTGCGATGCCTTCGGGTCGCGTGCAGAGGAGATGCCGATGGCTTTGTTGTGCGTGGGCACGTCCAGCTGCCCCCAAGCAGCCGCGAGGCCTGGCCGGGACCCAGAGCGGACCCCCGACCTTCCAGTGCCTTCGCAGCAGGTCGGGTCGCCTCTCTCCAAATCCCCCCACGGTGCGCCTGCTTCCTCTTGTGCCCCTTTCTGGCATTTTCGGTTGGCTCTGGCCGTCCCCTCGCTCGACAGGACAGAGCGTTGTGTCCAGCTGATCCTGGGGGGTCCCGGGGAGAAGCTCCCGCCAGCCCTTTCCCTCCGTGCGTGTGCCATGCTTCGGTGGGAAGGAGGGAAGGGGCTGCCGTCGGCGCGGCCTTGTTCCTTCCTGTGCGCGTGTCCCTGTCCTTGTGTAACCCCTCTGAGTCCCTCTGCCTTGAAAGGGCACGTGTGGCTGCTCCACCGCCCCCCCGCCCCCCCGTGCCCAAGCCCTGACCTCCAGTTTTCATCGAAAGCCGTTAACTAACCAGTCTTGCCAGAGGGGAAAACTGCTTTGCGGTTGCAGCGGTCACCCAGGCAGGACCGGACTTGTCCTGGGCCGGGAGGAGGGGGCGGGTCGCAGAGCCTTCTGCAGCTGGAAGAGTTCCCGTAACACCCCCCAGCGCGCCCCCCCCAGGCCCAAGCCGGCCGCGGCTGGTCGAGTGTTTTCAGCAAGACCCATCCCGGCAGAGATCCAGCGGGCTCCTGCCGCCGTGGGTTTTGGCCTCCGCAGGAAGCTCGGCCGGGGGACGCCGGGGACGCGCCTCGGCAGGGCAGGAGTGCAACACCGATGGGCGTGATAAAGCACAGCCCGGCTCTCGCACCCCGTCCGCCGGAGAGCGCATTCCAGGAAAGTCTCCCTGCACCCGCGTCGGCCCGCCTTAGACCCGGGGTGGGTGAGGAGCTGAGTCCCCCCATGTAAGCCCCCTGCCCACCCGCCTGCCTGCCCCGGTTTTTCCTCCTCTCAGTCACCCCATGAAGCCGCGTGACCCTTCAGCGCTGGCTCTTGCACAGCCCAGCCACAATTCAGACGTTTGCGTCTGCCTCTCTTCGTAGTCCTGAAGTTCCCAAATGAGCAGCCCCTGGATCTCTCTCACAGCCCGCCCAGTGTGAGCACCAGAATCCCCTCGGGGCACAGCTGTGGCAGCTTGGTCCCGATATTCCAGGTGAGGCCACATCGTCCTTCCCAGCCGGAAATCCAAGGCCACATGGAGGAAGAGATGCAGCCTTTAATATCCTGGTTGCCGACTTTTCCCCATGGAATTTTTCTCTCTGGATTCATTGGCAGGACCTCTCATTTCATTTGTCTGTCTTGCCTCCTTGTCTCGGGTGTTTTGGGGTGCCATTCTTGTCACCCCTGATGTCTAGACATGCTGGCCGGGGATGAAGGGAGTTGTAATCCCACACATCCAAGGAGGACCTGGTGCCGCCGCTGCCGAAATAGCTGGCACGCAAAATAAGGGATTTGAAAGCATCCAGGCCTCGTGGCTTGTGCTCCATCGAGAGATGCTCCCTTTGTCCCTCTTCCTGTGTGGATACGGGGAATGTGGCAAGCATGTGCAAATGCCATGCAAGCAGGCTAGTCCTCATGACTGTTGCTAGGCTGTGCCCTGCCATGATTGGCTCTCTCTCGCTCTCTCTCTTGCGGAGCCTGTTGGATATTGAAAAATCAGAGTTGCAAGCGTCCTCTGCCCCCCAGGCTACCCAGGGGAAGGGAGGGGAAACAGCCCCACTGCAAGCCGTGCCAGACTGGGTTGGAAGCCGAGGAGGCTGCAGGTTTCCCAGGGTCGCGTCTGCGGCATGGATTTCTGCAGAGCCGATGGAGCTCACTATAGGAAAAAGGGGGGAGACCGCTCCCCATGGGTTTGCACCCCGTACCCGCAGGGGTCAGGCAGAACATCGCTCCAGAGGGTTGCGTGCGTCGCTCTGGGCAGAGCCTCGTCTTGTGGCATCGTGTGTTCGGGGGGGGGGGGGGGGGCGGCAGGGGGCGCCGCGCCGCTGGTTTCGACGTGAGCCAGGAATGTGTTTGCAAAGTCTTCACTGCCTCGGATGGGGGGGGGGCAGGGGGGCGGGTAAGTTTCCTTTTCTGTTTTTAAAGAAAGTCGGTCTCTCCCTCTCTTTCCTCCCTCCCTCCACGACGCAGCCGCTGCTTTGCTTTCTCTACCCTTCTGCGGCCACTGTGAAAAAAGGAAGACGGGAGAATGGGGAGGGACCGGCTGACGGCCTGGAACCCCCTCGCGGCCCGGCTGGTTCTGGCTGTGGCAGGACCGCCGCGGCCTCGCTCGGCCGTGGCCGCTGCCCCCGTCCAGCATGCTCGGGCCAGAGCTGTCCGTCCTCCCCCCCGCCTCGATCGGCCTCCGGGGCGCTTCCTCGCCCCCGCCACCCGTGGGCTCCGCTACCTGTGGAAAAGCCGCGGGCCCCGGGGCCCGTTCCTCGGATCAGGGATCAGGCGCGGCCTTCGCCCCCAGGCGGGGCACAGACTAGTGTGCTCTCAGCTGGGCAAGAGGCGGGACGGGGGGAGCGCGTGGAGGTTTCCTCCCCCGGCAGAAGAGGTGGGCAGCCCAGCGGGGACTGGGGAAATGCAGGGCATTTTAGAATAGGGGGTCTCCCGGCCAAGCCCCGAAAGCCTTTTCTTCTGGGCTGTCACAGCTCTGCCCACCCGGCTGCAGGGCGGGCTGGGCTGGGCTGGGCTGGGCTGGGGAACCAAAGCCCTCTCTCGTGTTGCTGGGCTCCGTGCCAGCCAGGCTGATGGGAACTGTGGTCCAGCAGCAGCAGGAGCGGATGGCGTCCCACCCACAGTTCCCGCAGCTGATGGGGGCTGTGGACCAGCTTCTGGTCCCTGCCGCAGAGCCGGGGTGGCCAGGAGGCAGTTGTCCACACCGTTTGGCCTTCGGCTCCCAGCCTGGCTCCCTGCCACCCGTGTGTGTGTGAGTGTGAGAGTGAGCGAGCGAGCGAGCATGAGAATACCGCACGGCTTCAGCTTGCCGAGCGTAAAACAGGTTTCCTGGGACTGCAGTGACACCGTGCTCTCGCGCTGCAAGCAGGAAGCGTCTCGTTTCCCTCTCTCTCAAAGGCCAAGAGCTGTTCTCGCTCGGGTGCCACTTGGATCAGCCTTTTGCCGTTCCTCCTCGCCTTGAAGCGCCTCCTTTGCTCGGGCCCCACGGCTCATCCCGGCCTGCCCCGGCGAGCAAAAGGCCACCCAGAGCCCCCGATGCTGCCCCGAGCATCTCTCCCCGCCCTTGGGGACACGGGCGCCTCGCCTCCCCGTGGGCAGACGGCTCTGCCTTCTCATCAGTATTAATTCCAACCCGGGGGAACGCAGGAGGCTCTTTGCGTCCTGCCAGCCCTCCGCTCTCTCAGTATGAATGTGTGACGCTGCCCTACAGCACAGGGACGGCGCTTCTGTGGCTTTCCAAATGGTGTTGTGCGGCAGCTCCCACTCTCCGAGCCTCGGTCACACTGACAGGACAATGGGACCTGTAGTCCACCATCGGCAGTTCTCCCAGCTGTGACCCTAACCCCCCCTCCACAAGACGGATCATTCCAGGGGTAACCACTCCAACTTTTCTGAATTTCCGGCACTGTCCGAAACCCTCTCCGGCAGAAGAACGTCTGCTGCTCCCCGGTGGGCGGCTGGCTTAGGAAAGCCGGGCGGCGCACCCTTCCTCCTGCCTAGAGAGGCGTGGAGTCGCGCCTTAATCTCTTCTTTTTGTCTGGACTTCAGTTTGCACTTTTCGTTGTTGCCAGATCATGGGAACTAATTCTGCAGTGTATATAATTTTATTTTTTAAAAAATCCAGTGTTGCTGGTGTTTATTTGTGTTTGGGCACTTGCGTTCTGTGGCCGTGCCGGTTCCCTCCGAAAATAAATGAGTGGATTGAGTCCTCCTCGCAGGTCTTGGTGGGCTCATTGCATCCCCCTGTCCCCCACCATCTCTCCCCCAGTTTCTCTGTGTTTCTCAGCGCTGGGCTGCTTTGCTGCGAGTCGGGGAAGCTTTCTCAGCCCCGCTGGCTGAACCGCGTTTCCCGGGGCCGTCCCAGCAGCTGGTGGGACCAGAAACGCCCCATGCGTTTCGTTTTGCCTGCAGCTAACCCCGTTTCCATGCTGCGAAATGAAAGCACCACAGCCGGGAGAGCCCCAGTCCCTCGGGGGCCGGACCTCCCTCCGCAGCGGGGTGGATCTGCCTCGGGGGCCTGACGTGCCCCCCCACCCGGCTTCAGCCCAAGAGTCACGGGTCCCGCATCGTCCCCGCCAAGACCCCTGGCCTGATCCCAGTGGCCTTGGGAGCCCACCCACATCCGGCAGGCCCCTCTGCCTTGGTCCCGACGCCACCAAATCGGGAGCCACGGAGAGCTTGGGTCGAGGGGGGCTGAGCTCCCTTCGCCGCAGCCCTGCTGGGTGGTGCCGGGGAGCCGCTGCCTTCCCCACCCTCATCCCCAGAGCTGCTGCCCGCAGCACACAGCCACCGAGACACGAAACAGGCCCCATCGCCCTGCTTCTCGCAGGGACCGGCCCGGTGCCGGGTCAAAAGTCCCTCCACGGCCTTTAGACCTTTCTCCCGAATGAAGCGACGGAAGCACCCAAGCCTCGGGGGTCATGGATGGGCTACCCTTCGCTGGAGGCATTTCAGGAGCAGGCAAGACCCCCAACAGAGCACAGGGCCCGAGGTGGGCAGCAGGGCTCGGGGCAAGCCTTCCGCCAGGGGCCCCTTTGCTCTGCCCATCCCGGGGCCGCAGCCTCCCCTGCTCTTTCTCCCCTCCACCACCCCTCGGCTGGAGCGTGCGGCGGGCAAGGAGGCAGGTTGCCCGGGAAGAGGAGGAGCAAGCCCGGGGCCCACTCAGTGGCCCCTGCTGGAGAGGGGGCCATCGGCAACTGCCCGCCCGTGCCTACCGCCGGGGCTTTCATAGACACCAAGCGAACACCCTTCCTAGCTGGGGCGGCAGGACTCGCTTTTGCCACCTCCAAGTGGGGCTCCAGGAAGATGACTGGGAAGGCAGATACGTGAATGCTTTTGCTGCCCCACAGCTCCTCACGGGGCACCCTGCCATTCCTTCCACCTGCTTGCTGTGGGGCAGGCAGGCAACATCACCGACATCTGGGCCGGAGTGTCCGGCACCCGGGCGTGCTTTCTTGGCTTGGCCTGTGCACGGTCCTCTGATTCCCAGGGAGGTCTTGCCGAAACACACGTGCCTTGCGCCCTGTATGGGCGGCGTCTTGCTCAGCACAGTGGGGGGGGGGGGGGCAAACAGGCTGCTTCCCAACCTGACAGGCGCCCCGAGGGATGGCAGTCTTGCAGCCCGGGCCCAGACCGCTCCGTGGGGAGGGGGGCATCGCAGGGGCGGGGGGTCAGTCAAGAGGCTGCTCTTGAGGCTCCTTCCCCTGGGAACATTCAGCCCCCTCTGCACGGGGAGAGCCAGAATCGAGTCCGCCTCTGTCCGTGGTGCTGAAGCCCCTCCGACGCGGGTCCGGGACTGCAGCCAAGGGACACTTGCGCCTTGAGGACACCCGCTTTATTTAAGCTCTGCTCTTACATTCACTTAGAAAGGGAGGGGGTCGCAGATTCCCCCCCCCCCGGCCCCTGTGCAATGGATGTTTCCAGCAGCTCCCTTGATCCTCACGGCCCTGCAAGATAGCGGAGAGCAAAACTGCAGGACTCCTCGGCAGGCTGGTGAAGCTGGTGCCTTCCTCCTCCAGAAGGGCCTCCGGAGGCCTTGGCGGCTCCTTGGGAAAGCTGGCGGCCGCTGCTGCATCGAGCTTTGCTTCAGTTCTGCAAAAATGGACAGAGACGTTCACCAAAAGCCAGCGCCTCACCCTCTCTCTGGCCGGTGTGCTGTATCCCAGGCGGCTCTTGCCTGGGCAGTGGGCACTGCAAACCAGCCACAGCGGTGGGGTGAGAAACCCAGACCCCCACCCCGGGCCCCCCAGCTGGAGCTGCCTTCCCATTGGGACAGTCCTCCAAGGCCAGAGCCTGCCCCTCCAGTCCCCAGGCCCATAACATCTCCCAGGCTCAGCTCAAGAAACAACGTTCTAGGATAGGAAAGCAGTTGGGAAGCTCTGTTTTTTAATCCAAAGCAGCCTCGACTTCCCACACGGCCGTGCCGTTTCCGTCTGTCCTTACCCTCCGCCTGCCGCAGCCCATCCCGCTTATCGCCCCTATCCTGTCCAGCCGTTGGCCGAAGCAGTTGGAGAACCGCTGGATACCACGCGGGAAGGTCGAAAGGGCCCTCAGCTTGTCTCTTGTGGCGGCCGGCAGAGCTTCTGGGCGCAGCCGGGCACCGTAGCCGCCCTCCCTCTGTGGCGGCACGTGCCCGTCTTCCCAGGAAGGGCTCGTTTCGGAGGCGTTCTCCACCATCTCATCGGCCGGTTCGTCGAAGACTTGGCCAGGCCCCACGTCCCTCACTCCAGGCTCCAGTTTGTCCTCCAGTCGCTCCAGAAGATCCTGGGAGAGTGTGGAAGAGGCCGAATCGCATCATGAGCCCCAGAGAAGCCGGCCTGCACGCGTCTCTTCTTACCGGCAGCGCTCATTCATGTAAACAAAGGCGATTAACATGCTGGGCTATGAAAAAGCAGGGTTACCTGGGCTGCCTGCCAGTTTTGCAGCAAGCACCGAAAGCTAAAAAGATCTGAGCCAGCCGGGGTGCAGCCATGGTTCTGGTCGCGGTTCTGAAACGGGGCAGGAGTCCAGCCAGTTCAGGCTGCTGCAGAGCTCCTGGGTTTCCTTGCTTCCGGATTAAGGAAAGACAAGGAAGGAGAGACCCGGGGGAGCAGCTTGCCCCAGCCTGGCCCACTCGGATCGCTTTGGACAATCGTGGCTCCTCTCTGCCTGCAGTTCTTTCCATCTTGGCTGCCTTTGAAAGTAAATTTGTGCAGTTTGGAAGCCCTTCAGCTCATGCACGGGCCTGCAACCTCCAAAAGTACTTGAGACCACCTTACTCATCTAGCGAAGGCCGGGCAAGGTCAGAACCAAATAGGGCCGGCATGAACGGGCCCCTGCCGGGGATCCACGGACCGAAGTCCCCAGAGTCTGCCCTCCTCTTCTCCCCTGAAAGCTGCCCCTTCGGGTGCTGCTTGCCCTGGCCCAGACTGTGGTGGGGGTCAGAAGGAGGGACAGAGACGCCACGGCCCCCGGGCTCTCCGCTACCTGGACAGCAGCTGGTGGCCGCGAGGAGGAAGAAGAGGTGGTGCAAAGGGGGTGGAGACATGGGGCCAACGTGCCCGAGGACCCCGCAGCCCTTTCATTTTCCCAATATTTTATTTATTTATTTTATTTATTTAAAACATTTCTATGCCGCCCCCATCGCAACAAAGCCTCAGGGTGGCTCACAACATTTTACAGTTTAATAGCTATTTTAATTGGGGTTTCAGAGAGGATATGATGCTGTGCTTTTTTCTTGGATGACCGTCCTGAGACTTTTTGTAATAGAAAGGGATCGGGTTAGGGTTATGGGATAGGAAGGCTTTGAATAAATATTTAATAAACAGTGTGCCGCAAGCCCCGAGACCTCCGCGAACCAGCGTCCCAACCCGGAGACCCAGTCTATCCCTTCTTACCTTGAAGTCGGCGAGTTCCTCCCCAGTGATGGGATGGGCTCCGATTCTGCCTTGGGGTTGACCCACGAGGACCAAAGCAAGCAGGAGAGGCACTGTCCACCCCATGGCGCCGTCTGCTCGCCGCCCCTCCTCTGCTCTCCCTCGCCGCGGCTTCGTCAGTGTGACCCTGCCTTTCGTTCGCCCATCTTTATACCTGGGCCCCGCAAAGCCGATGCCAAAGGACGAACCCCACCACATTCCAGCGCCAGCCCCGATAAGGGGTCCGAGATAGGGGGCTGGCAGAAGATGCCCTTTTAAAGCGATCTGTGCCCACTGGCCTCCGTCGACGGGAACGGCCACTCGGCCCCCCACCCCGGTGACACACGCATTCCTGTTGACTCATCTGGAAGAGCGTCTCGTCTCGTCTCGTCTCGCTCCGAGGTGTGAAGACGCTTCAGTGCATCCTGGCGTTATCTCTTCTGGAGGCCTCCGCTGCAGACAACACCCCGCTGCCGGCCGGGAAGCGCGCGTCTCCTCTCCGCAAAGCCGGCCAGGGCCCAAGGAGCGGCTCCCTTCCCCAGCGGTGCCGGACCGGAGAGCAGGCCTGCCACGCGATGCATTGCGGATCTCGCTGCATCGCACCAGCACCGCTGCCTGGGCAGATCCGGCCAAATCGGTGAGATTCTCGTGATCCGCCGGGCACAGGGCAAGCCACGAGTGCTGGATGCCAATGGACACACTGCATGAGCAGCAACGGGAATCTTGATCGTGTTAATGTATACTGTTAATTCATATTATTTTAACGAAGTTTATTTATGTCTGTGAGCCGCCCCGAGGCTTCGGCGAATGGGGCGGCATAGAAGTCTCCTAAATAAATAAAATAAATAATAGTTACAATCTGCTCCCTGAGTTTGCTGCTGCCGTTCTCATCCAGGCCCCTGTTCCTGCTTACAGACCGTGCGGGTTGCAGCCGTCGCTTAGCAGATCCTCTTCGAATTTGGATCAGGAGGGGAAGAAGCCATTCCCAAGCAGACCACGTGGACTACAATTCCTAGCACCTTTCCCCACTGCTCATGCTGGCTGGGGCTGATGGGACATGAAGTGCCTCTCCCACGATGGACGTATTCATACGATAGGCTCTGAGTATTTCCTCCAACAGGGCTTTAGAGCAAGGCAACGAAAGACGAGGGTCTCCTTGGAGCTGGCCCCTTGGTCCTGCGGTACCCTTTCTCCCATCAGGCCTGCTGGGTCCCAACACTCTCATCCTTTCAGCACCCGGCTGAGACTTTTCCTCACCCCCAGGAGTTTGATGGGACATGAACCACCTCTGATAGTGCAGAATTGTCCCAGTCAGTTTCACAGCGTGTCATCGGGGTTGTGGCTTGATAGTTTTGCTTTTTGCAAACTCCTTCTCAGTACAGAGATCCTGCAAATGAATCTAAATATTTTTTTTAGAATAACTTTTATTCAAAATAACCCTAAAACAAAAGAAAACTAAAAACAACATCAATCATCAGGAACATCAGACCTGCTGGGTCAGCCCCCACATTTTTTCCCATTTATGATAACTTAAAAACATATTTAAGTCCCGTTTCTCTAGCCAATAATAAAAAGAGTCCCACGTTTGATAGAAGTCAGTATCTTCTTTCTCCTTCAGTGATAAAGTCAATCTATCCATTTCTGCACAGTCCAGGATCTTTTTTCGAATCAGTTCGTCGGTGGGTAGTTCTTCCCCTTTCCGGTGCTGAGCGAATGCAATCCTTGCCGCAGTGATTACATGCAAAATCAAACACATTTCTCGTTTCCTAATGTCCTCTGGTATAATGCCTAATAAAAAACCGTCAGGTTTAAAAGCTAAAATGGCTTCCTTGAGCATTTATGTATTTCAATCCAATACTTTTTCACGGTATCGCAAGTCCACCACATAGGATAAAAAGTACCCCATTTATGTTTACATTTCCAACATCCATTTGACATATCTGGAAATGACTTAGCTAGTCTGTTGGCGACAGGGTCCATCTTGCTTTCTGCTCAGTGGCTTTCCCTGGGTGGGGGCCCTTTAAGGGGCCGCAGTGCCACTCCCTAAGGCTCCACTTGCCACACCTGTGTTGGCAGGCACCTTTGCAGAGGGATGAAACCCTGAACAAGCTCGAACAGGCATCGCAGGCCTCCGCCGAGGTGACCCGGCCGCCTCTCCAGCAGCTCTTGGCTCCATCCGGAGGGAGGTGAGTTTGTGGCCCCATTTATGGCACGCGGCATGTTTACATGTGATTGCACATCCTAGCAAAGCTTTTTATCAAATGGCTCTTGAGGCCTCCGAGCTCGATCTTGTGAGAGGAGCCCTGTTTAATCTTAGACTATGCTTTGGCATGTGCTTAACAGTCGTTATTTTGCTCAAGCGAAGCCCGTGACTTCCTGCTGGACCTGTTGAGGTTTGTAGAAGTGTACTGAACAGTTTGAACAGGGTTTTTTAAGGTAAAGAAATGCATTTCTAGGAAATACGGGCAGTGGGGGTGGACCACAGTTTCAGACGTTTTAAGATCTCTATGCAAGAAATCTGAATTAAATGATGTGGGTGCACACAAGTCTTAGCTTTTTATGTACTGGGCAATTAAAAAAGGCCTCCAAGATTGGAGCACATTTGGTAATAGGTCCTGTTTAATTAGGAATCACAGCATGGCTCATTCACAATGTTGTTTTTTGTTCATGTTTGCAAACCTAGAAGTAAAGCAACTGTTTAGATTTGCTGAAAATCTTTCCATTCTGGCTGGTTGGTCATGCGATTTTCCCACCAAACTGGGTGTTTTCCTGGAAAGCGATGCTCCATTGGTTTGTCCACTTAAAGGAACAATCCTATGCACTCTTAGATTTATTTGTTCCTTGGCTGGAGAATGCTGGGTGTTGTAGTCAGATGTTGCTTGGCTGAGGAATGCTGGAAGCGGCAGGGCTTTTTATGGTCAAAACATGCAAATAAGTGATGGCTTTTATAAATTGCTGCGGCCGCCAGCGCTACCTGGCTTGATGTGGCTTTGCCACCTGCGCTTTCCCCGCTTCTTAAAAACACCAGTGTGGAAATTTCTTTGGAGTCGCATTCAGAGCTGCTTTAACGACGTCTTGGGCGAGGAAGTTCCGCTTTTTGTAGCAAGCCGAGACGGAAAATGTGTAGCCAGCATCGCGATGTTCTAGCTCTACCTTTCCAGGTGAGCTTAGCAAGTTCATTTGTGCAGCGTTGAGCTCCAGTTTGCAGGCAGAAAGGGCTAGAGCTGATCTTTGGGGTGTCCATGTAGGGATCGAAAAGATCCATGGAATGGTCAGTTGGCGCAACCAGTCTGTGTAGGCCGGGGAGAGACTGGTCAGCCTCCGGTACCCATCTGCCCTTCCGTGTTTCCCAAGATAGCTTCACCCCTTTCCCCAACCACTGTTTCTTTGGCAGCTTCCCAGCCTTTGTGCAGTCCAAAAGGTTGGAGTCTCTCTTGCGGCTTACCGAGTGGCAGGGAGATCTTTAAAGGTGGCTTTTCTGTCCCCATGTGCTGCCCAAATTTCTCTGACATGAAACTGTGCCCCCAGGTTCAGGACACGCATAACAGGTCCTGAACTTAGAGTAACGCAGCTTCTTATGCTTAAACAGACCCTTAATCCAGAACCATGAGGACTAGAACCTTGCTTGACCGTATTTGAGTGGCAGAACACCTGATTTGCACACGGCTAGGAGGCAGCTCTGCCTGAAACTTTGGTGCTTCCTTGCCAGCCAGGTCGACGGTCTTGGGCTCTTGGAACAAAGACATTTCTATTTATTTATTGAAAGTAGGAGAGTGTAAATATGTTAGTATGACTTTGTTTTTCTGCAAGCTGGTATGAGTGGCACCCATCCCCTGTCCAGACATTGGTGTTTTCACATTAGGTGTTCACTGCCCTCCGGAGAAACATTAAAATGTGCACTAGCAACTTGTGTGGGCTACAATAAAGCTACATTAATTCTCCATCGCCTTGAAAACTGTCCAGGAGAAAAGAGAGGCGAATTTTTCATGCCGTGGAACAGAAAGCCAATGGGAGATCAAGCAGAGAAAGTAAACCCAACACAAGGAAAAGAGCTAGAGTGTTTCTCTTTATTATTTTTGTAAGTTCAAGCAATGGTCTCTGGGCTTGAAAGTAAGAAAAAGAAAGAAAAAGAAAGGAAAAAAAGCAAACCCAAACAAACAGATCAAATAATAAATAAATCAATAAATTAATTAATAAATAGCAGGAACTTTCCATCCGTTCCAGAGATTTTTAGAAAGCGCGGGTTGATCGGGGCATCTTCAGAAAACCGCGTGCCGTCAAACATCAGGAATCCTTTTGGGAAGCAGGCAACAGGAATCTGTGCTTTAATGCCTTCTTATCCCTGGGGAGGGGGCAAAGAAAGGGAGGGGGGGAAGCATAATTAGCAGAGTTGCTCCAGAATTGCTGGCTTGGTGAGCTTATTCATTTATTTATTTAGAGTACTTGTATGGCGTCCTTTCGCATAGCCTCAGGGCGGCTTGCATAAAATAAAACATAATACACATAAAATCCAGATCCACCCTGGCTGCAGATTAAAACCTATATAGCTAATGTTAAAAGTGATTAAAATATTGTTGAAATAAAAAGGTCTTAGCCCGGCGCCAAAAAACGAATAACGACGGCGCCAGGCGGATCTCGCTGGGGAGCTCAGCAGTTGTGGCAACTTTCTGACACCTTTCAAAAAGCTGAAATGCTTTTCCTGAGGTTTAGTTCGCCGTAGGAAGAAGGTTAAGTGTCAATACGGGGAGGTGCTTTTGGCTCCGTCCTTTTCGCCTCTGGACCCGCCCCCATGGAAGAGCTTCCCCAGTAGGGAAAACTGGGATTCGGTCTGGAAGTGGCCCCCCAGCCCGTTCCGGGACTCTTTGCTCTCCGTGGGCTGGAGTGGGGGTCTCCATCAGGTGGGAGGCCCCTGCCTTGTCCCCGCAAGTGTCCTCTTGGGGTGCACGGGGCCAAGAGTCAAGGGGGCCTCCAACCCCCTTCAGGAAACCAAACCTCAGAGAGGGCTTGCTCCAGTCAGCAGCTGCCTGGGGTGCGGAGAGGGTCTCACCTTTGCATCCCATGCCGCTCACGGCCCCGATCCGGTCCAGCCGCCTGCCGAAGCAGCCGGATTCCCGCATGCTCTTGGCCACCTGCAGCCCCCGCATGCGCTTCAGCAGGGCGCCCCGGTCGGAGAGGAAGGGGGCAGAGTCGTCCCCGGGCTCGACCCCGTCCGCGGAGAGTGCCTCCAGGCCCACGCTCTGGGGTTCGGCTTCCTCGGGGCCGGGGGCGTTCCTCAGCTGTTCCATCAGGGACACCTTCTCCTCCAGCCTCTCCAGAAGCGCCTGGAATGGAAAGCAGAAGCCGGGAGGTGGCAGACGGGGGGCGCACGCCGCCTGCTCCTTGGACCCCGTGAAATCCATTCCCTCTGCACCCCCTGCCGTCGCTCCCGGATATTTTCATCCGCATCTCGCATCCCGGTATTTGTTCTGGGTGATGGTAAACTCTCCCTTAAGCATTAAAAAATGGGCATACAAGGGAGGAAAACGTGACGTAAAAAGGAGCGATGCTTAAGAATGCATCCAAAACCGTTTCAAGGCACCTGGAGCAGCTTCGGAGCCCTCCGTGCCCGCAGGTTTAAACGGACTGCTTTACAGATGCTTTACAGTAAGATAAATAAATGGGAGAGGGGGAGGAAAGGTGGACATGCAGAAAGGCCACAGGCATAATGGATTTTGGAAGAAGTAAAAGCAAAAGGGGTGTCCCCCCCACCCCAGTTCAATCCTTCGGGGTACTTCCGAGCACGTTCTGCACATGGTCGGGAGATGGAAGAAGGGTGAAGACTGGATGGTGCTGGTGGAAGGAAATAGTTCAGGTCTTCGACGCAAGAGCAGAACGGAGGAAAGGAACTCTGTGCAGGCCGTAGGAGTATTATTTTGGCTCTGAACTGAGGGTCCTACGAAGACCGCAGGGTCCCAGCGGGAGAAGGGGGGACCTCTGCGGCCCTCCCTGCTCCGGCTTCCTGTTCAAGGCCGGCCCTTGTCCAGCAGGTGGTCGTCCACCTGGCCTCCAGCCCAGCCCCTTCCACTCCTGAGCAAGCCCCCTCGAGAAGCCTCCCCAGGGCCTTGCCAAATCCGCTTCCCCGGAAGACTGACGGGCACTTCCGCTTTCTGTTCTGCCGCCTTCGAGAGCTGAGCCTCTCCCCACTGTACCCCTGTGCTGCAGTCTGCATTTTGGGTCTTTGGAGGCTCCAGTTCCCTTTCCTCCTTTGAGCTAAAGACCCCCAGCTCTTCCCACTAGGCTGCACTGCCTCCCCCTCTCTCTGCCAGTCTTGGGTTAACACAGGCCCCCTGCATGTGTCTCATCCTCCCATCCTCCCTCGCTGCCTGAAGCCGCTGATCGATGCCGATCCCGGGGTGCGAGAGGAAGGATAGACCGGCCGGGCTTTGCTAAGAAAAGCCCAGCTGGATGGGGCAAAGGTTTCTCTGCCCCAGCATCCTGCTTCCAACAGTGTGCAGCCCAGGGGGGAGCTGTGGCAGCGGCATCAGCCCTCCTGGTCGCGGGGTCTCCGGGGCTGTGCTGGCCGGGTTCTGGAAAGCGTTTTCAGCTGCTGCCTCAGAGCTGCCGGAGGGCAGCCACTGAACACAGAGCAGCGCTTGCCTTGAGATGCACGGTTCCAAAAAGGCACCGAAGGAAACGGACGGGGAGGGAGGGAGGGAGGGAGGACGTGGCGAACGGAGAGCAAGCCGCCTCCCAGAAGAGGTGCCCAGCCTGCGACCATCCGTTCGGAAGAGACGGGCTGCGTCCGCCCGGGATGCCTCCTTCTGCTCACCCCGTGGCAGACCAGATGCCCCCAGCATCCCACAAGTGCCTCCTGCCCTGGAGGTGGCATCACCATGAGGACTAGTAGCGTGCTCCTCCGTGAATTTGTCCCCGTCCCCCTTTCTAGCCACGCCAAGAGGCACCGTCACTCCATCCTGCGTGTGACTCACAGTGACCAGACTTGGGTCCAGGCTTACAAAGGGGCGAACGAACACGGAATCCCTTACCTCCATGCTGGCTAGCTCCTTGGCGGGGCTGAGGCTATCGATGGGGTGGGCAGAGGGGCTCTGGAGGCAGAAAAGAAACATCACGGAGAAGCTGGCGACAAGCAGTCCCTTGGGCTCCATGCTGCTGGGATGCGCTGTCGGTCGCAGGGGAGGCCGAGGATGCTCCGTCTTTGCCGGCCGCTGTGCCTCTCGCCTTCTCCCGCCGGCCTTATATACCCTTCGGGAACGAGGCTCCGCTTCCTTAGGTTATCTCTGGAATTATCTGGGGCACATTCCAGGCTCGGCAGTGGCACGCGGCTCCTTCAGGAGAAGATTCCCTTTATTAGGTGTCATCAGACCGCTCAACCGGAGGCATGCGAGTCACAAGCGGATGATTTCATGCTGCCGGCCCTCTCCGCTGATTACAGCGCAGCCCCCGCCTCCCGGCTCCTGGAAATTCCTTGGAGGTATTCGCTCTCCTCCACACCAGCTCCCAAAAACGGTCCCCGCATCCTGGAGGTGCCAGGCAGAGAAATTGCCTTGTATAGCAAAACGGCAAAGGAAGAGGGCCGCTTTCTGGAGGCAAAAGCCATCCGCTCGAGTCCGGACGGACGGGCACTCGGGCCGGCTGGAGCCGCACGGGCGGCTTTGCGCCGCTGGCCGTGGCCTGGCCTGCTGTGCAGGGCTGCTGTGCGTTGAGGAATCCATGGAGAGGGGACTGCTGCTTCTGCACCGGAAGGGGAAAGTCAGGAGATAAATGTCAGCGTGCATCACACCTTAGACCATACTGTGTTTTCACATCTTTGGTGAGAGAGCCAGAGGCGCTTGCGGCCTCTGAAATTCTCCAAACGCCACATCAAAGCTCCCAGGCTAAGATGCAACTTTTTTTAAATACGAAAATAGGAAAAGTTCCCCTTTCTATGTGTGTTTTTCAGAGGGGCGGATTTCTCCTCTGTTGGCCAAAGCACAGGCGTGAATGGTTTGAAAAAGGCACATTTTAAAGCCTGCTCTTTTTCTGCAAAACGGGTGTGTGTTTCCTGAACATGTGCAAGGTGTGTTCAGAAACAGGACCGGTTCTGGGGGAAGTGTTGGTGTCTGCGTCGGAGAATCGGGCACATTCGAAGGCTTTCTGCACAGAAACTAGTTTCCCATACATCCTGGCAATTTCGTAGCCAACGGATTTGGCTGGACTTCTGAATGGCCAGTTAGTTCTGCCTTTTCGTCAAAGGGGATGCTTTTTCTTTATAACAAAATGGTGCTTATTACAAAGTTGGTGGATTGAGCGCCGGAACATGTTACGTTTTAAGTGCATTTAAAATCTGAAACTGCATGTTTAGAGTGTTTCAGACAAAGACATGAGCTTGAGGTTTGACAAAAACAGTTTTTCAAATAAATCAGGAAGGCAGTTTTAAAGAATGAAATGGATGTGGTGACAATAACGGAAAAGGGGCAGAGCTGAGTGTTGGGAGACCTGAGTTCGCATCTCCCTCAGTTCCCTCACTTTGGGCCAGTCATCTCCTCTTGGCCTAGCCTACCTCACAGGGTTGTTGTGAGGATAAAATGAAGAGGAGGAGGAGCTTGGAAGCCCCCCTGAGTTTCTTGCTAGATCAAGAAACTGTCGTGCGATAATGAGATGTATGAGAAGGCACTTCTGAAACAGGTTCCATCTAGGCTGGTATTTTGCTCTCTCTCAGTGGGCAGCGAGTTGTCCAGATAGGAAGCCCACAAGTAGGACAGGAGTGCAGTGTCCTCCTCCTGCCCATCATCCCCAGTAACTAATGTGCATAGGCAGACGACTTCCAGTATAACATCGTCATGAGGACTAGTAACCCCATAGAGCTTTCTCCTCCATGAATTTGTCCAATCCCCTTTGAAAGCCTTCCACCTCTAGAGAAGGAGATGCCATCGTTCAGCTCCATGTGGTGTGAAGCAGCCCTTCCTTGGATCTGTCCTCCCACTCACCAGCGTCATGGGATGACCTCACTGGGGTCTAGCATGATGAGAAGCAGGCGTGCTGTGCCAGACAATGGAAGTCACACTGCTGGCCTTCTGACGTTCCCCAGCCTGTAAGGCAGATTCCATGCAGGGGCTAAAATTACCAAGTAGCGCTGCCGTCAATGGAGGTTTTGCAAGGTGCCATTCCTATATATGGAACCATGCGGGTGCCAATTCAGTTTTTCATTTTTGGAATATCTTTGCCAGAGGCGAATCTTTCTTCTTCGGGATGCAACTTTCCTCTTTCTTTCCTCCCTCCCCACCCGCCACCCCAAAATGTCATTTCGGATTCTCCCCTGAGTTCTCCCAGCGTAAATGCAGCCAAACAAGGGAAATATTTGTCAAACAAAACAACACTGGGATTTATGACCCTTTCCAGGGAGGAGAAATAGTTTTTAAGCAAGGTCCTGAGTCATTCCAGGGTATTTTTCCGTAAGATCGGACAAGATCGCTGGCTGGCCAAGTCTGACCCCTGTGCTTATTCATAAAGGTGAAAATCGATGCAGGTTTCCTCTTAAAATGTGTTTTTCAGCCAGGCCAACCAGTTCCCCTCCTTGAGATTCTCAGACAACTTTTATTTTACTGTGCACTGAAAAGCGTTTTCCAACGCAATGGACAGATGAAGGCAGCTTTCCTCAGCCCTGCAGCCTTCGGTGGAGGTGGACTACACACCCTATCATCCCTGAGCACCCCGCTGGGGGTCAGAGGGCTTGTCATCCAAGCCCTGTGGAGGCAGAAGAATAACTAGTCCGAATATTGGATTTAAACAACCATGACACACACGCCGTATACATTGCGAAGGGGATCCAAAGGAACCAGGACTCAACCTGAAATCAGTGCTACCTCCATTATTTTTAAATCTTTTTTCCAAGCCGTGCCAGTTCTACCTGAGGCTTCTTTTCCACCTGCTATTTTTTAAAAAAACTTTGTGCGGGTTTGAGCCAGTTTGCAATTGCACTGTTGTGTATTGGCACCGATGCACAGTGGGATTCGTGTGAACCCCTGAAAAATTCATATCCATCCAGGAAAGATCGCTGCCGGTCTGCGGAGCACAGATTTCATAAACTCCACGTGTGTCTGAGAGCTTGTGCAAATGCTTTTCTGCTTGTCCTCACAATTCCTCTTCTGTGCGAAGGGAGTTGTCCTGAAGTCACATTTGTGGCGGTCTCCCTTCCCAGAAAATTCTCCCCTCCCACGGAAGCAACACACTCAGTTTCTACAAAATATTTATTGATAAACACCACACCAAGTCCAGCCATTCCCGTAGGTCACAAGAGTTCTGGATGATCGCTCACCTCCAACGTGTCAATACAATAACAGTCCTTAAGATCCTGTTATACTATAATGGGGGAAAGAATTTTGTGCACAAAGAGTGTACAGTTGTTGAACAAACTGGCATTTTGCCTAAGGGACGGGGGGTTGTTCAAAGGTTCAGTAGCCAGTTAACCAGCTTCTCTTCTCCTTTTCAACTTCTGGACTTCCTCCGTGAACCTAAAGACAAAGGTGAGAGCATTAGAAATACTTTCCATGAAGAGTTTTATTCTGACGAAGGTCAGAAGTTGTGCTAATCTGGACTGACTGGTGCCCCGTTGAATTCCTTCCCCAACTAGCAGTGATTTGACCGAGGGAAGACCGTGTCCACACAGGGAGCAGCAAACTCGGCCGAAGCTGCGTCCCTCCCCCAAGTTCTGGCTTCTTCCCTTTCATGGAAGAACTAGAGCTTCTGGCCTCATATTATCCTAGCATCAGAGGGGTCCCTCAGAGGTCATCTAGTCGAAAGCCACCCCCCACTCAATGCCACGATTTTCAAAAAGAATCTCCTGAGATTTGGCCTCTCCCATGTCACATCGCTCATCAGAAGAGGATGCACCCGTCAAAACTTCTTGCGTCTCTTAAGCCATCCACCCAGAGAACATCAGCTCCGACTCTTCCCTTTAGCCCTGTCTAGATGGAGTGATTTTTAATTTTTATGGCCTTTGTTTAGTCCTGCTTTTTGGGACTTGGAGCAATGCATGAGACGTCCTCAGCCCTTCCTTTCCATTCTGCTCCCCTGTGAAATTTCCCCCGTTGCTTAACGAAGTCATTTAAGAACGTGCACGCTCGTGAATTGTCTCAAAACATCCCATCCACCCTGCAAAGAACGATCAGAGCAGAATTGTCCGGGCGCATCCCTTCCGAGGGCTAAATCCATTCACAGGGAAGCTCTCAGCAGAGGGCAGGGGCCAAAAGGGAGCGTCCCAAAATACCAAGTGATTTTAGCGTAAAGCATTCACTGCCAACATCTTGTCTGGGAGAGAAATTTCTACCTTTTAGTTATAGGGGCTGGGGGACTCTGCAAAAGCTGGGAAAAGATCAAACTGTCTGAGACGCGATTTAGACGTTTAGCAAGAAATCACAGATTCCTCAGAAATGCTTTGAGCACTGCAAATTCGCTCCACGTGTTCACAAGTGGAACATGTGATAGTGGGCAACAGGAACATGGGAAATGTTTGCATCTTAGATGCAGAACAGCTTCCACTGAGGGATGAGGTGAACTTGTGGATTCTGGCTTCTCTCTGAATAAGATCTGGTTCTTCAGATCTTCATGTCGGTTCATCCTAAACTTTGAGAAACGTGTTTAAAGGCCAAGAAATCTCTGTGAGCATTTTGTGTGTATTTCTTCCAATGCAGGATTCTTGAATGGAATTTTTGCCTAACGGGTATGTTTTTGGAGGAGAGACTGGTTTCTTGCTACAGAGACTCTGGCACGCGGTTTTCACTAAAATGCACATTCAGCAGCCTGTGTCGCTCAAACGCCTGTGCACACATTTCATCGCAAAGCCTCATGCAAATTTCGGAGACCTCAAGGGGGAAGCACGTCCTGCTGCTCACATGGGCTGACAGCACAGCGCAAACTTTGCTCGTTCATGTGCATTATGTCAACCGAGCTAGTTTCTCGTCTGCCCCCTCCCTTTGCACTCAGCAATGAGGAAAAAAGGTTAAAACACCTACGGGCTTTGTACGTATTGCACCCAAGTCCTGTCTGGGTGCCGATCCGTTCCAGCCGTGTCCCGAAGCAGCCGGAAAAATGCCTCCTCCGCTTTGGGGAAGCCATGAATGTTCTCCGCTGATCCACAATCGCCGGGTGATGGAGACCCTCCTGCAACTTGAGCTGGCTGGAGAGGGGGGCCTCCAGGTCAGCGAGGTCAAAGTAGGAAGGGTCACCTGTGTCTCCAGGCTCATCCTCAGCTATTTCCAGCTCCCCTCCTTGAAATTTCTCCTCCAGCCGCTCAAGGAGGTCCTGAAATCAGAGACGAGAGAAACAGAATATCAGCCTCTAATAGATGCTCCAAGCGGCTGCATACGCAGCCAAAACCGGGAGCACCCATAACGGAGCTGCGAGGATCTGTTGGCTGGAACGCGGAACAATTCGGTTTCCCTCTGCAACGTTTTGTTGCGGAGGCCGTTCTAATGTGACGCGTGTGCCCGGCGTGTGGAACGGATGCTTTGAAGCGGTTTCTGGAAGAGACAATGTCATTTTGGCTGGAACATCCGCAGCCTGGCAAAATTTCTGCGCCCAAGTTGGACTTTGCCTGGAATTGCTGAATTATTCGCCTCCTTTCAGAAGCCTGATTTCAACCCCCCCTCCGTGTGTGTGTGTGTGTGTGTGTGTGTGTGTGTGTGAGAGAGAGAGAGAGAGAGAGA